CCATTCCAATTAAACATTTATTATCTTTTTTAATAACGGGTGTTTTTTGTTTTTCAAAATTATCAACGATCATATCGTCATCGAGACCATTTTCATTTTCGTTACTACTATTAAAACGTTTTGTTGTTGGAGTTGTATTATTTTCAGTATTGTTTGAATTTGATTCTTTTCGTCGTTTGCGTTTAACAGATGTTGTTGTATTATGTTGTTGAATATAATTTGAATCATTAATTGATGTTGATAATGGTGATAGAGTCGATAATGAAAGTAATGTTGAACGTGGAGAATCAGGTGTTGTCGTTTCATTCATACCGGGTAATTTGATTGAATAGGTCGATTCATCAGCTTTACCCATTAAACATAAACATTCCCAAAACCACTGAAATAAGGAAAAATATATATATATATTCGTATAGACGAAGATAATTAATTAAAATATTTACCTGAACATTAACAATATGTTGACGATGTTTACGTTTGTATGATGGATTAGCGGATAGGAATGTATTAATATCCATTCCATTGCAGAAGATAACATGTGTTGCATCGGAGATTTCATTTGTAGTAAATCCACCTAAATCAGAATAAAAATTGGTCTTTTTAAACAATAGAGGGAAAGGTTATCTAGTATAATTGTTTTTTAATACTTAGTATAGCATGAAATCTATGTTAAATCAATAGTGCATACCTCACTCTTTGGAATATAATGCTAGACTCACGTCCGGTTTATTGACTTTAAAATATACTTGTAAACTAACGCTATTCTCAGAATAAATAGGTGTATTTTTTAGACAAAATCGATTCAGCCAGATATCGAATGCCCGTAGTCGACTTATCCTTTCATGGAGAGAGAGAGAACTCTCAAGAATGTTCTATCCGTCACAAACATATTTTGCTTGAGTGCAGCTCATCTCATAAATTTACTCATTCGTATGCGTAGACATATAATAGAAGTACTAGATGGATATGTTTAGAAATTCAGATAGAAAAGTTCACCTCGTTGAACTGAATCAAATATCTCAATCTTTTCTGATGTGAGCTTCTTTTCGCCTTGGAGTGCACAATTCATACTTAAAGGCTCATCGTCACCTCAAACAATCAAAGCCTATTTGATGTCGTTTATTTCCACTCATAGAGAAAACTAGACATCTAATTGTAAGAATGACCGGGATCGCTTTCGCCCAGTAGCGTTTAATGTTGAGCAGACTTTTCAAACAGTTACCTATTGACTAAAGTTTTACTCTGTAAATGAAGAAAAAGCATAACAACAATGGCGAATTTCTCTAAGGTGAAATAAAATTGAAATCTTTACCATTGTCAAGAGTAAGTGTATGTAAATGTCTTTGTTCGGTCTCATCCGCAGCACCAAAAAAGAAAAGATTAAGATTGTGCAATGGTTTTGCACGATAGATTCGAATAAAATCATTATCGAGTACATCCAATATACGATTATCTCTTTCTTTCCAACATTCTAATAGCCAATCTTCGGTAAGAATTTCACTTCTTTCCATATTAAAAGCAGTCTAGAATCACAAATGATAGTTGGAAAAAAAATGTCAAAATAAAGTCTTACAAGATATTTTTCACCAAGATTGGCAAACGAAACAACATGTGTAACTTGATCACCATAATCTTTTCTAACCGATCCACCAAGGTAATGAACAATATCACTAAATTTAGTCTAGAAAAAAAAGCAAACATTGACAAAGAGCGAAAAATTGAATGTTGTTTACTTGTATTTCTCGACGAGTACCACCAACAAAACAAATAATAGCTGAGGAAAGATGTTGTGAATACAATGGGCGATTTCTTCGTGGCACCGGAATATCCTTGAAATAGAAAGGTTAATTTCATTTTTTTCGATTCTGTACAAAAATGTCTTACAATTTTCTTTTCAGCGCAAGTTAATACAAGTTCAGAACTAATTATATAAATATTTTCATCTTCTTTTAAATTATAAAATAGACTTTCTTCAAATGATTCAATAACATAGATACGTAATTGACGTTTAGTTAGTAATTGTTTGGTTTCGGATAATGTACGAAGAACTTGTTCTTCACTATTTATACATTCATATGCATAACGATCTTCAAGAGCGGAGAGTAAACGAATATTTGAACATGCTTCACCAATAACACAAAAAGTAATTGCTTAAAAGAGAAACGTTTTCGATGAAAATCTTGACTTTACAATGAAAAAGATTTCCTTACTCCAGTCTTCCGATGATGATTCATCATCTTGAGCTTTTTGAGCTTCTTCCATAATGACGAAATTGAACTTAAACAATTAATGTCTATAGAACATATTCCCGCTTTCTTCTCTTCGATCAAGACATTCGCACAAAGAACAAAAAAGAGCACAATTTTAAACCAATCACATAACGTATACAAGATAAATAAAAGAATTTAACGATAGGAAAATATTTATTTATTTGTTGGATGAAATATTTACAGAAAAAAAGTATATCTTGTATTTAATTTTTTTTAAATTGATATTATTATTTTATGAAATGTTCATTTGCTATTGGTTTCAGCCAATCGATTTCCTTGATGAATATTGTTGTTGTAAATTTAACATCGGAAATAAAACTATATCCTATCAAATATTTTTTTTCTTTATTACTACGTAAAACAAAATATTTTCATAAGAAAATAACATATTAGTTCGATGCTTCAATTAAATGATTCTCATCGTGCTAATCATGCATAAATTTGTTTGCGTACTAAATGAAGCCTCTATATAAAACACGTTGGTCATATTACTAGTCAGGTACAAGCGAGACATATTAATGCATATATTGAATCGAATTCCATTAAAAATAGTCAGTAAGATTTTATTCTTTTGCGTTTTTGTTTCAGATAATACATCATACAAATTCTGTGTTTTCGCTACCCGATAGAAATTCTATTCATTACAGCTTAGGTGCATGTTTTTTTTCTCTTCATATATTCTAACTGAATTCTATTTGTTGTCGAGTAAGTATTTTAGTCTATTATTCAAAAACTAATTCATAACACGAGCACTGGAAATACTGAAGTATTGTAACTTATCTTATCATGAATGAATTGTGTGTGTGTGTGTGTGTGTGTGTGTCACATTGTACAATGTATTTTCAACAAAAAAGCAGGTGAATTCTAGAAAACCTTCAAAAGTTCATATTTGAAGTAGAATGTTATTTACTTTAAATCAAAAGAGAACCGTGTAATAGATGGAAAATAGGATGTCTAGTACGTCTGCAATTTTCCTTTTTTTTTACCCTACAGGGGTAGAATAATTCGCTGCCTATCATCATCCTTCGGTGTAGCTTCTAGAAAAACGTTGTTTTAATAATTTTCACATAGGGTTGCATTTATTTGTCTTTGCAGAGGACATCGAAAAAGAATCAGTGATTTTCTTTACTTTCTAAAATAGTTTCACAAATAAAAACAGTGATTTTCTTTTTGTCTCGTGATGTGTACTCATTATAAAAGTATATTTGTCTGTTTTGTGATTAAATTAAAAATCGTGAATCACATTAGTTACCCCAATAAATGGCGGTGTTAATAAATTCTATCGTAATAGTGGCGACTACTATTTTTTTTATTCCTTAAGTAAATATGCATGATTTAAAAAAAAAGAGAAGTATCACCAGAGGACCCTATTTAAATCCATATATATATATATAGATTGCTATAGCTTATTTGTTTCGTATTGAATGGGCTGATTTGCCCTCTTATTGACGTCAAAAATGTCGAGTTTTACCATCTGCTTTAACAAGAAGAATGCAAGGAAAAAAAATGTTCGTAGTACACTTGGTTTATTATTAAGCTCTGTGCCATTTCTATTTTGTTCTCTTTTTGGCACATCGTATACTCCCTATGAGAAAATCGACGTGTTGATACGTGGGTGTTGCCTATGTTCTTCCTGAATTTGTTACTGATGTGTAAGAGCAACGGTTGCTATTTATCTGCTTCATGTTTTTTTTCTTCTTCTTTCTTTCTGTGGATGTAGGATAGTTTTATGTAACTACTAGGCGTACACATACTTTGAAAAACAGAGGAGCGAGAGGGTGCCACTTGAATTTTTTTTTTGTACTTATATCGACTCTCTAAAATATCGGTAATCATAAGTTTCAAACAGGATTTTTTTCATGCGTTTACGCGAGAAAATATAATATAGTTTGTATGCAACAGAATTGCTTCCTCTTCTAAATTGTTTTTTTAATTACTTACGAAACTAATGAAAAATAACTTTTTCGTTCCTTTATATTTTTTAAGTCATGTTGACGTCACTCACATTGTACATTACCTATTCTTTATTCTTCTCTAGATAGTATATAAATATAGATAGATGCGTACAGAGGGAGTCAAGTTTATTTCGTGGTATTCGTTATTCGTTTTTTTGTTTCGTCCTTTTCGTGACTCTCATCTTATATTAGATTCTTTATCTTTTTTTAACGACCATCACTGTGCGCCTACGATTATTCGAACCGTGAAACGTGCATGTAGATGTGGATGCGGACAAATATGTTTGCAATTCTCATTAAACAATATTTCACCATCCATTATAATTCTACTCGTAAACATACTTGATTATACAATGTTTTTGCATTTGTTTTTAGACTTTTGTTTTTATTCATCACACGTTTTTTAAGCGAGCTCAGACGAAGCATTCTGCCATTATTCCATGACTACAGCTGTTCCGGTTGAAAATCCGCGAAAACAGGCGGTAAGATCTTGTTGTTTGAAAAATGACTTTTTCATCAAATAGTTCTTGTTTGTAGACCGAATACGTGCACGACTGCACGCTCTCGGGCGAGTTTTGCCGAGCGCAATATTGACTAGTACGTGATTTCCTTAACAATTATTATTACCGGTACTATCCATATCGATATTGTTCAAGTAAATTCGATTGGTGTCTTATATCAACAAAAATTAGAGACTAGAAGAGATTCAATATAAACAAAACGAGATTTTTTAATCGAAAGCCAAAAAAAAATAAGGAACAAATTTCTTCGAAAAATGCCTGTGGCTCGATTTTTAACTAATCCGTCAATAACGGAACTTCGTTATAAACATCTTCGCTTCTTAATTACTGATAGTCCAGCCAATGAAAATATTCAATCTTTTATCGAAGTAAGAATAGAAGACAACAACAAAAAAGATGTGATTTTTAATTTTCTATTGTATTCTAATATTCGTAGACTTGCTTAAAATATGATGTTACAACCTTAGTTCGTGTCTCAGAAAAAACTTATGATGCAAAGCCAATTGAAGCAGCTGGAATTAAAGTTCATGTATGTATTAATTTTCAATGACGTGTCGTCTTAGTCATTGTAAATAGCTTTAAAACCCTGAAACTAAATCATGCTCTTTGAATATTCTCGAAGCATAAAAATAGTAGAAGTCGAAAATGGCAAGCACACTTGCCGTGCTTATTCTAATATTTTCATTAAATGTACCCCAATAAAAATAGGATTTGTATATTAAACATAAAAGTGCATCCTGTTCTTATGTATACTTTTTTTTTGTCCTATAAAGAATCTTGAATATCCCGATGGCAGTGCACCTGATTCCATTGTCCGTAATAAATGGTTGAATATTGTCAAAGAAAATAAAAATGGTTGTATTGCTGTGCACTGTGTTCATGGACTTGGACGGTTTGTTTATTTCTCTTATGAAATTTCAACATTTTGCCTTTATTTTATCTTAAACAGATCACCTGTTCTTGTTGCAATGGCCTTACGTGAAGCGGGTATGGCGCGCCAAGAATCAATTGACTTTGTTCGCTCACACCGCCGCGGTTCATTCAATGTTCGACAATTAGAATTTCTTCAAAATTATCAATCAGGCCACCGTCTAGTAAACAAGCATGTTGGGTGTCTTATCATGTAATCGACCTCCTCTCTTGGTGTTTTTCTCCCAGTTTGTTTTTGTGTTATTCTTTCTGATTGTCTTTTTTTTCATTACTCGATTCTCTTTTTCTTGTTTCCTTTTGTTTTTGCTTCATTTTTTTATTCAATTCTATATATACCAATCATGATTTTTTTTGTCGCTTATTTACTCAATACATATTACTTAAAATGGAATAAAAGATTTTCTTTGTTTTTTCAAATGTCTTCAAGTCGAGTTTTAACGTCGCCGGATTGAATAACAATACAATTTCGTTTAATGAGCTCATCGAGACGTAAATTAATATTTCCGATATCAACACCTCGACATGCATCTTCAACAATATATGTTTTATAGCCATTTTCAACAGCATGTAAAGCTGTTGAATACACACAAACGTCTGTTGCTATTCCAACAATAAATACATGTGTAACGTTGGATTCTTTTAATTTCGAGTTTAATGACGTTTCGCGAATTTTTTGATTGTCCCAAAATGCTGAGTACGAATCAATATCACTATCATAACCTTTTAATAAGTGAAACACTTCACGACTTCTGTTCGTTTTTACTATCGATAAATCTTTATGCAGCTCAGCACCATGACTGTGTTGTACACAATGAGTTGGCCAAAGAATTTGTTCAACACGTAACTTTTTATCTACAGTATCATCGCCAAATACAAATACAGCAGTATCGAATAATTTTAATTCATCGATTGATTTCGAATCTTTGGCTAATAGATGTGCACGTAATGGTAGATTTTCAAAAAATGATATATGATCATGTGTATGCCAATCTTGAGTATAGACAACGACATCAAAATGAATATCATCTAATATTCTATTGATGATGGGTATGACATGTTCCCCTTGATGTTGACTAGGACAGTTTTTAAGAGCTAAAGAACCATCAATGAAATCATATTGTACATCAACGATTAATAGAGCACTAACTGCTTTAGATCCAGACCCTGTTTGCTGTCTCTTTTTTACCGTGCTTATTCTACAACAAAAAAGAATAAGAATTATTGACCGTCAAAGGAGATGAGTTACTTTCGTCGAACTGAGCTATTAATATTACCCATGATTTTGTACAAAAGCAAAATATCTATAAGAGAAAAAACAAGAAATTTCGATAGTCATCATGTGATGAAAGGTGTTCTGTATAAAAGAATGAGACATGAATGAGTGCTTGAAAAGCTAAAATCGTACGGTCACATTGCTACTACCCTTTTTTGTGTGTGGGGGACGACAAAATAAGAGAAAAAAGGAAAAGAATGGGCCATCAACCATCCGTTACATTTTTCCCGTAAGAAAATTACTTCAAAGAACAAATATAAAAAAGTTTTTTATAATTTAGTGCGACAAAATGTTGTTCGCCATGCATAATTTCTTTATATAAACATTCGATTGAAAATGAAAAGAAAACGAGAAAATAAAAAAATATATAATTTCCGATATTTGCGCTTTTCTTTTCCTTTTTTTTCTAATTTTTATTCATTTAAGAATGGCGGAAGAAGAATATTTTGAATGGAGACTCTTTTTTCCGTTAACATCAAATGATGAAAATATTGAAACAGAAATAAAAACGAACACTATGGTACCATTCACAGTAAACACGAAATTGAATATGTTATCAATAGCAGAGGAAAAATATTCACATAATTCATCATTTATTGACATTTATTATCTTTTGCAAAATACAGATGTCTGCCTAAAAGTACATGACATTGCTAAATTAAATAGTTTGAAAATTGAAATTGAAATTCGTAATCGTCATAAAGAACAGCCGCCATCTCTAATTCAGCATTGGTCTATTTATGAAATAAAATATCCACGTAGTGAATTACCTGATAAAATTCTCAATCGTCTTGATCGAGCAACTATTGAAAAAATCAATGAATATCTTCAAATGTTTACTGATAGAGACAGTCTTTTGGCTCGAACAGATTTATCGTTTATTCAAATTAGAAAAACAATGACGACGTGGCATATGAATGATAGTGATCGAAAAATAGACGAAACTGATATTTATCTGATGATTAATGATAATGTATTAGAAAAAGAAAAAAATGATTCGTTTTACATTCCAAAACATTGGCGAACACTGTCCATACAAACAAGTGACTATGACCAACTTATAAAAACATTAACTACATTACAAATCGAAGATGATAAAGATTTGATAGATTATTTTTCATTTCTTACATCTCAAACATGTTTTAATTCATTTCCTTCCCAACATCAACAACAATTATTACCGACAATATCAGCAGAAAAGGCTTATTTGAATTTATTAACTATGAGCTATGCAGCATTCATAGAACTGATTCAACGTATTCACCGAAATCAAACGTATACAGAATAAATTGTAGATCTCGTAAACCCATAGCTATGATTGAAATTGAATGTTACTGATTATAAAAGCATAATAAAAAAAGAGATAACATATTTGACCTTCACTGGTCATTTTAATTAGTCAATCAAAATGATTGATTGAAACTAGCGAATATTTAATGATAAAAATAGCTTCTTAAGTATTCTTTTGATTTTATTTACATAACTATTTTGAAAAACGCTACTTTCTTGGCAATGTGTTCTTGATAGATAGATGCATGCATGTGTATTTTGTTTGCACTCGTCATCACCATCAGACGGAAATGAACGTAATGAACGAACAACTAGCATTGACAACAATGAGTTTGTGATCGACTGAGACGGCCGGGAAGCATTTAATTCTTTTCATCTTTAGCATTTTGCGTTTTTTTTTCTCTCAGCATGTTTATAACACTGATGATCAGCAATTCATTTCTTATGCTCCGTTCTTGACGACGGTAGTGCGAATTATTATGCATTACATTCTCTTGCTATACAACATCAACGTTGTTGGAAACAACAACAACAACAACTGTTGTCACTATATCCTGTTCTCTATGCGTTAACATATGGACAGACAAATGATGGTTAGATATGTTAGTGGATTATTCTGCTTCTTCTTCTCCTTATTTCCCATCAATTCGTTCCAGATCTCTTCTCTTTCTTACCCTGGCACTCTCTTTTGGCCTTCTTCTTCTTGTTGATGGTAGCACACGCAAGCATACGCATACACATGCATGATAGTTAAAAAACTATCTTGTTCTTCTTTCTGCATACCAAAAGAGAAAAAGGTCGGAGAGATGTAACGGTATCTTTCTATCATTTGCTATCTGTTCTATTCCTATGAGACAATTCTACGAGACAGATGCTATTGTTCGAATTGATCTTTCTAACTCATCTATTTATCTATTCTATTTTTAAGTAACTATTTTATGCACTGCTAATGTGATGACGAAGATTAATCTTTCGGTTTCTTTTTTGCAAAAGAAAATGTTCAAATGAAGCTGCATAATTATCATTGATTTATGATGATGTTTACTTCATTTAGAGGTTTTCTTTCTCTTTTTCTTTCTCTTTTGCAGATGGAAAGAACATAATTGTTGTTTCTTTCTGATGATGCTGTTATATTTAGCCAAAGAGTATTCCAGTGACATGTTCTTCTTTCTATTGCCGCTGCTCTTTTGTGCATATCGTCGATCATCTAAAACTATTAGTAATAGCGCGCGCGCACACGGGTGAGATAGAGCTTACTATCAGCTTGTCGCATTGTATAGCATGCGCGTGCCCTTGAAATCATCTATCTATCTCTTTTCTCGTCCTTTGTCATCGTTGGTCGGCAACACACTCGTGATTTTATTAGATCGATGAAAGCAAGTAGGAGAAGAAGAAACACAGATAAAAAAAATAAAAAAACATAGATCGATGGAGAGACAAAGCGCATCCGGTTCATTCAGTCATAGTGCTATCTATATTCGCTCAATTGAGTCATGGAGAGAGAGAGAGAGAGAGAGAGCGAGAGAAAGAGAGACATGTATATATATATATATATGGAAATAGAAAAAAAGAAGGTGTGAAATTTATGTTTTTACTTTGTTCAAGATCAAAATGACTATAATAATGATGCATATGAACAAGTATCGGTAGATATATATTAATTAGAGAAGAAAAACAGAATGGCTACTGAACATATGTTGGGAGCTGAAGAAGATGATGTTCAGTTCATGCGAACGGTAAATAATTCACCTATTATATATTCTTTATTAATATTGACTTATGATAAATGTTTGATGTTTTTTCAGGAAGATCATCTATGTCTAAGTTGTGTGCCTGTATCAGGTGTAAAACGTATGGCTCTATCAGGCGAAGTATTCGGAAATAGAATGTGTCATCTTGAAGATATATCAAATGAGGTAGAAAATATTTCGGTGATAGACATCAATAGACATGTTTGATAATGTTATTATTATTTGTATTGTTGTACCTGTGTATGTGTTGCATGTCATGCTTTTTGTTTTCTTTAATCCACGCATGTTGGTTTTTGCTTTCCTGTCTCATGATATTTATCATGACTGGTTAATAAAAAACGAATTAATTATGGGTTGAAGAAGCTTGATAGTTTTTTCATGCAATGATACATTGACCTTTAATATATTTGTTTGAATGTGAATTATTTTCATTAATTACATCAGGTTTGTTGTCCTGATTTGGCATCGTGCATTTTTGTACTGGAACAAGCCGTATCAGTTCGAGCTTTACAAGAAATGGTGAATACAACTTCAGCCGAACAGGTATATATTATTAAATTGATGTTAAACTAAGAAAAAGATCAATTCTTTTTGCTCAAGTCATCTGCAAGTCAAGGAGGACAAACAACATTTCGAACATTATTATACGGTCATGCTGTTCTTCTTCGGCATTATCACAGTCAAATGGTAAGAAAATTGATTTTTTAAACAATTAAAAACGAATACATATACGATCGATTTGTTAGTACTTGAGTTGTTTATCGACAAGTACATCAAATGACAAGCTCGCTTTTGATGTAGGCTTAAAAGAAGATGCGCAAGGTATGTTAAGATAACAAATAAAGAAAATGTTTATTCTGAAAATCGAATCAATCATTCTAGGCGAATCTTGTTGGTGGACTATTCATCCAGCATCAAAGCAAAGAAGTGAAGGCGAAAAAGTGCGCTTCAACGATGATGTCATATTGGTTTCAGTTTTCTCCGAACGATATCTTGTATAAATTTTTCATATAAAATAATCACGTTCCAGAAAACTTCTATTTATATTTTCTTAGCATGCGTACATGTCATTAAATGAGCTTGGACGAGTTAATGCATCATTTCGACAACAAGTCTGGAGTCTTGTACCTATATCAAGTGGTGTAGCACGTGTAAAAAATCCCGGATTTGTCATTGGTGGCGATGTCATACGGTTAATGCATGGAAATATGGATCATTGTATCACAACGCCTCCGCCAGATTCTCAAGTTATTGATGATTCTGGAAGGTGAGAGATTTAGATTCTTTTCGTTTTTCATTATATCGAACAGTACAAATTACAACGAGTATGACAGTTGTGTCTCGAAAGCAATCATTGAATAAAGCAAAGGAAAAGTTAACATTTTTTCCTAGGAAGTGTGAATTATGTCGAAGCCTTGCAGTATTGGTGGTCGTCATGTCTATGTGGTTACGTTGTCTAACACGTAGCCGCAATGTACTCTTTTCAAACGTCAGTATCACAAACTATGGAATCACCCTGAATAAGTCGCTAACGGCAGTTTGTCTTAGATCATCCATCTGATAGCATGCTTGCTAAAGTGTGACATTCAACTGCGCTTAAAGATCGTTTATATACATGAGAAATACTGACAGTCGAGCACAAATCATCTTTGTCAGTTTGATTGTCTATCGCGATGTTCTACTAGCATCGATTTTTTCCATTAGATATCGATTTATTTATTTTATCTCGATTATTCCATAAATCGAATCTTCAAATCACCACGAATAAATTCTAAAATCCAATTACATTCTCAAGAGAAATCTTAGATCACAAGCAAAATAGACGTCGTTTTGTTCTTATCATGAAAATAACATTCCTAATTTCATAAATTGTCAAATCATAATAATCGAACTAACGTGAAGGTCAATAGTTGAATAAATAAATAAACTAATGCACCCGAGAATACATTACACAACGGTGTTTACATAAAAATTAATCAATTGATTTGTTTTGTTTTGTTTTATATTTTTAGTTTATTCATTAAGAGTGGTGCTGCTTGCCATCAAGCTCGATCTTTATGGCGTATTGAATGCTTTAAAATTAAGCAAGAAATCAAAATTTGAATTTTCCTTCGGCAATTACTTCTTCTTCTTTTTCGCACTAGATGGTACAGTGGTTTTGTTGGTTGGAGTTCATTGGTTCGCCTTCGACATGTTACCTCAGGTCTTTATTTAGCTGTTGTTGGTGATGAAAATGGTAATATTTATGAGTGGTAAACTTTTGTTTTAATTTTAAAGATATATGCTATTATAGGTCCAAAAGTAACATGCATATCGAAGAAGAATGCAAGCGCTATTGCCGTAACATTCGAAATGAAAATGTCGAAAGTATAGGAATTTAATGCATATTGATCTTATTGCCTTTTGTTTTCTATTGATTAGGAAAAACAAACTGAAGAAGCAGCAGAACAAGAAAATTTAGGTGCGCCAACCATAAAATATGGAGATACAATTGTTTTTATACGTCATGTTGATTCTGATCTTTGGATTAGTTATGAAACACTGGAATTAACAATAAAAGGAATAGGCAAAGTGGAAGAAAAACGAGTAAAAAAATGCAATATTTTTTGATTGTCTATTTTCGAAAGTCGTTTTTTGCTTTTCATTAGATTATTCCAGTTGTTGAGGGTCATATGGATGATTGTTTTCGTCTTGTACGAGCACAAGAACAAGAACAAAAAACTGCTTTAGTTATTCGAATATGTAATTCTATTCTTGGAAGATTTAATCGAACAGAGTAACAAAAATGATTCTGTTTGACTTCTTTTTGTACGTTTTGTTTCTTCTAAATAGCCCGATGTCAATGGATGCAGAAGCCGTAAATCATTTATTAAGTAAAAGCGATGTGGTTCAAGCTTTATTGCAAGATTTAATTGGATTTTTTTCTCAACCATCATTATCACTTGATCATGAAGAAAGACAATTACGTCTTAAAGCATTACGAAATCGACAAGATTTATTTCAAGAAGAAGTAAAAAATCCAAATAAGATTTTCTATTCGAATAAATCATGGTTTTCTTCTTCTTTCGTTTAGGGAATGATTCGAATATTAATAGCAGCAATAAATTTCTTCAGTGAACGCCGTGAGAAAACATTATTATTAGAAGGTGTCGAAGAAAAAATAGAGAGTATTACTAATAAACTTTACGTTGTCTTGGCTGCATTAATCAAAGGCAATCGAGCTAATTGTTCGAATTTTGCACAAACTGCTCGACTCAATTGGCTTGTTAATCGTTTACAATCACAGCATGCATCTGGCGGAGTACTAGAGGTTCTTCACAGTGTATTAGTTGATAGCCCCGAAGTATTAAATATGATAACAGAATCGCATATACTTGCTAGTAAGTATAGAGAAAAAGAAAAGAATGGCACGGAAAGTATTTCATCTTATTTGCAGTTATCGGATTGCTCGATCGAAATGGCCGAGATCCAAAAGTACTGGATGTACTTTGCTCATTATGTGTTAATAATGGTGTAGCTGTTCGCGCCAATCAAAATCTTATCTGTGAAAATATATTGCAAAGACGAGATCTGCTTTTGCAAACTGCATTGGTTGATCATGTTGCATGGTAAGAATATTGAGAAACGTGTTCGTTCTTTCTGTTTTGTTTTTATATGAAGATATAGAGACATTAGCGCAGTATGATATACCATGTCATAGACTGGATAATGTCAAGGAGAGATTCAAGAGCTAAATAGAATAGACGGCAAGCAATTATAAGAGGACCAAGCTCTGAGTACAAGCTCTCGATTAAGAATCGTTTATATTTGTCCAAGTATAATGTCTAGTGTTGGTTTTTGCGAAAAAAAGATCGTTTATGAAAAAGACACATAATGATACCAGTAAATAAATGATGATGGATAGCAATTACAGGGAATGATTATACAAAATTGTGTTGACGTGTCTTAATGGATTGTTGAAGTTACTAATCAAGTTCAAAACTAGTGATTTTTTGACCTCATCTTAAAGGTCACATCAAGTTACGTCAGAATAGCATTTCCATTCTCTGAAACCATTATAAACCTGTTACATTCTATTCATCTAGAATGAAAATTCTTTTGAAAGGATTTTTTTTTCGGCGTTAGATAATTCATTCAGCTCTACATATGGAGAATATCAGATATTTTTAATATACAATGCAGCAATGATTCAAGATAGAATTTCTTTATACTACTTTTGAAGTAATCAGGGATTATTCTATGTTTATCTTTGTTCGTATAAATATTTATGATGGAAAAAATGTTCAGCAAAATATAATATACAACGTGTTTTATCTATGTAAAACGGATGAATATTATTGCAAAATGCATCCGAAGATCGAGGGCTTATTATTGAAAAAAAGAAGCTTTAATATTGGCTATTTTGATAATAATTAATATTCACAGCTCATTCACATTGTATTCATTAATTAATTCAATTTTTGTTTTTATAATATTATTCATTTTTCAGGCACGCAGGATGAGAAAAATAATTGCTTACATGCTCTGTTGTTGTGATAGCAATCAAAAACGAAACCATGAAAATGATTAATTAGCTAAAAAAAAACGAAGGTTCTATGAACAAGTTTACATCAAAGTTCTGCGAAAAGTCAAAATTGCTCTCATTTTACGAATGATGAGCAAGTGTAAAAAATAAAAAACCTCTTCTAGAGTTCAATGCAGCACGCTTTAATAAGTCAAAAGTCTTATTTTTTCAGAGATCTTTCAGTCGAGCGGGCGCATTGAAATATCGTTTTTCTCCAGTTTCATTTTAACATTCAGAACGATAGTGCAATAGATGCACCTAAAACCTATTGATTTAATATTTAGTATGCGTCCAAATATTCTTGTTGGAGTTGAAGATGGCGAATCAATGTATAGAAAATGGTATTTCGAAGTAGTTATTGATCATATTGAACAAGTAACACATGTTCAACCACATATTCGTATTGGTTGGGCGACCACACATTTTCAACCATCACCTGGCCACGGCGATGGATTCTCATCGAACGGTATTGGTGATAATACGTATTCATATGGGTTCGATGGTCAAAATGTTTGGTTTGCTGGACGTGCCTATGATGTATCGAATCGAGTTGTTACAGCAGCCGATAATATGCAACATATTGGCTTTAAAAAAAACGATGTTATTGGTTGTCTATTAGATTTAAATATACCTGAAATGTGGTTTTCACTAAATGGTTTACCGGTTAAAGGTCTTCTAAGAGAATTTAATTTAACTGGAATGTTCTTTCCAGCTATATCGTTATCGTCTCGTGTTAGGTTAGAAGCAGTTCGAAAGGTTTCGTTTGTGTCTTTTATACGTGTTTTTTTGTTTTCAGTTGCCGATTTATCTTCGGTGGTGAACATGGTCGCTTTATTCATCGACCACCTGAAGGTGCTGCACCACTATTTGAAGCTATGCTAGCAAAGCAAAAAATTTCTATTGAACCCTGTTTTTCGTTTGGGAACATCGAGCGGAGTCGTCTCGATGGGCCATCACATTTTCAACATCATATTGGGTTTACTCCACAACCCGTACGAACGAATCATATTGTGTTACCAGCACATCTGGAAAGTGTTCGCGATCGATTAGCTGAAAACATTCATGAATTATGGTCAATGAATAAAATTGCAAGTGGTTGGCGATTTGGTGAAGTAAGTCGAAAATTTGATGTTTTTAATATTATTTTATGCACGATAATTTTTAGCATCGAGATGATGCACAAAAAGTTCACTCATGTCTAACATCATTTGATCGTCTTCCAATAACTGAAAAACAATATCATATAACAACAGCCATGGAAAATTTAAAGTAAACTGAATTACAAAAAACATCTTCAAGCTAAATTAATTTTATTCTCTAGGAGTTTAATTGCACTTGGCTATCATGTTGGTGTGGAGATTAAACCCGATGATCGTCGATTAAAATATGTTAAATTACCAAATACATATACTCAATCGAATGGCTATAAACCACAACCATTAGATTTATCGAGTATTGTTTTATTAACAAAACTAGAAGAATTAATTGAAACATTAGCTGAAAATACTCATAATGTTTGGGCAGCCGGTAGAATCAAAGATGGGTTTACATATGGAATATCTGATGTGAGTATTCATATTCGACTTTCGAAGACAATTATATGCAAAATTCCGTTTTCGCTTCGATGAGTCAATAGAAAATAAACTCGCATTTCGTCATTATTTAGATAGTAGGAGTAATTTTTCATTTTAGTGATAGGTTCTACACCTTCGCGCCTGTTACAAGCCATCCTAGACGCTTTATAATACTGTTTTCTTTTGTCTGACAGCCATTGACATACAACCGCGTATGATATGACAATAATATATTGTCTAGACTATGAAGTGAAAGCCCAACGAAAAACTTTATCCCATACAGATTTCAATAGTGGCTGTTATTTTCTTTCTTCTATATTTTAGAATCCACGTCAAAAGCGAAGTCCACATTTAGTTCCCTATGCCATTGTTGATGATAGTATTAAAAAGATAAATCGCGATGCAGCAAGCGAAACAGTTAGGACTCTTCTCGCTTACGGTTATACAATCGATACGCCAACAGGCGACGCTGAAGATCTTAATCGACGTAATAGAGAAGCAATTAATTCAGCCAATAGTGAACGCATATCAAATTATCGAACATATCGAGCTGAACAAACATTCGCTGTAACACGTGGAAAATGGTATTATGAAGTTGAGTTATTAACACCGGGTCGAATGTTAATTGGATGGGGACATGCGTCCAAACTCGATGCTTACTATCCACTCGGAACAGATTCGTATGGTTATTCGTTTGATGGTTTTCATGCACGACGTTTTCATCATAATGTATTTGATGGTTTCGGTAAACAATGGTCGAAAAATGATGTCGTCGGTTGCATGATTGATTTACATGATAAAACCGTTAGTTTTTCATTAAATGGAGAATTAATGTTGGATAATATTGGTAATGAAACGGCATTTGAAGGATTAGAAGTCGATGATATTGGTTTCGTGCCAGTATTAACATCGTTTAGTGGACAAAAAGCTCGACTAAATTTTGGACAAGATGTTAATTCATTAAAATATTTCACATCCTGTGGTTTACAAGAAGGATATGAACCATTTTGTGTGTAAGTTTAAATCTAATCTGATATTCATTTTATTTATTCTCCTTTTCTCTTTAGAAATATGTCAAGAAGTTTAACATTTTGGTATTCAAATTTTATTCCTCGTTTTGAATCCGTGAAATCATTTTCACGATCATTTGAAATTGTTCGTGTTGGTGCAAGGTATAGATTGGTTTTTGAGTGCGAAACTTTTTTCGGATTAATCTCATTGAAAAAATAGCAAAACTTACGAGCGTATTATATCATATAATAGTTTACCTATGGAGATCATCAGCAAATTTGCTGACATAAACCAGGCGATGACAATAGAGAAATATTTTTTAGACCAGATACAACTATCTAGATAAGAAATTGAATAACACTATGTTAACTTGGAGTCAATACAGACATGAAACTTTGCTTACGTACCTAGAAAATGCTCAGTCAGAAATTTCGATACACATCTCTGCTATTGAGGATAATCTATTATAAGCCTGCCATGGAAAAATTTATGAAACTTCAGCATAAACTATTTTGAAATAAAAATCAGTCCGCTAAACTAGAATCCTTAGGCAAGGTGTCTTTTCTAAACGTTCTTTTGTTTTGTTTGAATAGTCGTGATAATCCACCATTAATAAAACTTCAATCAAGATTGTTTGGTACATTAGAAAAAGTTGAATTTGAATTTCTTCGTTTATCATTGCCTCTATGTTGCCATGATAAGTTTACGCCAAAGTAAATATCTACAACGTTTGCTTGTACACAAAATAGTCAACATTTGTTTTTCATTTAAAGGCACGTCACGCTTGAACGAAGACAAATGGCATTGCATGAATATATTGAATCGCAAGAAGAAAAACGTACTTTTCAATTTCCTCCAACATCCCTGCCAGGCGTTCGAGGGAAAGCTTTATCATCGGGGGCGAGCGATACAATCGATTCACATTTAACAACTCAAACAGAAACGAATTCAAATTTTCTCTCGCCGGATTCAATCACAAATAAAACTACACGTAATCCAACAAATCTACTAGTTAAATTTCGTGATCAGGCATCATTCAAAAAATTGCCACCACCATCGGCACCATCAACACCGAATTTAAACGGAAGTCTTCAACCACATTTAACAAATGGTACATCACTCAACGAATCCATTGATCGTTTAAATAAAACAAATATGAAACAATCAACAAGTAAATTAAATAACTTCTTACACCGTTTCTCAAAAGAGCCAGCACAGCCGGGTGACCCAAATACAAAAGTTACGAAGCGTACTGTTAAATTAAGTGGAAATAGTACAACAAGCACAAACACAAATTCTCAAACGCAACCACAATCCGTTCTAAAAGTTCCTACAATCAATGCACCATCACCAGCAACAACTACAACAGGAGCCACAAAACGAACAAGTCACATAATCGGAAGAAAATCCACTGGCGATCCAGAGGTAGAATATAATGATCACCAAGGAAACGAATTTGAACATGACGAAATCCGTGCTATTAATGAGCATGTCCATGAATATTATTATGCTGTTAGAGTACTTCCTGGACAAAATCTTCGATCAGTATACATTGGATGGGTTGCATCGAGATTCAAACCTATTTTACAATACGAAAATCTTGTAGATGATACAACGACATCAGCTAATAAACTAGCGAAATTCATTCGTCGTTGTACAATAACGCAAACAGGCGAAGATGGTTCAATCATTGAAAGTGTTATCAGACAAGATGCTTATTTATTTTGTGCAGCTGATTTATTAGATAATATGCCGGATCATGAAGCTGTTGCAAGACGTGTTGCTAATGGGTTATTAATTGGATGTTTATGTGATATATCAACTGGCCGATTGACATTTTATGTTAATGGAAAAGAATCAGCACAGACACTTGATGTACGTGTAAAGTTTTATGTTTAAAATTGAAAATGAAATCTTCCGCAGTACTCACTCAAACTCTTTCGTGAAAAAAAAGAGCGTCGATATGTTACGGCATAGCTAGTAAAGCGATGATACTAAGTGCTGAATACAGGATCGATAGGATACAAATAATATATGCAGAGATGTGTTGCATTCAAGAGGGTACTCTCGTACTCCGCAGTACAGACATCTTGCTTGTTGCCTTTGAAAGTTGTTGTTCTTATTGAATGATAAAATAATATTTGACTTTTAGGCTGAGCCAGCTACAAAACTTTATCCAGCTGTATTTCTCGAGCCAACTGTAAAAGAAGCGATACAATTCGAATTAGGCCGTATGAAGGTAAAAGTCGATTGATGTAACATGATCTCATCATAACATTATTTTATTATTATTCCAGGGTTGTTTACCGTTAACTGCTGCTCTATTTCCAAGTTTAAATCGTGAAGAACGTTTCCTTCCACAATTACCATCACGTTTAAGTGTACAATCACTTGTTCATTGCCATTGGTCTCGTGTGCCGATTGCAAATTTACGTTGTCAACAATTGAAATTATCTGATGTTCGTGGATGGAGTGTTTTTGTTGAAGATCCTGGTAAACATTGATTACAAGATTATATTTTCACTTGAAAATTGTATTCGTTATAGTTCAAATGCAAGCAGTCTACGTTCCAGAGGATGATCGGTGTACGGATATTTTAAGTTTAGTGGAAGACGAAGATAATCTAGAGTATGTAAAACTTTGCGGAAATATTATATTTTGTTGCACTAGTTAATTATTTTAGTTTTTGTTCGAATACATTAACACTCTATAATGCTATTTGCGCTCAAGGTAACAATCGTGTTGCACATGAAATATGCAAACTAGTTGATGAAAAACAACTTATGTATTGTGTTAAAAATCCCTGTAAGTTGAAACATGAATTTTAATTTTTTGATTAGAATAATTTGTTTTAGATTTATGCGGACCTATTCGTATTGGTATTCATAATTTACTCATTGCTTTACATTTCGAACCACATATTAAAGCTCGGTGAGTTTTGTTGTTTTTCTGTTTTTATTTCAAATTGTTTTTCCTGCGTTTTCAGAAGTTTAACTTCACACGAATTTATAATTCCATTATCAACGCATCTTCGAAATAATCTTCTATTACGCTCACACAATTCAGTTGAACAACACAACTATTATGCAACAACAAGTTATATACCATCGATGGAAACTTTCCTGGCTGTACGACCGAAATTAATCAAAGAAGAAGAGTAAGTTCCTGTCTCGTATTTGACTATCTCTCAATGAAAGCTTCATATTATATATTCATGCAATCAAATGAAGATTTTTTTCCCGGAAACTTTCTTGCTACAGGAGAATATGCTTATTAAAGTTGCTATTTATTTTAATTTCAGTTTTAAAATTGAACGTGAAAGAAAATTACTTGTCCCGCCACCGTTTAATGTCACATGTCTAAAAGAATATGTAATGAATTCATTGATAGATGCAATTGAAAAAAGTTCTCGTCATCTTCGAGATCCTGTTGGTGGGTCGTACGCTAATTGGCTTGTGTAAGTATTCAAATGCGCACTTTGCCGGTCTTAATCTTTTCGTTCTCTAGGCCCTTACTTCAATTAGTCGATGCTCTTCTTGTCATGGGATCACTGGGTATGGAGAAAATTAGCACATGTGCGCATAACTCTGTTTCCTTTGCCTTTGTTTTTTTTAGAAGTGAATGATATTCAACAATTGTTACGTTTAATTGATCCAACATCATTTGGATTCGATACGGATAAAGATTTCGACGAAGGCTTACTTCAAATGAGATTAGATGAACCAGTTAAACTTCAATTATGTTTTGTTCTACAACATTTATGTAATTATCAACTACAATATCGTATTGAAGGCATTATTGCATTTTCAGAAGAATTCGTTGGGCGATTACAATCAGTAAGTCTCCGTCTCTCTCTCTCTCTCCTATCTTTGGCTGTTTTTCTTTCGAAATCATGAAAGAACATTCTTCTGTGTTGTTGTTGATTTATTGAAAATGAGAAAATATTTATTTAGGATCAAAAGCGACGCTATAATGTATTAAAAGAATCCAGTTTACCACCAGCATTAATGGCAAAGAAGACTCGAGAATTTCGTTGTCCACCAAAAGATCAAGTCAGTAAAATGAATTCGGCATTTATTTTTATTAGAGAGATTTAATTTTCTTTAGATGCAAGCTTTAATGGATTTTAAACAGGACTCGTCCGAATCAGCTTTTAGCAATGAGGACATGCAAGAAGAAATAAAAGATATGTTGAAAAATTTTCATGCCAATATCCTTATTCTACAGCAAGTTCTTGAGGTTTGAAATAAGCGTTTTAAAAGTTCTTGAGGAAAAAAAAGCATTTTGCTTTGGTATTTATAGCCAAATAATGATCTTCTTAAAATATCAAATGTACCTAAAGTAAATGAATTAGACCGCAATGAACAAATATCATTATTTTCACGTCTACTTGAAATTGTCATTCGACATGCAATTAAAAGAAAACATGAAGAGAAAATCATTGCTAATGCCGACAGACGATTAGCATTGAGACCAGGAAGTAAGAAGAGCAATATGAGATTTTTTTGATCTTATTTTTGTTTATTTCATAGAAACTCTTTGTGAAGTTATTAAAGTCACTGTTATTAAATGGGGTCGATTAACACATATCAATGATCCACATTTAATCAGAGAAATGTTCAACTTAATTTATACTCAATATGATGGAATTGGCGAGGTAATTTTTCTCTAATTGAAATGTATCAGTATAAACTCTCTTCTTTCGTCGGTAACTATAAAAAGATTTCGTGTCCGAAGACATCCGTATTGCCTTGTACGTAGGCCTGATTATAGCTTCGCAAATCTTTCGTCGTATGCAGTGAGAAAACGTAGTTCTATTCATCTCAACTTAAATTTTGTACGCTACTAATTGAAGACTGAATTGAGCTCCCATCATCGTCGTCTTTAAGATACGAATAGAAACTGTATTGATTTCTATGGAAAATTTTCTTTAGGTTTCTCGATGTCTCGAACGAACTTATATAATCAATGAAAAGTCAGTGCCCGATATAACATTATTACTACGAAAATTAAGCATTGTTCGTGCTCTTCTAACTGTTCAAATGGATGCTGATGAAGAAGAGATTATGATTGCATCTTTGAAGTAAATTTTAATCTTTTATTTTAGTAACATATTAACTAGAACAATATCTTGAAATGCATTTGTTTAGTGATATCATGGATAATCGCGTGTTTTATCAACATCCAGATTTGATGCGCTCACTCTGCGTACACGAAACTGTTATGGCGATTATGGTTAACCGTTTAAATAAAAGTAAACAAGAACAAACATCAATGTCATCAGTGCATGATATGGATGGTCTTGCGCAAACCAATGAAAGTGGAGAAAATCCAGAAGCTCATCTACCTAAAGTAATTTAAACATACTTCAATTGCGAGGAAATATAAAGCATTCAATATCTTCGCTCCACTGTCGCCAATCGAACGGTGTTATTTTTCTCTTGGCGATAGGGGAGTCGTCTGAAAGTTTTATTCGCAAACAAAAGCACTAAACGAATACTCATGAGATCACATGGCCGATGTCAATCATGATTAAAAAAGTCTATTGGTATTTTACAGGAGATGCAATTACCGTACTGCTTTCATGGTCTCAATAGTGCTATTATGAGTATTGATGATCTCGAAATTGCATACTAGACGCATGCGTACTATTTTGGGAATATAGATATATCACAAGGACGAGCGGTTCCGACTTGGGGAGCGTATCATCATAAAAACTAATCAAAGATTTTGAAAACTCCGATAAAATATAACGAAATCTAGAGCACACACATCCTGAATCATGAACGGTTCGATGAGTCATCATATTCACAGGCAAATGCGGTCATGCAATAGTAATTGTTTACAATTCGAGTGAAATCTGTCAGATTACTGTCATTGATGTATATAAAATGCGCAGTAATGCGTGAATTTATTAGTGCGAGTTCACTGATTTTGACGGGTTTTCTATCAGCATGGAAAAAAATCAACCTAACCAATTAGAGTAGACTGGAGATATGGAATGTTTTTTCATGGCCAAATTATGTATTAACTAAATGATGAATTGTTGTTTTTTCAGGAAGATAAAGTTGAATTGGTAACGACTTGTTGCAAATTTTTATCCTATTTTTGTCGTACATCGCGTCATAATCAACGAGCTATGTTTGAACATTTAAGTTATTTATTAGAAAATAGTTCAATGTTACTTTGTATGTACAAAAAGAAAAGATGATCTTCATCGGTTTCATTTTTTTATTGTTGCTTTTGTTTCTGTAATTTAGCACGTCCATCTCTACGTGGTTCAGCGCCATTAGATGTCGCTTCAGCTAGTGTTATGGATAATAATGAATTAGCACTAGCTTTACGTGAATCACATTTAGAAAAAATTGCCTCGTATTTATCACGTTGTGGTACAACAAGAAATGAAGAATTATTTCTTCAAGGTTATCATGATATTGGTTGGGATCCGGTCGATGGAGAACGGTTTGTTAAAGTTTTCGTCTCATTTCGCTTATTATCTTTTACTTATTAGATTTCTTGATTTTTTGAAATTTTGTGTTTGGGTTAATGGTAAAATATAGTTTTTCAGAAGATTTTACAATTGCTAAATTCTTTGATTCTAGGTGATACGGTCGAAGAAAATGCTGATCTAGTTGTACGTCTTCTTATTCGTCGTCCGGATTGTTTAGGTCCGGCATTGAGAGGTGAAGGTGGAGGTTTACTCAAAGCAATACGTGAAGGTATTGCACAATCACTTTATATCGCTCGACGACAAAATCCTGATGATCCTGTCATACAAGCTGCTTATCAAGAAATAATTGATGATGAAAGCATGCACAATTTAAATGAAGAATAGTAAGTTAGCTTTCGTTTTTAAGATAATACAAACATTTAAGTGTATTGAGTTCGGACAACGTGCAACAGTATTGTTACTTATCTAATTAGATAACGTTAAAATAGATTGTGATCGAAAAATTTTTCTATACGCTCTTGCTCGAGTTCACAGGGAAGCTCTATGGAGCCAGAGAAAATTGGATTAGACATTAAGCCTCAAAATTTCCTTGTTGATAGTTTTCTGTGGGACTTCAATTCGTTTAATTGTCAGCCGATGATTTTACTTCGAACATCGTCCGATGTTTGAATAAGTCATTATTTCTTTGTTTTGATTCATCAAATAAATTTCATTCGAGCTCTGTTGCACATACACTCGATGTTTTTGTAGTAATCGTTGGATACCAAAAACTGCTATTGAAGCGTAAGTGTAAATTGATTAACATATCGCATTGTTAGATTTCCTGAACGCATAAGTGCTGACCTTTCGTCGTAATTTTCTTCTCGTTTTAGTATTTTTCCTATTTTAAATGCATGAATAGTGATTAAATGTTTAGTTATTGTAGTAATTGTTCTGGTAGTGATTTTTCTTTATCATAGTTTTCAAAAGAAAAATCATTTGTTTTTATTCCTATTATTTTAGTGATCGTCTTCAAGTTCGTCTACCATATGAAGACGATGAAGAATATATCGATTTAGGTGCAGCTGAATTATCATTTTATGCTATTCTGGTTGAGTTGTTAGGCCGATGTGCACCATCAGAAGAAACAATTAAAATGGGAAAACCAAATGCTATTCGCGCTAAATCAATTCTTAAAAGTCTTGTTTCCATGCATGATCTCGAAGGTGTTCTTGGTCTTAAATTTCTCTTACCAAGTACGTTCAGAATTCTCGAATGCGAAAATGAACCTTGACAAATAATATTTGAAATATTTTAATCGAATAATTTTTCTATTCAGATGAAAATTCAATGCCACCTGGCCTTCAGCCGGCACATAAAATGTCTATAATATTATTTCTTGAACGTGTCTATGGCATTCCAGATCAAGAAACATTCTTTCGCTTGATTGAAGATGCATTTCTGCCCGATATTCGTTCAGCTACTATTCTCGATATGGTAAAAAATTCAGAATAAAAACAAGGAAAACACTTGATTTTAAACCATTAAAATTATTTTTATTAGGCCGCTATAGCAGAAAGTGACATGGCACTAGCATTAAATCGTTATCTATGTACTAGTGTTCTACCGTTGATGACAGCTCATTCACATTATTTTGATGATTGTGATCATCGATCATCACTTCTGGAATCAATTTTGCACACTGTTTATCGTCTATCGAAATGTCGTTCATTAACTAAAAATCAGCTTGGTACTATTTGTGATTTTTTACTTGCATTTGCCAAGTAAGTTTTCATTTTTGAAGAAAAATAAAAACAGACAATTCGATTTTTAGCCAATTGAAACCGTCAATGATGACACCACTATTAAAAAAACTTGTTCATGATGTACCAGCATTAACCGATCAAACTATTGTACCATTAAGAGTATGTTAAATATGATTGAAAGTGCTTTTCCTATCATCGGTTTTTGTTGCAGATGCTTACTCAATGGTACGAACGATGCAGTCGATACTATGGTCTCGCTGCTACAGAAGAAGAAAAACGTTTAACTATGATGTTGTTTCAAAAGATTTTCGATGCGCTTGCGTCTCGAGTTTGTCTTATCGTGTTGCACTTTTCTGATGAAAATAGTGATTCCTTTAATTATAGGCTTATGATCCAGAATTGTTTGGTAAAGCACTTCCATGTTTATCTGGTACGTCGAATTTCTGAGTGAAAAGAATAATTTTTTTTTTATAAATCTCTGTTGAATAGCTATCGGCAGTGCATTATCACCTGATTATTCATATTCAATAAATCAAGAAGATTCGCTGGACCATGAACGAGAAAAAGTCGAAATGTCACGTTCTTACGAACCGAATCCAGTCGATACAACAAGGTTAGTTTTCAAGATAAACTATAGAAGTAAACGGTGAAAGCCCTCATCGTAGTCGAATGCATCTCTTTACCTTTTATGGGACTGTTTAGATGCAGATTGCATATCTCTATTTCCTCGGCATCTACCACTGATTTTAGATGTAAACCTGGAAGTTGCTTGTATGCAAGACCAGGCGTCACTATCGGACGAGCGATTTGAAACAAATTGCTGTTAGCGATTGGTTAGAAAGTATTCGATAGAACTTTATGCCTCAGTTTAAAAACAAGACTATGTGTATCTATTTAGTCAATTCATAGGATGTATAACTAAATAAAATATTATTCTAGTGTTGTATTGAGCGCAGAACTTGACGACTTTGTTAAAGCATATGCTGAAAGTGTTCATGATCAATGGGCATATGCTAAAGTAAATTGACAATGAAAATTTGTTCGTCTGTTTTTTTTAATAATTATGTTTTGTATTCAGATTGAGCAAGGTTGGGCTTACGGCGAACAAATCAACGATAAATATCGGCAACATCCAAATTTAAAATCGTATAAATTACTTGATCGAAAGGTAAATTATTTATTTTCGCTTATTGATTATACGTTCTTTTTTTGCATCCTTTATTATTTTAGGACACTACTAAACTAGAAGATCCTATTCGTGAAGCATTAAAATCTATTGAAAAATTACAATTTCGCTTAGAAAAAACTGACGCTGGTATGACACGTATTGCAACGAAACCAGTTCAAAGGAAAAAACAAAAAGTAATATTTTAAATGAATTTTGATAATAAATTAATGAAGTATTTATTTCAGGATAAGAGTGCTCCTGATTATACGCCAAAAGCAATGGATTTCACAAGTGTTACAATTAATCGCGAGATGCAGGTAATAATCAGATCGAATTAGCCTAAGAATTTTCGCATGGACCTATGAAACAGTCAAGTAATTCTATCTTGATATGTAGACTAACTATCCTATTGAGATTTGCATTATTATCTATATCGTTTGATTGTGAATTAAACCTAAATAGAATCTTTCATTAGTTCTATGTAGAATAATTCCAAAGATACTATCAGAACTTGGAGCTCGTCTAAAGCCTCGGAAGGATATAAAGATTCTTTGGGCACATAACGAATTCTTAAGCAGCTATTCAACGTAGTTTACCACTAAAACTAATGCTGTTCTCATTGACATTTTTTTTGTTTTCTTTCAGGACTTGTCTGAAGCTCTAGCACAAAATGCACATGAAATTTGGGCGAGACAAATGCGAAATCGTCTTGCTGCTATTGGTAAATGATCTCTTTGAGGATGTTCTTTTTTGATAGTTCATTCTCGTTTAAGGCGGCGGCCTTCATGCTCGACTCGTGCCATATGATTTATTAACTGATAAAGAAAAACAAAAGGATCTTAAATTCTATCAAGATCTGGTTAAATACTTGAATATCTTTGGTTATCGTGCTGTCAGGTAAATAGAACAAAAACTAAATTTCAACTCTATAAATTTCTCTTTCATGTATTTAGAAAAACTCGTGAAGAAGAAGCTGCCAATGGTGTACTCGCTGCACTTATTCCAGCAACACCATCGTTATCGTCGAACAGTGCATCACAAACAAATGAAAAACGTTTTGCATATAGTTTATTGGAAAAATTACTTGAGTATGTCGAACGGGCCTCATCTACCATGCATAATTATAAAGAAAGTTCGAAATTTTCCTTACACGAAAGTTATCGTTTAACAACAAAAGATGTGAAGTTTTTCGGCAAAGTAAAAAATAACACATAATTTTCGGCTTTTTTTATGGAATATATCTGTTTTTAGGTGGTTTTACCACTTGTTGAAAAATATTTTCAAGCACATCGAGATTATTTCATAACACCATCGTCATTAAAAACGGGCACCGGTTACGCAACAGTGAAAGAAAAAGAAATGAGCTGTAGTCTTTTCTGTAAATTAGCATTTTTACTACGACAAAAATTCAGTGCATTCGGAAATGAAGTTAACATCTCGGTTCGTTGTCTTAAAGTTCTTGTACGAGCCATTGATGTTAGGTAATATTAAATGAAATTCTATCGGAGGTTTTATTTAAAGTTCTTTTCGTTTGATATTTAGTTCGGTTATGAAGAATAGTCAAGAAATGGTTCGTGCTTCATTGTTGCCATTGTTTAATAATATTGCTGAAGATCTCAATCAAACTGTACAAAATCTTGAACAAAAACGCTACAGCCATATTAAAGGAACTTTACAACGTGGTACAACTAGTCTTTCATATATACATATGGTTCTTCTACCAGTACTTTCGTCCATGCTTGATCATTTGGGAAAGAATAATTATGGCGTTGATGTTTTTGGTGAGATTCTATAGTCTGAAAAAATGCTATTATAAATATTGGATAATCTTTCTAACAATTAATTTCCTTGCTAGTGTAATGTGAGCATGTCTCAATAAGAACACAAAGGACATCTGAGTCACTGATGTTATTTGAGTACTTTGAGAGGACGTTCTAAGCAAGTTATCGATATTATCAGTATACGCTAATAACCTTCACTATAGCATGTCCAGCAGTGACTTAATCCAGTACCGTGCAGCTACGAAATTGGTTAGACTCCATGCGAATTCCTACTAGTTTTGTTGCAATAAAAAAATTTATATTCATCATTGTTTTTGATTTAATAGAAAATGAAATTCAATTAGCTGGCTATAAAATTCTAAATGCTCTCTGGATTATTGGTACCCAGGGAACAAAATTTGTTGATCGGTAAATGCAGATTTCATTTTTTTTTGTTTCATATGTATACACTCATGTACTTTTGTAGTGAATGGATTATAGAAGAATTACATCGTCATCGTCCATTACTGGGCGATTGTCTGAGTTCATTTGCCTCTTGCTTTCCTATAGCCTTTTTCGAGCCGGAATTTAATGGCAATAATAAAAATGCATCGAATGTTTCACAATTATCACCTGAAGCGAGTGGTAAATTAATTTTTTAAATATATATGCATTTAAGCAAGCATAATATATTTATTGGTAAATAGATGTTATGACAAATATCGCAAGAACAATTCCTCATTTAACAAAAGTTATATCAGAAATTGAAGAACACGCTGAATCGAAAGCAACATATGAAGATGCACCGTTTGTTGTCGAAGTTATTCTTCCATGTGTTTGCTCTTACTTACCATTCTGGTGGTCAGTAGGGCCACAAAAGAATAAACAATCAGCAGAGTATAGTGTTGATCTATTTTTGTATTTCATAATCTTTCATCTATGAGTTTTAGACCAAAAGTCACCAATGTAACAGTCGAGCATATGAATTCGGTATTGGGTAGTGTTTTGAAATTAGTTAATAATAATATTGATGCAAGTGAAGCACCGTGGATGAAGCGTATTGCCGGTAAAAACGAATTTGATGGTACAAAGAACAAATAATTATGTACTATTTTCATTTTTATAGTTTATACCCAAGCAATCATTCTAAATTCGTCTACAACTCTTTTGGAACCGTATTTACTGCCCGTATCGGAACGTTTAAAAATAAAATGCGAAGATCTTTATGCGCAAGAACAAGCATTGAAACATGCCACCCGTTTAGAATCGTCGGAACGTGAAGATCTTGAATCAAATTTAATGAAAGTAAACTTCAAAAGCAAGAACAGATGATTTACAAAAATCTATCGTATAATTTTATTTAGAATTATGAAATTCTTGTTCGAGATGTTTATGCGTTTGGTCCATTGCTAATAAAATATGTCGATATTCATCGATCATATTGGCTTAAAAATGGTGATCTACATGCTGATCATTTATTTGCTAATATGGCGGTCGTATTTTCAACTTGGTGCAGATCAAAGGTACGCTTTGGAAACATTTTTGAAATTTAGAAAATTCCACTTGAATATCTATTTAGTATTTTAAACGTGAAGAAATCAATTTTGTAACGCAACATGAAATTGATAATACAAGTATGTTAATGCCAAGCGGCACAAACCAAACAACGAATGCAACAGATGCACCGATAAAAACCTGTAGTGATGATTCAAGTGATGGGGCATTAAGTGGGAAAATGAAACGAAAGAAACGCCGATTGGATAAAGAGAAATTTACATCATTGAGCGTTGCTTGTATTAAACGTTTATTACCTATTGGAATGAATACATTTGGCGGACGAGAACAAGAACTTGTTCAGTTAGCTAAACATAAAATGATTGAAGTAAGAACTACGCTTTTGTTTTGTGCAGGGTTCATCACTGATTTTAGATGCGATCTCATTTAATAATGTTCGGAATCTATAAGAATAAGCAGGCTGCTCTAGTTGCTGATATAGCATGTTTCTATTTGCAGAGTAGAAGCTGTTTCTGATAGCCAGACGGTCGATGAAAAATGCTTCCGAAAAAGAAAAGAAAATTATAGGTGAATTACCGATGGCTTGCTTCGTTTTGATTCGAGCTAAACTACTTCTGGAATCCGACAGGGACTTGCTCGAAATTTACCATCATAAGCAGAAAGAACATGAAGTGGTTATTTAATGATTTGCTTTGTTTTCTTTAGATGAAAATCTCTCATGATGAAAAAATTGAAAATCCAACTGAAGAACAAATGATTCTCGATTTAACAGTTTGTTTTCCATAGATATCTTTCATATTCTTATTGATATAGCTGTTGATTTACATATAGGGCGATCAAGAAGAAAGTGTCGAAGAATTTCTTCGTGATATTTTCTTTGCACAGGAACAGGTAGTTTTTTCTATTCATTTATGTGATTAAGAATTCTTAAGAATTTTATCCTATAGGGAGAATTAGTCAATAAGAATAATTGGCAAAGTGCTTTATATCGAAAGATAGGCTCGAAATCTCATCAAACAGGTGTCGTTCATTCACAAGAATCTTCAATGAAACATATGTTGAAAATGGCTAAAGTTTTATTTGGTTTGAATTTTGTTGATCATCCGCCAACACATCGACGTGGTACATGGAGAAAACTTGTTTCATCTCAACGTAAAAAAGCTATTATGGCTTGTTTTCGTATGGCGCCATTACATTCTGTGCCAAGACATCGAGCTATGAATATGTTTTTACGTGCTTATCGAGAATTATGGCTTGCAGCTGAAGACGATGCACGCGCACGTTTAATTGAACATCTTTGTGTAAGCATTGATTTCTGAGTGCTTAATTTAATTTAATGAGAAAACAAAAACTCTTTCAAGGAGGAACTTCAAGAAACAAATGATCAAGAGGGAGCAACGATAAAAGAAGAAACAGAAACTGAAACCGAAAATTTAACATTAACAGCGACAGTCAAACCAGATCCATTACGACAATTATTACAATGTTTAAATCGAGCTGCAACAACTGCTCAGATGTTTTCCATTACAGAAGATGTTATTTATTTGTCCTATGCTGATATTATGAGCAAAGTAAGAATCTATTGATGGAATTAAAAAATAAAAGACAAAATTGTTGGTTTTATTTTATAGAGTTGTGTTATTGAAGAGGACGATGATGATAATGGAACAGAAGAGGTCAAGTCTTTTCAGGTAAAATTAATAATATATTTTTCTCTGAAAATCATAGTAGAAAATACTTCCTTGAATCTTTTTCCTTATCTGCGTTCATGGTTCAGCAAATTATCGAGAGGAAATTAGATGTTTATTTCAGTCAAATTACAAAAATTGAAATAAATAAAATAATAACTGTGTTTTTCCGCTTTAGGAACAAGAAATGGAAAAGCAAAAATTACTTTACGAACAAAATCGCTTAGCTAATCGTGGTGCTGCTGAAACCGTATTATTATACATCAGCGCAAGCAAAGGTTTGTCGTACATCATTCGAATAGAATTCTTATTTTACTATTCTTCAGGTGAAAATAATGAAATGCTTCAACGAACATTACAACTTGGTATATCATTATTACATGGTGGTAATCGTGAAGTTCAAAAAGTAAATTGCTTATTTGTTTTTATTATATTATGAATTGTTTTCTTTTTCAAATCATTTTAGCGAATGTTAGATTATTTAAAAGAAACAAAGGATGTTGGATGTTTTACATCGTTAGCGACCTTAATGGCCAATTGTAGTGTACTTGATCTCGATACATTTGAACGTAATATTAAAGCTGAAGTACTTGGTACGTTAATTAATTGTTGATATCATAATTTGTACATACTAAAACTTGATTTTAGGTGTTGGTGCCGATGGAATGGCTGGCGAAAAAAATTTACATGATGCTGATTTTACTATATCATTATTTCGTTTTTGTCAACTTTTATGTGAAGGGCATAATCTCGAATTTCAAAATTATCTTCGTTCACAAACAGGAAGCAATACAAATGTCAATATTATTATTTGTACTGTTGACTACTTACTTAGTTTACAAGTAAAACGAAACTAAGAGATTGAAAGAGAATTTTTGCATTGATTGTTTTATTTTTGTAGGAGTCATTAATGGATTTTTATTGGCATTATTCAGGCAAAGAGACAGTGGATGCACATGGAAAAGAAAATTTCTGTCGAGCTATTAACGTTGCCAAACAAGTTTTCAATACATTAACTGAATACATTCAGGTTTGATATCATAGAAACGTATTGCTAACGAGGGAAGGTCCCTGAGCGTGTCTCTGGGATTTTAACCAAAAATAAATGGATGTATCAGGTGCAAGTATTGGTATCTCAAATATATACAAATTAGCTGCCAGAGCAAACAAATCGAATAATTTAAGTGAACAAATTTTTTATACCCTGAGGGGTACCACGAGTACTTTGCCATTAAAAAAATTCGTCCGTGGTACCCGTCAGTTAAATTTTTTGATTCGTTTGCTCTGGGCAGCTAATTTGTATATATTTGAGATACCAATACTTGACCTGACACATCTATTTATTTTTGGTCAAAATTCCAGAGACACACTCAGGGACCTTCCCTCGTAAGATAAATCTTTATTCGTCGTCCAACATCTGAAATACAAAAAACGTCAACTACTCTTTTTTATGCACTAATAAATTTTCTAGGGTCCATGTCCACAAAATCAATTGGCACTGGCAAACAGTCGATTGTGGGATGCAATCGCAGGATTTCTCTATATTTTTGCGCACATGCAAAGAAAACTATCTCAAGTAGAATACAACCCATTTATGTTTCGATTATTAATTTTCTCATTTAGGATCCATTACAAATTGAATTATTACGTGAATTAATGAAATTACAAAAAGACATGATTATCATGTTATTATCAATGCTTGAAGGTAGTAGAGGTTTTTTGTTCAAACCTGTAATTTTTATTTTCCTCATTTTAGGAAACGTTCTCAATGGTCCAAGTAAGTCATTCCAATACTATCAATATGTATATATATATATATATATATTTCTGTCTACTAGTTGGTAAACAAATGGTTGACACGTTGATTGAATCACAGGCGAATGTTGAATTATTACTGCAATTTTTTGATATATTTCTAAAGATGAAAGGTTTAACAACATCGGAAGCTTTTCAAGAATTCGATACCAATAAAGACGGATTTATTTCACCGAAAGAATTTCGTCGAGCTATGGAAGCACAAAAGATGTATACGAAGTAATAGAAAAATTTATTCCGAAGGGAGAAAATATTTCCGTACATTTTTGTCAATATTTAGCCAAGATATTGATTATATATTGATGTGTGTTGATACGAATCAAGACGGAAAAATTGATTTTATGGAATTCACAGAACGTTTTCATAATCCAGCGAAAGATATCGGCTTTAATATGGCTGTTCTATTGACGAATTTATCTGAACATATGCCACATGATATACGTTTACAACGTTTAATGGATAAAGCTAAAAGCTTTTTATCCTACTTTCAAGATTATCTTGGTCGAATTGAAATCAAAGGTGGTGCTGGTTATATTGAACGTGTATATTTCGAAATAACAGAGTCAAACATTGAGCAATGGAACAAGCCACATATTAAAGTTCGCTTTTAATTTGTTCTAAATTCGTTTTTTTTTAAATTTTTATTGTGCTTTATTTTAGGAATCGAAAAAAGCGTTCTTACATCTAGTTGTCAATGAAACAGATGATAAAGAAAAATTAGAACAATTTATTAATTTCTGTGAAGATACGATTTTTGAAGTAAGAGTTTAAGCATAAAGTTGATTATGAATATTCGCAAGAAGACTATCAATTATTGATCTGAATAAAGATAATAATCTGAACTAAAAAAAAAGAATTGTATGTAAAACTAACCGTGCAATTCAAGTAGTTTGATTTTCTTACAAATATGTAACCTGGGGAATAGAGTGAAAGTATCAAAGTTAGCGGTATCGGCAATTGATTATCAATCATTTTGATTTCATAACAGTTTAATATGTCCTGCAATGATAGTAATGAATTACTTAGGAAAATAATAATAAATATTATAATTAGGTATATCATAAACTCGAATGCATGCGGTCGGTAATTCTCAGTCAAATGATAAAAGAGAGAATTTCAAGCTTGGCTATGGTAGAAACTTCCAAACAGTGGAATAAAAGGTGATCCACAAATCGTATAGTACTTTTGTGATTAACTATACATCACAAGAAAGCCTTGATCAATTACCTAAATATCTAAAACACAGTTCTAACTGATTGAATAATATCTGCATCCTCGCCCGAATCGTCCATCACGAGCACAAAGTCAGAGTGCGAGCTTACTGCATGTCCAATCGTAATTTAATTTTGAAAATATTTCTAGGCATATTATTTTTTCAGAACACTCTTTCATTATTGAATTAGATCTATTGCAATCCTATTGACATATATATTTAGATGCAACACGCAGTAGCTCTCAGCGGCGAAGAAGACGATCAAGTAGCTCAAGCAATACCATTTTCTGATGTTGAAACAGGTGCTGGCGGTCGTCCAACAACATCGGAACCAATTAAATTAGCTTTATCCTATACTTGGTCCGGTATAAAAGGTCTCTTTCATTTACTTCATCCATCCACAATACGTCGTGGCTACGATCAATTCCGTCAAATGACATTAAAAGATATGATAAAAAGTCTATTTTTATTACTAATCAAATGTATTCGCTTATTATTCATAATCATAATCTATACATTAAGGTATGTTAATAACAAAAAAGTAGTTTTATGCATGAAATTTGCAGTGTTGAATTTTTCTTCAGTTTGCATGTTTTTTTCATATTGAAATGTTTATTGACTAAACGCTGTTATTATCGATTGACAAAAAAGTTTCATCGATATAATGAAAATTCCAATAACACTCAATTGAAATCTAAACAAAATGATGATAATCATCAATTATTTATTTCAAAACATTCAAAGAAATCCAGCAATGATGATCGCCATTTTTTTAAAAGAGCAAAATCAACGAATTTATTTTTTAATGCAAGAAATTCATCTCAACTTCATTATCGTTGCAGAGATAAATCGAGTAGTTCAGATATAGATACTAAAACGAAACGGTTTGTTTCTTGTTGTATATCATCGTTATGATTTTGCTTTTGTAATTTATTTGATGACATATAAATATTATGCTGTTTTCTTTCTTTCTTTAGAACATTGACGTATTGCATTTGGAATTTGATGACAGGCGAAGATCAACAAGATGTAAAATTAGAAAAAGTTGCACTACCACCGCCAACCATACGACGTGATCATCATTTACGTAAGTTTTTAGATTTGATTTGTTAGTAATACGAGTACGTAAAACGAAATTAAAAAAAAATAAAACAAACGTATGCCGATGAAATCCTGCAGAGAGTATTTTCATACATAAATCCTATTGTTTATAGTAGTATGTTTTAAAAATGAATTGACGCGTTATCTCGAGGATTCTGCAAGGCTACAAAAATCTATACGCAAACTTTTTCATTACCTTGTTCAAGCGTCCGCATTCCGTTTTGGCACGATTTATTTAATAAAAAACTATTTTTATATTTTCAGCTTCAATTAGTGTTGCAAAAATTGGATTCAATGCTCTAGAAGAATCAATACCAATGAACGCCTTTGGCATCGATCTTAGTTGTGATTCACCAGCAGACCATAGGTAATAAGTTTTATCTAGTCTATAGATACTGATTTTCTTATTCATGAATTTCGTAGACCATCTTTACTTGATGATGAAATAAATTTACTCAATTTCGATAGTGCTCAAACGTTGGACTCTGATCAAAAATCACTACTTGTTAACGGAATTGATTCATCAACAGGGCAAACCATAACATCATCAGCCAGCACAACAGCGTACTCAACGAGAGCTCCCGCTATAGGTCAATCGCAATCAGCAACAACATTTAATTTATCAACAAACGGAACTGAAAAGTCGAAACAAGCACTCGAAGTAAATTCGCAATAATTCGAATAGTTTTGATTCTTATATTATATTTTTGAAAAGGTTAACGCTCAAGGTGACTATCAACAGAAAGCGCCGATAATCAATCTCAGCGGAACAACAACAGAAGACGATGATTATATTCGACCTGAACCACCTCCAAGAACAGATTACGGAAAGAAAGCTTTGGTAATTGAAGCAAACACTTTCATTTATTCGCTCGACGAACTTATCTTTTCTTTTTCTCACCAAACAGGCATTGGTAGCAAGAAATTATCATCAATTGAAATTTATGGCTCTTTGTCTTGCGTTTGTAATTAATTTTCTTATGCTGTTCTATAAGGTAGTATTGATACAATGAACAATTCATATAATTATTTGACAAATTCTAGGCTATGCCATTACCGTCAGCAAATGACGAACCAATTCCATTGGATGCAATTGAAAGTATTGATGACGATGAAAACGAAGTAATTATGATGGACCCGAAAAATTACTATATGGTTTATCTATTAAAAATAAGTGCATTTTTACATTCGTGCGTCGCATTTCTGATGATGATTAGTTATTATAAATTAAAAGTACGAGTTAAATTTTTGTTTTGAGTTCGTGTGTTCGATATCTTTCGACTTTTAGGTTCCTCTGGTTATATTCAAACGAGAAAAAGAAATAGCCCGTAAATTAGAATTTGAAGGCGCTTGGCTAATCGATCAGCCAAGTGAAACGAATTCTTGGATATTATCGTATTTATCGCGTGAATGGCATAAACTGGTTATAAGTTCGCAATCATTTCCTGATTCCTATTGGGATAAGTTTGTGAAGAAAAAAGTGCGAAATAAATATTCAGATCAATTTGATTATGATGAGCTAAGTCGATTTTTGGGTATGGAAAAAAATGATACGCCAGGAAAATTTGAAGTTGTCAAACCAGTTGAAACTGGCCTATGGGGAAAGTATGGAGAATCAATAATAGAAATATTTTTCTCTTGGAATTTTATATCCTATATTTTACTTAGAATAAAATCTGTCGATATGCGATATCAAGTTTGGAAATGGGGTGTTATTTTTACGGATAATGTAAGTAGCAAAAATACGGCTCCAAAAAGATATGACTAATGATAATTAGATAGAATAAGTATGAATATATCGACTCTAAGCTTACTATTCTTGCTAAAATGATTACTACCTGTGATTCTGCGTCGTACATTCTAGTTTTCAGTCTGAAAATCATACAGAGAAAAATGATATTAGTAAATTTCAAGATCTAAAATAGAGACCCATTGGATTCAAGAGATACTCATCATTATTCTGTGCCGAACCAGACAGAAGTTCAAACACAATTTTTAAAGACATATTAAATACAGCTGACTTTATAGACTTTGCCTACATGAACACTTTTTACCAATAATATCGATCATTCGTTTTTTTTTCTAGTCGTTTCTCTATGTATTCTTTTACTTCATATTTTCCGTTATTGGCAATTTTTCATTTTTCGTCTTTGCCATTCATTTGCTCGATGTTGCCATCAGTGTTAAAGCCTTAAGTACAATCTTAAAATCGATTACTCACAATGGTCGGCAGGTACTTTTTATTTTGAAATTATACATTTTGTTTTGTAACAAAATTTTTTTTTCTAATTAATTAGTTGGTTCTAACCATACTGCTAATGGCAGTAGTTGTCTATCTTTATACAGTTATTGCATTTAATTTCTTTCGGAAATTTTATACGAAAGAAGAAGACGAAGAAAAAGAAGAAAATTGCAAAGATATGTTGACTGTAAGTTAAATCAAATGATAATAATAATAATAATAATAATCCTAATGTATATTTTTCTAATAGTGTTTTAAATTTCACATGTATTCTGGTATTCGAGCTGGTGGCGGTATTGGTGATGAACTTGAATCACCGAATGGAGATGCACTTGAATTATATCGGATTGTTTTTGATATAACATTCTTCTTTTTCATCATCGTTATCCTACTTGCCATCATTCAAGGTTTAATTATTGATGCGTTTGGTGATCTTCGAGAACAACTCGATTCTGTCAAAGAAACGCTTGAAGTAAAAAACTAAAATTAAAGAATATTCTATTCTTTTTTATTTATATTTTAGTCAAAGTGTTTTATCTGTGGTATTGGACAGGATTATTTTGATAAAGAACCGCATGGTTTTGAAGTAAGAAATAGATCAATGAGTCTATAAATTTACTATTAATTATTCTATTCACAGACACACACATCAGCCGAACATAACTTTGCAAATTATATGTTTTTCTTAACACATCTTCTAAATAAACCCGATACAGAACATACTGGACAAGTTTATTTCTATTTGATTAAATTTCTGAATATGATTTTTTTTTTGAATTTAGGAAAGTTACGTTTGGGAAATGTATCAAAGTCGCCGGTGGGACTTTTTTCCTGTTGGCGATTGTTTTCGACGCCAGTATGAACCGGGAGGCGGTGGTGCGACATCAACAGAGAGTTAATAGAATTTATTTTGACTTATTAGCCTCGCCGGTGATTTTTATTTGCTTCTAATAATTAAGGTGCTAATTTCTTTCTTTCCTTCTTTCTTTCTTTTCGTTCTAATCGATATGAAATGATTTATAAAAAAAGAGACTAAATGATTTTTGTCATTTTCTTAAATCACACACGGTCTTGCACTATTTTTGCACAATTTGTACGGTTTCTTTTTTTTTATACCTCTCATTCACGGTCTTTTATCTTTATGTGTGTGTGCGTGTGATTAGGACAATGTTTTCATTAAATAAAGAGAATCTACCCTGACCATTTATTAAAATCGATGTGTTTTTAAAATGTCAATTCTTAGATCAAGTTTTTTTTAAATAAACACTATGATGACGAGCATGTCTTTTTTTAAAAATTTATTTCTCTTCTTCGTCATTGCACCGAAGAGGCACGGCTCTAGGTTGAATTCTTTATATCAGTGATTGTATAAGGTAAGGTGAAATGATACGAGATACGAGAAGAAAAAGTTCGTACTAGATAAGTAGTCGGACGTATCAATATCTTTTTTCAATGAATTTTATGCACTCATCACGTAAACAATTTTTTAGTAATGAGTTCGAAACAGATCGTGCCCATAGATACTGATGTATCCTAAATTGGACAAATGAGTATTAGTAGTATTGCATCTGTCTATCAGCAAGAAGAACGCCGACTAAACATTTACTTTTTTCAGCTTTCTTTAGAATATCATTGCTATGTTTCATTAATTTTTGATTAACGAGATAGTATGGTATTTTTTATCTAGTGCGCAAAGTTCGTACCTTTCATAACCTGACACGTAATAACCAGTTTATGAATCGAAATATGTGACCACGAATTTTAAACACATCACCATAGATAGGACTTCTAGGTGACTTTTTTAAAATTTCTTACTAATTTGATGATTCATAGTAGAATAAAAGCGGACAAGAACTGCATGGTTTACGCCGCGCGAGCGTACTCATATCTTTTCTTCTTTTATAAAGTTCGCTCTATTTTTAATGCTTCATTTCGAACGACGAGAACTCAATAGACTGAAAACAGATAAGAAAGAGCTAGAAACAAACATGATCAGCGTTAATTTTGTTGTTATCTACCTCTCTTATTTTGTTCTTCTAACGTTTTAAAAACTGGTATCAGCAAAAATAAATTATAAATGATTCATAATTTCACAAGATAGTATAGCAAAATACGCAACTTGTTGCACATGACCCTAGAGAGTTATATATATATATATATCGCCAGTAAACGCATAGAGAGATACAAGCGTCTATTTATTTTAACATTCAGTAACAAAATACTCCTCTTGATTTAAATATTATGTCGAGCGTTGACACCAAAACAATTCTTGTCAAGCCACGAGATTCTACAGCTGATGCAGATCTTCAACATCAACCTTCGGCACCTGTTACTTATAAACTTCGTACAACTGCTAACTGGGTACAAAAACCATATAAAAAACGAAATATCTGGGAGCGTCTTGCTACGCTCGATCTTGCCAGTGACAGATGTTACATTGTACAACCCCAAAATCCCAATCCACCGCCTAAACTTAGTGCTTGGCACGAGCGCGCATGGTTAGCTATTATGATTGCACCAGCATTAATGATTCAAGCACTTTGGTATTATATGGTACCGGAAAATAGTTATTTTCATACTTGGCATCCAATTGTAACATTGATATTCTATCATATAGCTTTTATTGTTTTCATTCTGAATTTAATTAAACATCTTACTTATTACATGGATGTATATGGTACCTTTGATGAGCACAAAAGACCACGTGATTATGTTGCGGATAAGGATGTGTATCCACTAATTCGAACTGTTCTACTATATACAATAGTGCGTACGGCTGGCGGTTTAATTCTAGGTGGCTACAATCGTTATGCTCCTCCGTTACTTGGCCATTCTATTTCATGGGCTTTTCCAATTAAGATTGGTCTATGGTTGATAGCTTTAGATTTTTTCTTTTATTTCTATCATCGTGCAGTACATACATTTCCTTTTCTTTGGAAATACCATAGCAAACATCATTCGACAAAACATCCAACACCGCTTCAATCGATTCTCGCCGGTGATATTCAAGAAGTTATTGAAATTGCTTTAATTCCTCTCGGCGCATCTTTAGTTATGCCATTATCAGCACATGAATTTTGGATTGCTCAATGTATTCTTGTGTATGTCGAAGGAATGGGACATAGTGGCGCACGTGTTTATTGGACTCATCCAATTATCGGTGAAGTTCTTCGACCATTTAAAATGGAAATTACTATTGAAGATCATGACTTACACCATCGACTTGGAAAGAGTGGGAGAAACTATGGTAAACAATCGAGAATTTTCGATCGAATTTTCAATACAATCAGTGAACGTATTGAAGGCATAGAAAAATAGTCGAATCACCAACTTGTACTGTAAATTGGTAATATATTGAACTCGTGAGCATTCCTATCAGTATTGTTCTATTGATATTCGAGGAAATTTGTATTCCATGAAGTTTTTCTCTGTTTAATATCGAATAAAATTATAAATTGATTATTTTTTACACTGTTTATGAGAGATTTCCCTCTGTTTCTTGAGTTTTATTTAGCATAAACACTGTTGAGTATGCATACAATAAAATAGATATTTATCAATTTTGAGTCTTAATACAAAATCTTAATGAGTTTAAAATTAGCCATTGCAATTCGAACATACAATACACTTAACAAATACAATACGAATTATTAACAATTGTAATTGAACAAAACGGGGTGCTGGGAAAATGTCGAAACCCAGGTCAAGCAATCCAACAGTGGGAACCAATCGGAACCCATCCGACCCGACTCGCATCCAGTAGGATCTTATCGGATTTTGTCGGATCCTACAGAACTATCATCGGATTCCGGTTTCCGGATTTGGTGTGGGATTTCTCGATCTGTGAAGTGTAGAATTTCAGCCAGTATTAACAGGGATGATTAACTATTGATACCAGTAAAATAAAAGAATTGAACAAAGAATTATTATATAACTAAAATTGTATTGTCATGGTTGAAGTTTTCGTAATTTTAACTGGTGAAATCCAAGCAAAATCTCCAGCTATTTCATTTATAAATTCAAATAAAGGAAAACCTCTACTAGTTACCGATGAATATACTTTTAAATTAAATAAAGCATAACAACAACTACTAAGTATTGGATATGCACTATTAATTATCCTACAAAATTACGTCGAATTAATGCATTCATCTGAGTACAAAACTAATGTTGTTCTTCATTAAATTACACACTAATAGTTATAAAAGCGTAGTTTTCAAATTATAGGAAAATTTCTACTACAACGATTCGAAACATACGTAGAATCTGTTTTGATAAATTCGATAATAAATCGAAATTATTGCTTTTGCAATCTGTAGTCAAACAAAAACATGAATCAATATGATAACTACCACAACAATGTTGTCTTTTAAGTTTTGAGGATTGAGTAACGATCAGCGTGCACCATCATTTGAAAGTTTTCATTGATTTACAATATGAAACAGTTTGAAAGAAACGAAAAAACCTTAACAACAACATATTTTGTACACCAAGCAATTAAAACATACTTTGTTTTCTTTTTTTTACAATTCTGACTATTCGCTCTCATATTTTCTTCTCACCGTTCGTTAATACCATTTAAAGAAAATTTTATGGCGTGCATGTTATATGTAAACAATTGACTTTTCATACATTCTAGTGTTGAACGAAGCATACGTGTCTCGTTTGAAATAGAAGATGGCAACGTCGAGTAGACCATGTTCTATCGAAGCGTGCAAAAGCCCATCGCGGACGGTATGTATATGCTGTGATAAATGTTATTGTATGGAACATTTAGCACAACATTTTGGCCGGATTAATAATAAAATACCACCTCTCTCTGATAAAATTAATGGACTGGCTAAACGTTTGAATAAATTCGCCTCTATCGAACCTTCTTATCTTGTAGCATTGGAAAAATGGCGTGTTGAAGCTCATAAAACAGTCGAAGACTATTATGAATCAAAACGGCGGGATTTTATTGATGATAGACGTGGAAAACTAGAAAAAGAAGTAGAACGAGTACGACATACAATGGACAGACTCATGCGAAAGCACGATGCAGTTCAACAAGATATTGATCTACTGACACAAGATATTCGATTAATTGAACAGAAGTTTAGCGAATTTCAAAGTCTTCGTTTTACTATTCACCCACTAGTTATTGACGGTGATCTTATTATTCGAGATATATTTCCTTTACCTCCGCCTTGTCGAACTATGAAATTATCATTCGATGAATTTCCAGCTATGGCTAGTAATGATAAATATTTACTAGTACATCAGCCACCGAATCTTTCATTGCTTGATCGACATCTTGCAATTATTAAACAAGCACCATGGACTCAGGGTGAAGTTTGGGATATTTGTTGGTCACAAGCACTGGGTCGATTCATGTTAGTAGCAAACAAAGATATCTTTACAATTGAGCCAAGTACTATGGCTATTACAAAATCGCCATTATCGTCGGAAAACGAATTGAGTCGAGTAACTTGTTCTGATTCTGCATTGTTCCTATTGACACAAGGAGTGGGCCCAACTATTTTTGAATATAAAATACCACCGTCGAGTAAAAACAGCAAAGAAAGACGTCCACCGGAGGCATGCGCAGAATCTGAATATGTGTTCGATATCCGAGCTAATCAAAAAACACTTGCCATGGTTATCTTTAATCCAGAAACTGATAAAACACGTCTTGATCTACGGTCGACCATTAATTTTCAGCGTCTTTGGTCAGTTGACGTGGGAGAAGGATTTCGTTGTTGTTTACTTCACGGCGAACAATGGATGGTCGTCGATGCGTTAAATCGTCGACTTTATCATGTATCTAATGGTGGTAAACTTTTAAAAGCCGATAAATATGCTCATCAACCTTGGAATATTATTCAATGGGGTAAGTTTATTATCGGTATAAGAACAAGCGAAGGTATTAATTTATATTAATTATCAACACTTGATACTCGCCTAATTGATTGGCAAGAGTCAATGTGGAAATATTTTTGGTTTTGCTCGGTAACGTTCTCATTCGAATATGAGCATATTACAAAAAAAATTATGTATCATTTTTAGTCTTCTTTGTACTAATAAAATAGTCTACATTTCTCTTTTATGACATTGCGTTTTAAACAATTACGATGATTTTTATATTTTAATTGAGCTAACAATTTTATTTTTAGAAGAACTAAAACAATCTATGCAACTTCTATTCTACAAAATGACAATTACTTAATTAATTTTAACATAAATTATTTCTAGTTCGACATTATTGAATTGCTAGTTAAAATCAATCTTCATGTGCATGTATAATTTATTGATGTCGACGTTTCAGACATGCGTAGCTATTATAGATTATGAAAATATGTACTTTGATCAATGTGTATAAATTAGATCCAGTGGATTCTATGAATAGTACTTTTGCTTCTAAACTATACCAATGAAATAACTTCTGAATCGAACCAAAATTTCATTCAAACGTTTTCCCAATTAGTACCGGGGTCTTTCAAACTTTCGTCAGGACAACATTGCACATTTTTAAATAGAGAAATCACAAACATGGAAAAGGACAAAGCTTATGACTACTAAAAGAAACAGTTATAATCCTTTATTGAAAAGCTTCTTGTGCTTTGATTTCGTTGTTAACAACTGGTCGCCGATTGAAACACAGGCAACGTATGAGTCGATAGATCATTTCAGCGATTTCCATCACTGAAAGAAAACTAATACCAATCCAAAGGCCTGTTTGTCCACCAACATTCGAAAGAACATCAACTGGACCCAATGAGGCTTGCTGTGAATATAGTTCCGTTCGCACAGTTTCATAGGCGACTTCTAATGAAACATAATTCGATTGTATCTCTGAAACCCATGATGTTGACCAATCGTTAGGTAGCGTGATATTTGAAGACTCAACAAACTGTTTGATACGAGGTAATAGAACCGCTGGTGGTGCCGAAAGTGATGATAATTTCATAATGAACTCAGTATCGGTACACTCTGTTGTGCATTGAGGACAGTATCCATTCAATATGGAGTCTGAACTTATAATAAATGTTTTATATTTACGGGGACATGGATTGCTCGTATTACATAATGATATATTAATTCTTTGCTCAGTACCTTGAATGACAACAGCTCGAATATTCCACAATTCAGCATCCCCGCAGCCACACTGCGTATAACTGAAATAAATATATGAAATCAAACATGAAAAAGTAATAAACTAGATACTCTTACATATATTCTTGAACGCAGGCATTGGTGCAATAGAATAGCGAATATGCATAATCAGTACCATTGTATCCATCATAAACAACTTGTAGTCCAGGACTGATTTGTTCGGTACATGTTGTATAAGGCGGTGCCAAAAAGACATTCTTTTTCTTTTGAAATCCTAGCTTATGATGTCGTCCAGGTGAAAGAAATACGGCTTCCAAATCAACATTAGGTACCTTGGAATTATCATGAACTAATGCAACAATACCAGTGCCTAAGTATTAAAATGTAGAGAGAAAACTTTTAAACTATGACACCACTAATAAAGTCATAATATTATGCATATACCTATTTTCGTATAAGGCACATATTGCTGTTGATGTGCGTACAAAACTAATTTTAGTAGACCATTTTCTCCATTTTCTGAGCCATATCTTATACCACCATCCACGACATTTTTTAGTTTAGCATTGAATGTATAGCACATACCATATGCTGACGAAATAAATGAAGTAAAATTCGCGACTGTACATGTTTGCCCATTATAGGCACAGCTTATCATCATTCCATCCAGCGGAAAAAAATAATTATCAAAAGGTGCTCCTTGATTGAGTTGATCAATGAGAAAATCATTAATATAGTACGATTGTGTCTCAGTGAAATTAGCTGTGTCCGTTGTATTGGTTATATTTAATGTATTTGTATAGTTTACAAATGGTCCGATGAATCGGTCATATCGTATCATACCATAATTACAGATACTAACTGCAGGAAATAATTGAGGCCATTCGACAACAATCGTTACAGATGTTTGTGTAGGATAGTTGAAATATGCACGAATAGTTTGAGTAATAAAATAAACCATTATACCAGTGAAACAAATCAATGCAACCGTCCAAAAGAGCCAATTATGTATACTTTCGCTGCGTGCAATACCAGGGAAACCTTGTATTGATGTCGTCAAGCAAAATTCATTGATGACCGAGCCAGCTCGTCGACGTTTCGGAACAGATTGCGAAACTTCAGTATCGGTACGAGTAGCGACTGTTACATGCTTAGTAGTCATGTCCGACATGTTTATTCAATTTAAAAAGGGGAAAATATTTCTGACAACCAAAATTTGCATCAATGACATTCACTTATATTTCCTCGCTCAATGTTTGCATTGAAATGTGGGATGAAAATGATCACCACATTTTATGTTTTTAAATAATACACAAGGCTAGGTGGCCCGAATAGGTGTAAATTGCTTTGTTGATTCGTTATTTTTGGATAAGGTTTTGCACAAGTAGAATAATATTGTTCTTAATATTTACTCTCTTTGTTTCTAATTAAAAGATACAGAATGTTTTTCTCCTTAACTTCAGCTCAAGCTTCATAAAGTTTGAAAAATTTTGACTGTAAAATTCAGCGTCTTTTTGTTGTTGCTATGTCCATGGGTCTAATGATGATGTCTGAGAATTGTCGAGTGGATATGCATTGGTGAATAGAGAAAAAGAAATAAAAGACCGCTATGACCAAATATATTACTTGAAATGAACCACAAATCGCTAAAAAAGCGCGCATTAATCCATTCGTGTATTGCAGCTAATTCATGCAGAATAGCCTATTTTGTAAACATAGCTTTCATCGTTCCTAAAAATTGATTCATCAGTCTTTTAAAAGGACCTGTAGCTTTCAAGCACTCTTCTCAACGCTTTGAGCGAAAAATGAACAAATTTTCGATTTCCTCGTTATGCAAATACTTCAAAGTTTTTGCTGGAATTAGTTTGCTTCGTATTTAACATGCTGTATTCAATGATGTGTTTACTTTTCTTCTCACATGAAAATAATATTATGGAGGCAACGCTCGACGTATGATCATAAAAACTAAGTCTACACCAATGCTGAACTGTTTTTCACGTATTGGCAATGTGCTATTCTTTAATTGCAAGTACTTCAGAGGCATTTAAAAATGAGTTTTCGATTTTGAAAAAAATATCTTTCCATGTTTGTTGGTTGGAACATTCTTTAAAACTGCGATAGAAAGACAAATTAGAAATGTAATTTCTTTTGCGTCTTTTTACAAATAATTAGAATATTTCGCACGACTAATGATTAAGTAGAAGTCAGCGGGTTAGCAAATTTGTCAATTTATTGTCTTAGTTGTCATTAGATGTGAATTCGTTTACGAAAAATTACAGTTTGCCACAATGTTGCTTCATTGTTCTTTATTTTGATCCAGTTTACTCTCTATATTACCTAATTACATCGATATATTCATCCCATACTTGCTCAGCTTATAATTTCATTGAGTCTTGTAGATATTGCCTTTTATAAATTACTTTTAGTACAAATTTTCATCAATACTGGCATATCTGTAGAAGTGTCAATCGGCGCAAATCTTGAGTAACAGCTGAAATATCGTAATCCTTACTCAAGATGGCAAACAAGGTTAATAGCTCTAACGTTTATCATCTGTCTAAAATTGAATTCAGGCTACTTATTTTAATTCCAACATCATCCAATGTTTGTCCTATGCAGGACTAATACATTTTCATCAATGCGCTAAATGAGGAAAACATGAAATAATAATTCAACTGTCGATGGCGAATTCGATCGACATCAATGTTAACCTAATAATAATTATTCTAGCATTGATAAGAGACAACATAAACACTGGATTTCATTTTCATACCTTTCATGATTACGAATTCAAATGAAAACCTAGACGGTGAAGTATTCAAGTAACAAGCGAAGACAATCCGTATGCTCAAAAGCGGCTCGTAGTTCAGAATGATGAAGAAAATAGTTTTCAAGAATACGCATGCTTGTTTAATACTCACATCACATCGTTGCGCCTGGATATATCAGCAGAAAAACGATCATTTTTGAATATGTGTAAAAATATTTTTTCCTTTGCCAACTTGTACATTAGTCATCATTCAGAAAGTGAATTTTCAAACGCTCGTCAATGTTTTCTTCGTATAATGTGATTATATTGAAAGAAAAGTTTCAAAATTATATTAAATACATTTATGGAGAAGAACAATTTCTTCCTTAAAAATAAACATCCTATGTAGATCATATTAGAAGACACTTGAAATAATATTTCTAAGCAGCGGAAAAGAACTTCTATTCGGTTGTAAACCAAGAATTAGTTGAATATGACAAATGAAATTGAAGAGTACTTAGCAATAAGTTAGTTTGAGTAGCGATGCAAAAAGAAACTGATAAAACATGTAGAATCTTTGGCATCTCCTTTAGTTGAGTTTGCCAGCATAGTTACACGTTGATTATTGAATATGTCACCTGTAATAGCGATACCGTATCGAGTCCGCAGGAAAGTAGACGACTTTCCTGACATCAAATAACTTTCCGAAAATCGAATGGTTTTCAGAACATTAAATGGCTCGTCGACAATCGAATGAATTTCTGAACATGCAATACAACTATGGAAAGAAAAAACTGAGCGATCAAGAACGCATACCAAGGCCAACTCACTTGATGTTGAATTTACTGATGAAATTCGAATAAGAGATTTCCTAAAGGATGCATGGCATTTAAAAAAGTGCGTCGGCGCACTTAAGCAAAACAAAGAATTTTATTAATTGGAAATGGGGTTTCAGAGTTTCTATTGATATTTTTACAGTGCGCTGCTATTTTGAACAAAAAATATACGAGGAAAAGTAAGAGGTCCCATTTGATTGTGGTTGACACATTCTTCTTGTAAAAAGAGAGTTGGTGTGAAAAAGAAGAAATGATCAACAATTATACTCAAGATTGTTTTGTACGAAAGAAAGATGAAATTATAAGAGCTTGTTTTAAATAAACTAATGTAATTATATTTGACTCTTCGAAATAGTACATAAAAAATAATTCCTTTTGTTTTGTTCAGTACTTAAAATAATAAATTATTAAACAATGTTTTGATTGAGACTTTTTACTTACCCTTATGCATTGTTTTGATCATGTTTTTCAATTTTATAAATAGTTATTATTGTCGAAGTTTACGATGAATCTTCCATTTTTATGTTTAAAATCAATCATTAGTTTCATATCAGTGAGAAGGGTCTACGAAAATTGGTCGAAAATTTTGTAATAGAAGAACAAAAGCTTTTTCTTAAACGGAAACTCTAAGTCCGAAGTGTATCTGGAGGGTGAGGATGAGGTGGTCATCGTGCTCTCAAAACAGGCAACGTTACTAAAATAGTTAGAAGGTCTTCTTCCTAAGTTCTAAACTATTTTCGTTTATTATGCATGTCTAATTTATTTGTCCGAATCACTATTTTCCTCTAATATTAACATGATAGTGTAATTAGTGCTGTTTCACCTGTACACTACAAAGTTCGGGCTGTTTAAAAAAAAAGCTTTTGTTCTTCTATTACAAAATTTTCGACCAATTTTCGCTCTCCCTGAAAGAACATCAACTGGACCCAATATAGCTTGTTGAGTATATACATCCGTTCGAATACTTTCACAGCGACGCATCTAAGGAAACATAATTAGACTGAATGCCAGAAATCCATGATGTTGACCAGTTAGCAGATAACGAAATATTTGAAGCCTCAACGAATCGTTTTATGTCAGCTAACATAATCACTCTCGGAGCAAAAAGTGATGATGATTTGATAATAAACTCAGTATTTGAACATTTTTCTGTAAATCGATTTAGTATTCAAGAACGTTGTTCTACGTTCGCCGGGGCATGGATTGTTCACTGAACATATTGATATATTAGTTCTTTTCGTACTATCTGGAATGGCAACGGCTCGGATGTTACAAAAGTTAGGATTTCCACATTCACAAATTTCATAACTGAAATGAACAATTAAAACCAGCATTCAAAATATCACAAACTCCAAACACTTACGTATACTCTTGTATGCAGGCAGTGAAGCATTGATATCGTGCGTATGCATAATCAGTGCCATTGTATGCATCGTACATGATTTGCAGCCCAGGACTGATTCTATCAGTGCATGTTGTATAGGGCGTCTGCAAGAAAATACTTATCTTTTTTGTAAAGCCTAACTTATGATGCCGAGCAGGCGCAAGAAGTATTGATGTCATTTCAATATTGGGTATCTCGGAATTATCATGAATCAATGCAACCCTACCAGCGTCTAAATATTACACAGTACAGAAAGAAAATGCTTAAATATAATTATACAAATACAATCATGATACTCTGCTTACCATTTGACATAAATGGCACGTATTGTTGCTCATGTGTGTACTAGAGATGCACCAGTACCAGTAAATACTGGTTTTCTACTTTCGAAAATAACGATCAATTAAATGAGTAATTTTCTCAGCCGTCACTTCCATTGTCTATATTCAAGTGAAAAATTGATTGTTGCCGCATTTTGAAACAGTATAAGATATTCTATACTCAACTAGTTGATAACATTATATAGAACTTTTTTCAATAGTTTTCAACGTTTTTGAGGAGAAAAAGAATTTCATTCATGGATTTAGTCAAATAATAAAACAATCTTATGAAATAAACCGATGAATCGAAATACTGTGTTGAATATACAAACTTGAACTTAGGTTTAATCGATCACGAAAAATCAATTGGATATTTAGTGAATTTTATCAACTTTTAGTTACATAAATCTCATATAAATAAATTCAATACTGATACAAGTCACAAATGTCATTGTTTACCATGACTACGACCTGAATTAATGATTTTCTTTCTTCAAACACGTTGAAAACTATTGAAACATGTTCTAGACAACGCTATAACCAATATTTACTGGTGACCAGTATGACCAGTAGCCAGTATACTGGTACTGGTGCATCCCAAGTGTATACAGAGATAATTGTAGTAAACCATTTCCTCCATTGTCAGCGTTATATCTTATACCACTATTGGCGAAATTTTTAAATTTAGCATTGAATGTATAACACATACCATATAGTGGTGATACGAACGAAGTAAAATTAGCCGATGTACATGCAACTACATTATATATGCAGCTCATCATCATTCCATCCGGTGGAAAAAATAATCATCCAGAGGATCTCCTTTCTTAACTTTGTCAATTAAAAAATCAGCTATATAGTAAATTTGATTTGTGACACAGGTAAATTAATTGTATCCGTAGTATTTGTTAGATTTAATGCATTCGTATAGTTTAGAAATAGTCCAATAAATCGATCGTATCGTATTGACGCATAGTTACAAATAGTTACTGCTGGAAAAGGTTGAGGCCATTGGAACACGACCGATACAGATGTGTGTGTAGAATAATCGAAACATGCACGAATAGCTTGAACAATGAAATAAAGCATTATACCAGCAAAATAAATTAATGCAACAGTCCAAAATCAACGATTATGTTTACTTTCACTGCGTACAATACCAGATGGGCCAACTATATTGATGTGTTCAAAGAAAATTCTTTGATAATCGAACAAGCTCCTCGACGTTTTGGAGCTGGCTCTAAAGTTTCAAAATCCTGTTTGTAAATGGTTGGCTCATGCTCAACTTTTATGCCGGGCATATCTACTTAAAGTAATCGATTGTAATAATATTTCGATGAGTGAAAATAGTTCTAGCAAGTAAAGTTTGCACGAGTAGTATTTATATATATTTTGCTTTCGTTATTGCCTGTATTTAATTGCTTAGTCAGAATGATCACCATATCTAATATTCTTTAAGCATTACAAAAGCTAGGTGGCCCGGACAATAATAAATTGCTTGGATGATTTGTAATTTACGAAAATTATTGTAAAAGCAGCGTAATTTGTTAATCAATATTCAAATAATTATTCAAGCTTAATGGATTTCAAAGTATAGAGGCTGTTTCTTTTTTTTTGCCTGCTAATGTGCGATTCTAATGATAGCACTTAGAATTGCATGAAAAATATGCACATTGAAAAGTAAGCTTGAAAAAGTTATGACTCAAGATAGTGCTGATCATATGAGTTTGTCTAGCATTTTCTTCAAAACGAAAGCTGTAGAAGCTTTCAATGCGTTCACCACATCTTCTTTCTGAATAAAACACTAATAAAATGATTTTAACAAGTTATGAGTCATCTTTTGTTGTAAGTGATTATCGTGTTCGTATGCACGTTGAAGTCAGCAAAAAAATGCTAAATAGAACTTAATGATCTCCTTTCGTATCTATGCAATTTTGGTGCAATATTGCTTACATTGAAAAAGTGAAGCTAGGTTTTAATCAGTTTCCAATCCTTCGGTTGAGATTCTGGTCAATATTAAAAGAGGAATGAAATTCTTACATGAATTTTGTCTTTTCTCATTCTCTCTGACTACAATCGTTATGAAAACAGAAGATCGTTTCTAATTGATTAGTTACTGGTTTTATTACTACTATACATAAACCACAGACGTTTATCAACATCTTACATTGTAAGATATATATATATATATATATACAATTATTTCTTATGTGTCTAGTTAACATAAATATTATTCTCATGGTTTTTTATATTGTTTATACTAAATTTCTATTTTGTGATGAGAAGAACGTGTGATGATCTTAAGAATTTATTCAACAATTTTTGTTTGTATTCAAAAAATACAAGGTATACGAAAAAGATTTTCCTATCACAACTGTTGCTATTCATCATCAAAAAAAAACAATTTCATGTAAAAAAAACAGACTGTGGTCCAACTATATTGGACGGGCTGCCTACCGTTGTCTATTCACAAGCGCTATCCCACGACTGTACGACATGAGGTCTTTGACTTGCTCGCATATTCGCGCCTCAGCCGGTTCAACCTTCCTTAGACGCCCTGGAAGGAGAGATTCCTCAACTCCCACCATGTCGATGCCGAACTTCGTGCGGACGCTCGATCAACATAGACCAACGACAAGCAGGACTCCCGCCCGCAAGTCATTCACACAATCCGACCCCAGAAGTAGCTCCGGTTACAGAAAGACGCCGCGCTTTCCAGTCGACGCTGAACAATACGAACAAACTATCTAAATTGAAATACGTTGACATGTTGCAATAACATCCAATACAATAAACTATGGATATTATCTTGTCAGTATTGACAGACATCTATCGGTTACTGATGATTATGTCAAGCGAATTTAATATCTATCATTTAGTGTTAATGATGTTTATCGTAAAATCTTCGATGCAAAAGAATAATTCTAAAGAAAACCAAATGCTGTTCTTTGACTATGCAAAAAAGTAATCGCCCGGAAAATAATATAGGCGTAGTTCCATTTTAAATGTATAAATATCGAAGAAACAAGGTTTTTTTACTCGATCAAGCTCTATACGACATTTATTCCAATACACCACTTATAATCCAATTGCAACTAATGCTATGTTTTGTCTGTTCTTTTCTTCCATACAATTTTCTTTTTATGTGAATATTCATCGACTGACAGAAAGAAATAAACGACGACAGAAAAGAACAACAAGAAAAAAAGGACCTGCATTTATATGTTTAGGATAGGAATGAATATGTGTCTGTTAATATACGTGTATACGTGCTCTATAGTTTTATTTCTGCTTTTTTCCATACCTTTATTTGTCACCCAATGCTTTTACTCAGATGATGATTCATATCAAATCGAATTATTTTGAAACATAGCATAGTAAACGTGTACTCCAAGCTCCTGAGATGATTTTCTTGTTTTACAACTGTGTACTCGTTTGTGTACATATATATTTCTACGATGGCATTTGACGTTACCATTGGACTGTATGAAACTACCATGTATTTTTATTGTTTTAGTATGAAAGCAACATTTGAAATCATAAGCATTGATTGTTCACAAAAATGATGCAATGGCGCAATTCACCCTCAATGAATAATTCCGGAAATGATTATTCACATTTAAAATGGCCACTAACATTTGCTAGTATATTAACAACAATTTTAGCGGTCACTCTTCTTATAAGTTTTCGTTCTGATTCATGGTTTACATATGAATTAATTCACACGGATAATAAATCTGAAATATCGAATTCATCACAATATTCAAATTTACTTGAATATGGCACTATAGGTTTATGGACGATATGCGTTGCCCAATATAATGATCCTGCTGTAAGCTGTGATTCATGGACACAAGAAAGTCGACCTCACTCTTTTAATTTTCTTATTATATTAATTTCATGTGCATTGTTCCTGTCAAATTTAACAGTTTTTCCATCATGGGGTTCATCAATACTTATACTTTATAATTTCAATAATCGCTATACTCGACATATATTTTCTTTCATTGGAATTCTTTTAATTCTTACATTTTCATTTACAGCTGTTCTTATGATTGCAATATTTTATGCAATATTAACACCATTCTATGCTCCAGGACAGTTTACAATTGATACAGATCATCTGTTTTTTCATTCTGATCAAGGTCTATTCTGTGCTGGTTTTGGTAGGTCGATATTTTATGTTATTCGTTCTGAAAATAACTTTTTTATTCTTTATTGCAGCAAGTGTTTTAGCAATGATTTGTTTGGTACTAGTAATTATAACAGTAATATGGAAAAAAATGATTGAAACGAAATTAAAAGAAGCTGAAAAGGATCTTATAAAACAATTATCTAACGACGGTTATCAACATGGTTGGCATAAGATTGCTATCGCACCATTCACCCCTCAAGCAGATGACCAGAATTGTCGACCTCCACCATACGAATACCCGAATGATAAATAATCGTGCCTTTATTTTCCAAAACAAAAGCAATATTGTTTATTTAGTTTGGTGATTCGTATCAAAATTGATGTTCATTCTAATGATTATACTATATGCATATATATTTATAATAAAAATAATATTTTAAATTGCAACATTTTAAGATTTATTCGAAATTCTCTACCAGTGAAGTAGATTTATCAAAAACGATGACAGTCAAAAGAATAAGTCATTTTGAAAGAAAAAACTCTATATACTTTGCTACGAAGCATTTTTTTCATTTGCATTCTTGATTTATCACAGAACTATTCTCGATGAAATGCGTCATAGATGTCCAACTAGTTCGATAAACATTCTTACTGATAGCGTTAAGCTCTAGATATCGAAAGGTAATCGATGTAAATACTTTCTAAACAGAATCAAAATTCGACCAGAGAAAGATTCATACAAGCCATAACGATTGTTATGATTCAAAAACATTTTTTCTTCTCGATAAAAACGATTAATACCCTTACTCTTTAAATTTTAAGCTTATTTGCAAATAATCTTTTATAAACATTGACAAACATATTAACGTGAGGTTTCTTTGTTGGAAAAGAAACTTTCTAGTATAAAACAAAATGATCATATATTATTCGTAGACACTTTTCTAATTGCGCCAAAATCGATTTCTTTTGTGTCACCATATTAATAGTCATGCAAAATAACACTGGACGAATGATTGATTGTCAGTTCAGTATTGCAATATAACAGAAAAAAACTGTCAAAAGCGCTTGTGCATGATAAAAATATTTTCTTGGCAAAATTGTTTTTCTCTACAAACAAGGAGATTTTGCACTACTATGCTGAAGAACTCTGTTTCGTACTTCATTAGTCTTCTGTCATCGGCACTATATCATTTGTGTTCCTAAATTATTTATAAGGTAACACATGTAGATATATTGTCATCAATATTTTACAGCCGTCTCATTTTGAATGGTGCTTTGTCAATCAAAAAGACAATATTTTTATTAGGTCGTAGCGCATAACTTTCATCAAAATACGATCACAATTGTTTTTCGATGCCACTCTGGCTTTCATAAACCGTGTGATTATACGAATTCTAATATTGCCAAGGCAGATGTCCAACTTTAGTGTTGCCCATGTAAAAAAATTTAGGGTTGAAATCAGATTAAAATCGATTGAAAAATGATTGAAAATCGATTATAATCAAAAATAATCAAAAAAACAAGATTTTCATCGATTATTTCTATTATTTTCGATTAAAAATTCATGAAAACAATTGATTATAATCGATTTTCGTACATGAAAAATGGCAAAATTTTTAAGGAATTTGCGTCGCTTTGCATCGATTATAATCGATTCCCAATCGATTAAAAATCGATTAAAGGTGTATGATTATAATCGATTTTCAATCATTCTTCAATCGATTTTAATCTGATTTCTACCCTAAATTTTTTTACATGGGTGATTGGATGATACATAGTATCAAAAACAGAATCTCTCTCTCTCTCGAATAGTAATAATTTCGATAACATTTATTATTCGTAAACACGATAGTTGTTATCACACATTGAAACAATAAAATCAATGGTCTCTACTTTTGCGCGACGAAGTCGGAAGGAAATGGAGATAAGAAAACTTGACGAAATCCTCGAACACATTTAAGAAGAATTAAATTCTTATGACCAACAACATACTTTTGATACTCATGCACAATGCTAACAAAATTTATTTTCACGTTTGTTTCAGCATATTTTTACTTGCAGCTGAATTGGCTCTATTGCACTTGTGTCAGTTTTCTAGGTAAGCAAACAAATGCCATAACCAAGGTAAACACATTATGGCACAATCAATAAACACATCGTCATAAACAGAATGTATACATTTCTAAAGGCATTTATTTTTGCGAAATAAATACTTGCGTGGGTATATCATTTATATTGCTATGCGATTTTCCTTTGCATCAGAAAGACTTCCGTGATGTGTGAAAAATGAATATTTTGTTACGTAATAATATTTTGATGTATTCAGACTAACACATGACATTTTCGTTTTTATGAATCAACGATATCGTATGATGCTTTTGGTTTCTGATATTTTTTAACTTACCATTCTCGTACGATTTATGAGACAATCCTTATTGTATCTTTTCTATTTCACATAATTGTAGTATAGACCTTTTTTGTCTGAGTTTGTATGATATAGAACATTTGTATTTAACACAATAACTTCGTCTTGATTTTAACAATAAAATGAAATTGTTCACAAACAAAATAAATATATTGAAGAACCACTCGAGAAGTGTATTAGTTTCATTTGGAAATCTCCTAATAAGTTTCATATATTATCTATGCATAGAATGTTCTTGCCTGTCTCCGTTGTTTTGTTTTACTGAATAAACAAGAAGCCACATCACCGTAATATAGAACAAGACGAAAACATAGAGAACAGATTTTCAACTGAAATCAAGGAACTATGACCAGCTAATTAAACGCACATAGCTGTCATCTAGAAAACACACGCAGTGTACAAAAAGAAAAGAAAAGAAAAATGTAATCGACAAAAAACTGAACCAAAGAACAAAACATTTTTTTGTTTGGACGGATACAAGACGTATATATTAACAAAAAAGATGAGACTAGGCTGATTTAAAATAAGTTGTTGCTGATGACTTTTCAAGCAAATGCACCAAATCTTGTAAACATCGTTTTGGAATAATACATCCTACAATTTTAAGTGGAAGTAATTGATTATTATTATTGTTATTAACATTATTAATTGGTGTTGTTTTTATTCTTATCATCTGTATTTTTCCTTCCGGCAATATTCGTTCCATTGACGACCATAAAGCAAGAACACTTCCTGAGAGAACAAAAAATCGCCGCGAACGTAGACCGACTTCACATGTTTGTTGAGAATTGATTGATGAAGTTGGACAACGACCTTGCCTAAAATTGAATTAAATATTCTAAATAACTTCGATATATTGTTGTTTCTTGGTATTACCGAATAAAATGAATACATGATGATGCAGCTTTATGGTACAATTCTTCCCAATAACGTTGCGCTTGTACTGGAAGAATCTACAAGAAAATAAAACAATATTAAATAGTCTATAAACAGCTATTTTCTTTTACTCTTTCATATTTTTTTCTAAGACTTTCCGATGTTTCATATCGTTGTTGTAAGCCAGTATTCGGACGATATATACGAAATAGTTGTTCGCTTTTTCTTATATTTCCAAGATTCACATTTGATGTTGTCGATAGAGCAAGTACAGGCAATTGACAATACTGACGAGTTTCATTTGACATATAAAATCCATCCTCTGGATTGACTGATTGTTCTTTTAATTGAACAGCTTTAATAAATGCAAGACCACGTTCAACAACAATCTAAAATCAGATAATGTATTATTATCATGATAGTTTTCTTGTCAAAAACAAATACTTGATGCAATTCAACTTGAAGAGGAGCTGTATTAGGCTGTACTGTTTGTATAACAAATACTTGAGTTTTTTCAACGGAAACTGTTTCTTCGCCTGTACCAAGATCTAGAGAGAAAAAAAGAAATTATTCTCATATGAAATAAAGATTATGCGAAAAAAACAAGTTTTACCAAGAATTCCTAAATCCCATGACCCACTTCTTCGTGCATCGACAATCACGGCATTGAGTACATCAGAAAAAAATCGAAATAATAAATTTTGCATTTGAACACGAATTCCAAGAATACGATTAAGAAATCGACTCATATTATTATGATCTAATTTAACCAAACAAAAAGAAGTTTTATAAATGCTGATCGACAAGATCTCAACTTTTCTGTTTTTCAAAACTTCCCCAGTATGTCTGAATCGTACCTTTTTCTGCTATATAAAGAGTTTGTGGGCCATTAACCACACGTGAGATAAGGCCAACATCAATTAAAGCTTTGCGTGCTTCAGAAACAAAATCGAATTTGATTTCACTGTTGATCATTTTTGGAAACGGTGCCCATGGACGTTCTAGATTACAAATGGAACGTATAACATTTTCAAGCGCTTGTTTGCCATATTTGTTATCAATATTAAATCGACTTAAATCACGTGTTTCCGTTGCACGTCGATCACCATGTGTTAAAGCTCCTAAACATTCTAATCGTTTTGCAACCCTAGCGAAAAAAAGAACAAGGTTAATAATAGAATCAATTTAACTTCTTTTTTTCTCTCATTACGTTGAAGCAAAACGCTTTTCGCCAGCTAGTTCAGATATAACAAAAACATATTCTGGCGCTGAAACTTGATTTGAACGATGTGTTCGTCCTAGAAGATTTTAAGGGTTTTTTTTTCGTTTCTATTGAATCATAGGAATATAAAATAATAAACAAACCAAATTGTTGAACAGCTCGATCAGCTGACCAAGGTAATTCAAGTGTAACATGAACGCGCCGACGAGTATTTTGACAACGACGATCCGCTTGTAAAGAAATGCCACTACTAGCTGCTTCGGATATAATAGCAATAAGTTTGTCTCCGCGCATAAATCGTTCACGTTCAGAAATATTTAATATTTCAAGTGGAATATCTGCTTCCGATCGAGATTCATAACCAATTTGTCCGCCTGCATGTTGAACAATTCGACCTTTACGACCGGTCATCTATATATATATTCAAATAAAGATATTCTACGGTGTATTTTTTCTTCTCATTTATCAAACCTCGGCAACTTGAGATGGTCCACCAAGTTGATCGATCAATTCATCCAATGTATTCGGCGGTAGATTTTTCCCCAACATTTCAATACCATTTAATAACTCTGCTTTCATATTGAATAGAGCTTCAACAATTTCATTATTCGTCATTTTTCGTTTATCATCTTTGATAAAAAACAAAATCATAGTCATCACAATTCTGATTTCAAAATCTTTTTAGACGAGAAACAATATGCATCATGAGAATCCCAATGTACTCCTTCATGTTTTGGTTTTAGCTCGTTCTGCTGAGTTTTTTCTAATAAAAATTTTCTTACAGTTCTGTAGATTTGGTGGAGCCTCTTTTTTTTGAATTCGTTTCACTGGTAAACCACCATCAGTTTCAGTCTGTCCAAGAATTTCCGCAAATGTATGCTGTTGCTGTGAATATGTATTTTCAATTAAAAGACTTTCGCAACTATTTTCATTATCGCTATTATGTATTTCATCGAGTTGATTATTATTATTTTGATCGCGATGTTTGCCTGTTGCTCGACGTTTATTTGTTTGAAGAAACGATGAATAACATTCAACATCAGAATCATCGGAACTTTCATTTGTATCACATGATATTGATCGTGCTGTACGGCGATGAGTTGATTTACGTTTTTTACTTGGTCGATTTTTATCATCTTCATTTGTTCGGGTCAAATTATATAAGGACGACATTGTTTGAGTTTGTTCAATACCGGTCGGAAAATGTTTTTCAACAAAACTTTGAATCACACCTCTATAGAAAACAAAAACAAAACGGTATAGCTCCTGCTATTTATTAGGAACACGTCTTTTTAAGACTGTATAAACTCAAGTTCCTAGAACTAACTCAACACTCATTTTATGTAAGTCTGAAAAAATTTCCTTACTTTGCAGTCGATATAAAATCATTCAATTCTCCTAGTTCGTCTAACTGTTCTAATGTTTTCGCTTCACCAGTCGATTGTAAACCAATAACAACACACTAGAAAAATTTAATTTATACTTTTCAATGGAAAACACAAAATCGACTAACTTTGCCATCTCGAACAGCTTGTCTTGATAATTCAACTATTTTCGATACTTTACACGCAATACATAAATATTTGAAAAATCGTTGATGACTTAACCAATAACGCGCTATGACATGATTACGAACAAGATGTGATGTATCAGCTAATTCAAATGCTTGTAAGATTTTCTCTTTGATATCAGTCCACTAAACGAAAATAAAAGGTTTTGCTTTTTTGAAATTCAAAAAAAGAACATTTTGATTTTTTTTACCAATTGAACGGATCGATCATATGTTTGAAAATAGTCACTTGTTAACGGAACATCGAGTATGGAAAAATGTACTCCAGAGAAACTCAACTGTCGTGCAATATACATTCCACGAAGTTTCATATCCATGGCAACAAGTTCCATTGCACCGACACCGCGTTGTTCAATAGCTTGAATAAAATGATTAAAATCAGTAAATGATGTACCTGGACCCCATAGACCGAGTCGTGTCATATAGGCCATGTTTCGTGGTTCTGATGCACCAGTAGCTGACGCATAGATAATTCGTGCATTGGGTAAACGTGCTTGAAGATCAAGAACAGCTAAGCCAGTTTTAGATGATTTTGCTGTTGGACTTGGTGCAAGATTTTTTGCTTTATGACATTCATCGAAAACAATCTAAATAAAAAAAATAGAAAGAAAGTGAATGCTAGAATGAGACTGTGCATTTTTATATGAATATAACTATCGAGTGAAGCGTGAATAACTGATTGTAGAATTTTCCTCAGAGTACAAAACAACGATAATACAACTTACAACACCATCGAAATCTTCACCACCTAACCACTGTATTAACTGTTTCATGCGACTACTATATTTAACTTTGGTTGTTGTATTTTGACTTTCACTTATCAACGATGGATATGTTGCAAAAATGACACCACGTTTTATTCCGCCATTTTGAGGCGAAGAAATTTTAGCATATTTTAACTAAATAACGTACAAATTATTCAACTGAAAGTCTAAATGAATATTTCAGGCATACTTTATTCAATGCATGAACTTCAATAAATTGAGCACCAATATCATATAAATCACGTTGTGAATCATATTTGAGATCATTTGAAACACTTAACCTAACAACAAGAAAAATAGTTCATTAATATTCCTATTTTATTTCAAACCAACCATAGAGATTTGCGTCGTCCAAGTAAATAATTCTCATAAATCAAACCAGCTATAGTTCGACCTTTTCCAACACCAGCTCCGTCACCTTAAAGTAATATTCAATCGATAGAAAATATTTCCTTTCTAGATAAAATACCAATAAGAAAGCCGGCTCTTGATCCATCTGGCAAAAATGTATTATGACGTTGTGATGCATAAACAATAGTTTCAAGTTGTAATGCTGATAATGTGTTCAATTGAATTTTTTCATTCGGAATTGTTAATTGATATGTGATATCAGGTAACTCAACAGATGCCAGTGATGAAGTTTCAACAACTGGATCGGGATGTCGATCACCTAGTCGAACTAAATTCAACAGATAACAGCTGATTGTTAATTTTCATTTTTAAATTATAACTTACGTTTCAATGGCATATAGTCAGAATAAGTATCTGCTGCTGCTTGTGCACTTTGATCTTCTTCGTCGTCTTCTTCAGCTTCAATATCACCTGGAACTTTAGCTGGAAATTCCTAAAAATAAAGATTATAATTTAATTTCGGTACGGTTTTATTCAAACATACAGCTGGCATTGGTAATGAGGGTCTTAAAGCAGGAATAAACTGATGAACAAGTGTTGTAGATGAAGATGGATTTTGTGATAGTGGAGGAAGTCTTGGCGGTATTGAATAAAGACCAGATGGGATGGTTATCGGTCGTTGTAAACGAATAATAGGTCGAGTTTGTACAGGTGCATGAAGACCATGTAAAATAATCGGGCGTGTTATTGTTATAGACGATGATGGAAGTATAGATAAATTAGGATATGATTGTGGCTTAGGTGGTGTAGGTATGACAGAAGGTTGTGAGTGAACAGAACGTTGCTAAAATAATTTATACAATTAGATTATAACGCTTAATAATGAAAGAAAGAAATCTTACACGTGCTATTTCATCTGCTTGTCGATTCGTTTCTGATAATTCTTTGAAAGCCATGGCAAACGGATCATCTTCTTCTTCCTCGGCTTCTTCATTTTCATTGGTTTCTTCACTTGTATGTGAACTCATTCTATGTATTTATTTTTTGATAAAATATTGTTTTATGTTAGTCTTTTGTCTAGAGAAAAAAGTCGACTAATTGTAGCTCATTTATTGTTTTGATAGAATGCGTCAGTCCAAATTTCATGCTGTATACAATTATTTTTATTAATATTTCAATAGAAACGTTATTTAGTGACGATCAATGCCCCATCGCACTCGTACGTGAAAGATTCTATCTAAAATATATATTCCACAAAGTTATTGACATTTTCATTGACTCGATTTACATATGATTGTTCTGCTCTGCATCAGTATCTATGCTTGTTCTATGAACCAATGACGAATGACTGTTATGCCATCTGCCTTCTCACACGATTGGCTCGATGAAAAACTAATGCTAGAACTGAACTGTATCTGTCTAGTTACGCATAGTTTGAAAATAATGCAAACGCGCATACTATTTATATATATATTTTTTCATTCATTCATTCTTAATCTTATAAAGACGAGAATATGCATCATGTGGGAAAATATTTTTACGTTGTAAATAAGATTTTTCGCCCCTTTCAAAAATTATATATCGACCTAGTGGGTGGTTAAAATATTACACGAAAGTATAGGTCACTGTCGAGAATGACTAATCAGAACAATCTAGAACCTTATTAGTAGATAATTAGATTTTGAAATTGAGAGCGAAAACCGTTGAAAACTCTTAATTATGATCTCATTTATACAAGAAAAACTTTCTAATAATAGAACATTAGTACAGTGTTGGATGCATCATCGAGATTATTGAGCGCTAAATAGATTTTCGCGATCGAAAGAACTCTGAGTAGTAAAACAAAAACTTATTTTCACTTGATAGTGAAGCCTTCGCTTGTTTACATTGTTTACATATAAATGTTCTATTTGATTTTTGTCTATAATTAAATAAAATAAATAGGATCCAATTTCAACGACACTATTGATTGATCCTATTGTCATTAGAGATACTCTCAAATTGATCATTAAATATATATGTCCACGCTAGTAGGGTTCCAATCAATTAATAGTCACGCTGTACTAATTGTATATTGCACCCATCAATTTTCTTCCCTATTCTATATACGCAAAAGCATGTAACGACATTCCAATTCTACACTAGCAATAGTAACGTGTTCGAAATTCAATCATCCAAATTCTCAAGAATTCTATATGGATAGTACTACTCATAATAACTGATCGAATGAAAATGCGTTCAAACAAAAATTAATTACACAGTTCTTTTATTGGAAACACTTTTCGACAAAAACCATGGGCATCAAAAGCAACCATCGTTTTTCCTACAATCCATATGAATAATCGTCACATGTAATTCGTTATGATTGTGACATCTGTACTTGTTATTGATTGGTTGGATTTTGTACTCCTATCGAGCTTTTGCAGCGTGGATTGGATTCGAAATTAAATAAACATTTTCGGTTGTTGCAATTGATTCAATTGATTTGAGGTGACAAAGAAAAATGACTGCGGCATCAACAGAAAATGATACATTTTCACCCTTACTTGATACAATCGATATTTTGAATCAAACAAATACAACAACAAAAGAGATTTTTATTGCACGTACTGACGGAATGTTGTTATCATATTCATTCCTTTTACTTGCTGCACTACTATGTGTTTATTTTGGTTCGTACCGTTCTGTAACACGTAAGAATAAACAGAAGAAATCCGGTGAAAAACCTGATATACTAACAGCAAAAGATGGTAATTATCTCTATAATTTAATCATATAGAAATTAAGAAAAACAAAGGACCTATCTTTCTTTTAGCGGCTATGTTTCCATTTATTGCAAGTGGATTTCTGTTTGGTATCTATTTAGTTATATTACTCGTATCAAAAGAATATATATCTTTTGTTCTTAACATTTACTTTTTTCTCATTGGTATTGTCGCACTCTATCGAGCCATAGAGCCAGTTTTTGCTAAAATTCGTTTACCGTTATTGAATAAACTTCGTGAAAGACAATTTCATATCAATTTAACAGAAAACAAACCATCGGATACAACAGAAAATGAATCCGGTTTGATGCGTATAGATTTTAAATTTGATCTGATTGATGTTGGCGTTTTATTTCTCTGTGTTTTGGTTGGTGTGTGGTATTTACTTAAACGACATTGGATTGCAAATAATATCTTTGGTATTGCATTTTCCATCAATGCCATTGAAATTCTTCATTTTAACAAGTAAATACACTTGCATTTTACATCAAAAGAAAAACAAAAAAGGAAATTTTCTCTTGCTTCATAGAGTTTTGAATGGAGTTGTTTTACTTAGTGGTCTTTTTGTTTATGATATCTTTTGGGTTTTTGGAACCAATGGTAAAGGAACTTTGTTGTTTTCACTGATTTTCATTTGATGATTGCCTTTTTATTTTAGTAATGGTAACAGTAGCAAAATCATTTGATGCACCAATCAAATTACTTTTTCCACAAGATTTAATTGAGAATGGGCTATTTGCTGCAAACAAATTTGCAATGCTCGGACTTGGTTTGTTTCTTAAACTGAATCTATACTGAGCATTTCAGGTGAAAGCTAGAGGCGAAGACTGACGCATGCAGAAATTTTAGCCCACCTTTTCAATTTTAATATCGTGTTGAATTATTCACGAGTGAATGAAAGTGTTATTGCGTAAATATAGACAAAGATTAGTATTATTCACGGTTTCTTTCTCACGATCAAAAACGAAGTTTCAGCTATCGCATTGTGAAATAGTCCGGAATAAGGATAAGATAAATTCTTTTCTTAACTATATCAAAAATAGAAAAAATTTTAATGAGCTGAAAGATTTTTCAGGAATTCTGGCCATCAAACTCTGATGATTAAAAGGGTCTCTAACAAATGTGTAATCTATTTTAATTCTTTAGGTGATATCGTCATTCCCGGTGCTTTTATCGCCCTATTGCTCCGTTATGATATGTCTCGACGACAAACTGGCAGAAAATCGGTGACACTCTACTTTACGGTATCATTTATTGCCTATGTAATTGCTTTGATTGTTACAATTCTCGTTCTTCAAATGTTTAAACATGCTCAGCCAGCGTTACTTTATATCGTACCATTATGTTTGATATTTCCGCTTGTGACAGCATTGATCTGTAAAGATTGGGCAAGCATGTTTGCTTATGAAGATCATTCCGAAGAAAAAAAGAATGACTAAGATCTGAAGTCAACAAATTTTATTTTATCATTGTTGATTTTTTTTTATTGTATTTCGTTTAGCCAAGGAAAAAAAGAACTTTTTATCACCGTGCAATAGATCTGTATGACAATAAAAGAGAAACATTTTTTTCCTGTGTTTTGATATTGTTTTTCCGAAATACATTCAAACGAAAGTTTAATACTAAAGATTTTCTTTTACATTTCTCCTTAGAATATGGGTACAAGTCTTAGTACTCGTAATTTAATTCAATATACACAATCATTATTTACATTTATTTGTGGTAGTATATGTTTATTTTTACTTTCAATTCTAACCTATGTAACACTACGAAAACATTTAATACCAATATCACATCTTATTATTCCAATATCTCTTGGTTTTCCGCCACTGCTGAATTCGAAACCAGATTTTAATTTTCTAAAACCACCAACAAATATTCCATCGTATCTTGTTAGCTACGTCAATCTAAGTGATACAATGTATGATCGATATCCACTTGATATATCATCGCATATATATCGTATTGAACTTAGTTGTGATTCACCACGTTCATATAGAAATCGACAACTTGGATCATTCTATGTGCAATTAATATTATATTCAACTTCGAACGAAATTATTATTGAACATTCTCGTGTAATTTTATTTCCATATCAATCAGATATAATTCGTTTAGTACGAACAATTATTTTTTTACCATTATCAATATTTCGTATCGGTTATGATCGATGGCATTTAAAAGAAATATTAATTGATCGTTTAACTAACCATGAAAAATCAAAACGTTTTGTTGAAATCATTCAATTAAATATTGTTCCGTCATCATTTCAAATCGATCGTTGTTCAATTCATTTTAACATACGAGATTTAACTGGTCTTGCCTATTTCTTTGTAAATTATCCTATACTAACAGGATGTTTTTCTATATTTGCACTGTTTTCTATGTACATGACGTTCTATATAATTATAACTGGTTTATCATTATTGAATCAGATGAGCAGAACACAAAACACTATGAAAACAGAATGATTATTTTCTATTTTCTTTCTTTTTTTCTAGATAATAAATGTGAATATGTATGAACATAAATGTAAAGGTTGTTTAATTGATTCGACACACGGCAAATTACAAAAGAAAAAAGATGCTTTACTTGAATTTATATTTGCTGATAATTCATTATGTTTAACAGTTAGTGCACAAAACGTGAATATAATTACGTATACATTAAGTAAAGATACGATGTGCTCAGCTGTTTCGAATGTATTAAATAGTGAATTACTTTTTATTAATTTAATTGGAAAAAAACAACTAAAAATATCTGCAATAGGCAGAAATAAAGTACTTGAATTAAAGGCTATTCTTGATTGTTTAATAAATAAAGATTTAGATGGTAAAAGAAAAAACTAATGATCAAATTTATAAAACAAAATAATGATACTTTTATTTAGCATATCAAAGGCATGTAGAAAATTTTTGTGCAAATTCCATCAGTTCAAATAACACATCAAAAAATGAAGCCTCGAGAATTAATCTTAGTAGAAGCTCAACTCATAACAATTCAAGTTTACTATCAGATACAGCAAGTAGAAAACAGCCAAAAATGGATAAAATGAAACATACGAATAAATGCTTGGAAAATGATGAAAACTTTCAACCGATGACGTCAAATACATCGAAAACAATTGAAAAGAAAAGAAATGCACTTTACAGGTAAGTTGAATATATTTCTGTTAGAAAATTTGATTAACCATAATTTACAAATAAATGCGGAAACATCGGGTTCGCATCCGATTGCTATGTGTACTGCAAAAACTAAGTCGATTTATATATGTTGTGAATAAATCTGAAAAAATGGTTTTGAAAAATCCCGGTACCGCCCCCCCCCCCCTCAGGGATGGTCTGGTCAAAAATGACAATTTTTTCGATAACTCAGCCATTACTTGACGGACCCATCTTATCTTCGAACTCGACTGAGATATTGATGATATCATTCTGTGTACAAAATTTCATGGCAATTGGATGAGGCTTTCAAGAGTTATCGTGTTCACGGCCGGACGGACACACTGACCGAATGTAGAGTGTACTCTCTTTTTGAGTACACAAAAACAATGCATCGCAGATTTTCTTTATCAAAGTTTAAGTCTGACTGTACGAGCCTTAGGATGAGTGAATGCTCTGACTATAGATAACGATCTTTCACAGTTTGATGAAAGACTTTATTTGAGAATAAACATCTGCTTAGAGAAATGCTTATGAAAAGTAAAGATGTGATAAGAATAATTATCCGATTGCTTATTTTTTTTTTAAAAGTGCTTCGAATTTTTATGCTCATCCACAACATCACGATGATGAAAATGATCCTCATTCTATTGATGACGAAAATATTGACCATAGTACACAAATTCAATCCCAATCGTATGTTAATATCGATGATTATCATTCATAACTAAAGATTGTTTTTTGTTTAGACGAAAACGATCCACTGAAACAATACCGTCGATGCGTTTTCAACATGCAACAAATACGACGTCGCCGTATTTCTTTCAGAGAGCAGACAATAAACTAAAACGACATATATCAAATGGTGAATCACGAATGAGTCTTCTATCAAATATTCATTCGAAGCCGCTGCATAGTAATGCACGTCTTTGGAATGATGACGACGATAAGAATGACTTATTATGGGAAGGTCATGATTCGGCATATTCAACAAAATATCTTGATAATTCAACATTAATTGATTTATCACTATCAAAATCAGCAACATCATCTATAAATTTACGGAAAAAAGGGTAAGGAAAACGATAGGCAATCGATTCATTGCAAAACTTCAAAATACTTTTACTTCACAACAGTCGATTGCAATAGCTACTTTAGAAATAGTTTTGGTTTTGCCTAGTATCAAGTAGATTTAAAATTGGAACAATATGAGAAATAAAAACCTATGAAAATTTTGTAGACGCAAACCACACAACGAATAGAAGAACCACTCGAACTTTTCTCCTTTTCTTTCTTTACCAATAATGAATACTCTGTTTTTCAGTTTAAAAAATATTGGTGCTACTTGTTATATGAATTCTATACTGCAATGTTTATTAAATATTGATCCATTTCGTTATGATTTAATGGTTACAAATTCTGAATTAATAACATCATCATTACTTGACGAAAATACAATTTATCTGTAAATATATTATTTTCATTATTATTGATCTATCACACAGAAAAAGAACAAGAAAAAAAAATAAATTGTTTTTCTTTGTACAGTTGTGTTTTGAAAATACTTGCTCTTTTGCAAGATCGTCAATCAACACAATCGCAACATAGTACAACAACTCAGATAACCGATGATGAACGAACGGTTGAATCTCAAGCATTAATTAATTTAAAGAAAGCCGTTGAAAAACATTCAGGCAATTTTCTTGGCTCACGTCAACAAGTAAGTTAGACATATTTATAAAACTAATATCAATTGGGTAGACGATTGTGTTTAGATTTCGATTGAATAGACATAGTTACACGTTGAAATGAATAATGTCGGTCCGATTTCCAACCTATCCATAAAATACCTGTATTGAATGGTATGAGACCATCGGAATGTGTTGCAAATCGACCATTGAGTTGTGTGTGTGCGCATTCTATACCGGAATGATACCACCATCCACCGCCACCATGACTCTTCGGACAATTTGTACTAGTAGCATAATGATCATACGTTGAGAAGCGAGCATTATAATGCCAACGCGAAAAACCTATTAGAAAATAGAATCAAATTGAGTTAGGTATAACGATGAAACTATTTCCTTGTATTTTTTCTCTCCTAAGAACCTCTATTAGATTTTTAGAGACGAACTTGTGCCTACGTTATAATACTAAAATAACTTTTGCTTACTATCAAGTTTTTTTGTTCCTTCCATATCACCATGATATCCACTGATTTGTATTCGATAACCATCTTTTTGATTGGCAATATTAAATATTTCATAGGTAGCTCGTCGAGTTTCATTATACCAGTCGGTTAATTCAATTTTAAGACGACATGAATAACTATTTGTTAGCCAATGTAGATTTTCATTGCCAATCCAAAAATCAGTTTGACTAAGAACATTCCCGAAACCTCGCCGATATTCAATCCATGTTCGATTAAAATCAACAGAATTTGTTTGACGATTTTGAATAACTAACCATTGTGCTTGTTCATCATTTTGACAAAAAATATTTTCTAACGTATCTGTTAAACCAATATTGATTTGTAAACAATTTGTTGTTCGATTTCGTCTTGGATATGAAAGAATTTCACAGGAACAAACAGCATTATTTTCAGGATGAGATACACTTTGCAAAGGCAAGAAAGAAAAAGAGTATTATACTAAACATAGATGAGACAAGAAATCGAGGAAATTTGATTTCATATATCCGTTTGTATACATCGGACTGGCAATAATGGAAAAAATATGTTTGTCTCATTCAAATTATTGAATAGAGAAACATACAAAAGCTTTTTATTCTTTTAATCCTTATTTGTATGAACGAACTCGTGATTTTCTATTCCACTCTTTTTCTTTGTATTAAAAAAAAATCAATATATTAAAATGGTAGGCTTGTATAGATAGTAAAACTTACTGATTACAATTAAGCAAACGATGTTGAAATATGTCGTGATGAGTTGAATTATCATTCAAATTTAAAGCAAGAAATATTTTCTCTTGTTTATTAGCAACTTGGCCAAGTCGTATATAAACAATTGTAAGGATAATAATATAGAAAAGTAAATGAATTAAAAGAAAACAGCACCGTTCAATAGTAGCGTTCGATGGTATCCGTGTCAATCTTTCAATATTTAATAAACGAATTTTTTTATGATTAGTTTTTGTTCTTGTTGAAGTTGTTGTAGGTGTCGGCAACATATCGGGACGATTAGCAACTATTTGAATATCGCTGTTCGGGTTTAAAGGACTAGAGTTAAGCTGCTTGAATTGCTGTTGCTGCTCTTTTAACATAGTTCGTGTGTATAAAACACTTCTTACATTTATATGGTTATGAACATGTTCATTCTCTTGTCGGTTTTAGCTCGTTGAAGGTAAAAAAGTGTGCTCGTAAAGGAGAAGAAGAAGAAGAAGAAGAAGAAAGAAAACGAGAAAGCGGAAAGAAAGAACGACCGAAGTAACACGCAATTAGATAAGCTCATACATTACTACTATTGGCGTCGAGAAAAATGAGCAATATTATTTAATCATTTGTTGAGATTTGCAATAAAATATTCTTTTTTTCTGTTTATTAAGATTCTCTTGAAAAAAGAACCACTCTCTATCATTTGTTGTTTTTGATCAAATAGATCGACACATAAATTCTCTCTCTTTCACTCTCTCTCTCTCTCTCTCCCGTTCTATTTTTGTGTCTTTCTATTCTAGGACTCACATGAATTTCTTAATCTTGTTATTTCGTTGATAACTGACGAAATAGATGCTATTAAAATTCAAATAAGTGAACAATTGTTATCATTTAAAAATGAAATAGTCGATCCAACAACAAATAATTTTCAATTTTGTTTAGCTACGGAACGCTGTTGTGAAATGTATGTAAGACCTGAAAAGCAAGATAAATATATAGAAGTTTTACTTTCCTGAAAAAACATTTTGTGATTAACTTAAACTAAAAGATATTTTGCTATTCTCAAGAGTTGTCAAGGTAACTATTTACCAGAACTCATCGCAATATTATTAAAACACTTTCTCTTTTCCTCTCTCTCTCTCTCTCGTATATAAACTGAAGTCTTTTTATTCCTAAAAAAAAGGAATCATCAAGTTGAACAATCCAAAATATTCCTCAAGGTTATTTTTACGGATATGTTATTTCCTTTTGAATAGTTGTGGCATGTCAACAATTCAAAAAGAAATTCATACAGCCCTACTGATTCATGTTACAGATGATGAATCGAAAACATCGAAAAACAATTCTTTAGCTGATCTACTTGAAAATTATTTCGCGTCGGAATCCATGGACGGTTGTTTCTGTGATAATTGCCAATCAAATCAAAGAAAATATATTAAATATAATCTCGAAAGATTGCCCCGGTAATAAAATAAACAAAAGGTGAAAGTTAATCTCTGCAGTTGTTTCTTTGTTTTTGTGTTTCAATAGAATATTTATCTTTTATTTAAAACGATGGCATATAACAAAAAATTGCAATGGCGAACTTCAATCAGTATCTAAAGAAGATCATCCGATTGATTGTCCAATTGAAATAAATGTTTATCCATTTTGTTCATCGAATACTTGTCAACCACCGATGATAGATTATGTTGAAGATTTACCGAATTTAAAAGATCTACTTAAACAACGCGAACAAGTTCTACATACAATCGAACCTAAACGAACGAGATTTGATCCGGTAAAGACGGTAAGAGACAGAAGAGAAAAAAATAGCAATCATTTCCTTAAGAATATATAATATTTTCATTATGAATGCACCCGATTTTGATGATCTTAGGAAATAAACGAAGAAAATATTATTGCAACGCATGCTGATTATCAACTTTTTGCTGTGATTAATCATCATGGTGGTTCAAGTGACGTTGGTAAAAAAAAACATACACATAGTTTAATTTTGTTTATATAAATCTACTTCTTCGTTTTATTTAAGGACATTATACATCTACAGTATATGATGCTAAAAGCGATAGCTGGTGGTCATATGATGATACATCAGTTAATTCCTGTACGCAACAGCGCGTTTTAAAAGATTTAGCTCCTGATGCATATGGTGTTATGTATATACATAAGTATGTTGACTATTCAGAGTGCAATGACATATGATTTTAAATTCACTTTTTTATAGAGATATATTAAAATTATTTCAACCTATGAGTAACAATTCAATGCAGTGAAACTGACTTTTTCTATTTCTATCCTATGTACAAACTTTTCATGATCAATCTCGCATTCGTCTAGTATTACGCTAGTTCTCGGCGAACGCACGCCGACCGTGTACTTTCTATATATTTTTTCCTTTTTGTTACATTCATATGCGCATCTATATGGAAAAACAAATTAACAATATGTTCTATGTTAATTCTCTTTTTTCTTTTTTCGCAACATATAATAAAAATGAAGTCTTAATATTTATTGATTTATTAATGATAATGTCTTGGAGTGAATAAGCGCTCACATACTTAGTTATAAATGAATATGTTGTTCTCGTTCCGTAGAGACCTATATTTGACGACGAATAGCATAAATTATTTAAATAATAGTCTCATAACAGAAAAATTAATTGATGGAAACTATGTTTCAAGCTTAATCAAGCTTCGATGATTACAGAAGGATGAAAACTAATATTTTTCCTTGGGAACCACACTTGAGATTAAATACTGTGAATTAGTTTGATGAAATATTTAAACATAAAACTTTAATCACATGAGTTAATGATGTTCATATATAACGGCGTGTTGTTACGCATGTCAAGGTTTGCTGTGTTCGAAAGAAAAATGCGACAAATCTAACTGCTTTTTAATATTCATAATGCTTTTAGTACTATTGAATATATAAATTGTGATCAAGGTAGAAAAGGGAATGGATTCTTTGACATTTTTGTTATAAATGAATTTGAAAATAGAATATCGATTTGAAAAACTCGTTTAGTCATACAGACCGAAGTCTTTCATGACATTGCTATTGAAATAAAAATACCATTTTTCTCTAAAAAAAAGTTCTCATATTGGATCCTTTTAGAGCTGTTTTGCATGTTGAGTACAATCAATTCTATCTATAGAGAAAACGCCCGAAAATAATTACTTCAGTAGCAGATCAGTTTCTGTTAGCTCGGCAAACCTAACAATTGAATAGTAAAGATTGCATATAAACTTATGGTTTGATTTATCTAAATGAAATAAGACTTGAACTTTCCGCTTTAATTCCGTCAACTCTTGATAATTCTACAAATAGCACTACAAAATAAGTAATGTTTTGATAGAAAATCTTTGTAAAAGACCAAGATAGAAACATATGATATTTATCTTTAGAACAAGCAGTTGAACATACTGCAAACTGAATATGGAAGAATTTTTAGTCTGACGTTTTTCAAAGTGACAATAAATCTCAAATAGGCGATCTTTAAAATTTAAATGATTTGGAATTATAGGACAATAATGATCAACCTATATACTTTTCAAATGCAACAACAAACTGTCTACAGATTATGTCTATGTCAGACTTGAACAAATTCTCTGATCCATTTTTTACAAAATAACTATTCGTCATGAAATTTTTACGTCATGAGTATTTAACAGACAAATCCTGTCTCTATTTGTACATGAACAATTTATTTATCAGATAAGAAGAAGAAGAAGAAGAAGAAGAAGAAGACGAAAGCAAATAATAAGTAATGTCCATAGAACTTATGAGAATATCTATTTGTTCAAACAAATCCCAACATTGTTCTTCATTTAATAAATCAAAATAAGCTCATATATATTTGTTTTTTCTTGTTTAAATTATACGTCAGAACCATCACGAAGTTTTCGATTAAATAATTCATCAAGAATTTCAGCCACAATGATTGAACTTGCGTTAGCTCCAATAATTCGTAAAGTAAATGCATTGTCAATAGGAAAATATCGAAGAAAATACCGAAATTGTGTTTCTCGGGATTCACGATTTTTAACAAGTAGTTCTAAATGGCTTGTAATAAAAACATTACGTGAATGGCGCATCGCTATTTCATAAATTAAACGTATACTATCAAATATGGTTATAAAAAGTAATAACCAAAACCATAGCCAAAGAACGAAATACATTTTTTCAATAAAAATATTTATTACAAGTATACATTCGACTGTATAATAATGGCGTTCGCCCAGCTCGCGTATATGAAAATCACATAATGTTATACGAGGAAATAATTTACTTTCTGGTAGCGAAAGACCAGATAATAACGTTCCCAATACATTCAAACCGTATCCCAGATAATTTACGTCATGATAACTGAGAAAATATTGTAGAAATATAATTTGACAAATTAAATTGGCTATATAAAGAAGTCGAACGACAAAATAAAAAAACACGAGTGAAGCGCCTGTACGCGCTTGACAAAATAAACGATATTGATAGTTCAGACGGTGGAAAAATGATCGTCTTTTCTTTTTCGATGGATTGACATACTCATCATATCGTTGTAGACAATTCGAGATATATTGCACAACTAATCGTACCAATAAAAGATCAATTTTCATCTAACTAGTTGTAATATGATACATACCTGTCTCACGATCTTGATCAACGTCAATTGATTCATACTTATTGGCGGCTTCAACAAGATGCCCAACTGATAAACCAGTTTTATCGTTAAACGATTGCCAGATAATACGTGGTAAACTAAAAAATAGGGCTTGTAATAAAAGTACAAAATTAATCCATTGATAATATTTTAGAGTTCGTTCACGTCGCAAAGTAGAATCTTGTGGAATCGATTCCTGTTTAGGTACATGGTATGTATTCTGTATATAACATAGCCGATTTGTGAAACTTTCATAGTTTCCAGTAAATTGAGCCGGAACCCAACATTGTAATGGATCGCCTACAGAAAGTTTTTATTTTCATCTTCATATTTATTTTTTTGTTCTTACCAATGTATTGATATGATGATAGCGCAATACAAAAACACACTAGTACGGCTACTGTATACCGATTGTGAAACCGATCGACGAGTAAATCATCATAACCATGATCACGATGTGTACCTCCAGCATATTTTCTGGCATTTTCGATCACTGCGTTGAAATCCATGAATCAAAATCAACAATTTTCTTTTCATCTATGTCATACTGTTGCTCTGAAAGAATCATTATATACCATTTCATTAGTGGACATACATAGTACGCATATATATATATAAGAGAAAAAAGAAAGAACGGTTTTGTTATAAAAAAAAAAAAAAAGGTTATCACATATACACAGCTTGTCGCCATCATCATTCTGTTACATAACAGAAATGGCACAGCTAGATTAGACAGCAACCCATCTGGTTATGCTATGAGAGAATATCATTGAACTATACTAATTAAGTTATTAATTGGAAAAAGAAATATTTAACATAACGATTCGTGTCGAGAGGAAAAGCAGTGTTGTTCTTTTGTGGTTTCAGTTTAGAAGAAAAAAACGATATTTGTGTACTTAACAAGGAACAGTCATAACTACAACAAAGAGCATCTTTCTCCTTTTTTTAGTTACCTACGAAAAAAAAATACATGAAAAGAAAGAAAAGAAAACAGATGAAAGGTACAAAATAAATAGGGGAGATGTGATCCAATGCCTTAGCGAGCGAACGTAACGAGCAGAAATCAAGAAAAATGGTCACGCATTCACATGCACACAAAGGAAACGAAAAAAAAACGTTAATGTACAAAAAAAAAATGAGAGAACGCAAAAGAACAGAGCGCAGTGAGAATGAAACTAATGTTAGACCAACGATACTTATTTGAGTATAATAAGGGCACGAGATCCATTTATTTTATGTATTCAACAATTTCACTGCCACGAATAATAAATGGGGAACCAAAAATAAGAAGGGGCGTACTCGTTCAATTTTTTAAGCCAATGATGACAAAGAAATCAAGATGAAGATTTATTTTTACAAGATCAATAAATAAAAAAGACTCGAGAATACATATGTATACGTTTACAAATCGACTCATTCATCATGTCTCTTAAATAAACACTGGCTCATTTGTGCTCAATGGTAATGCAATTGTGTATTAAAAATGAAATTCATTACAAAAATAGCTCAATTAATCATACTGATTTTTATGTAATAAATATTTTTTTTATTTTAAAACGTTGTAAAAGCTTAGCTGATAAAAGTATATTGTGATTGATTTATATCCTTGTATATCACTATGAAGATTTAATGTTATCTATAGTCAACAGGATCATTTGTTCTTTACGTATTTGCTTTCATATTTACTAGTATGAATTTTAATTTGAAGACACTGAGTAACCTGAAAATGTTTTGAAATAATGTTTGAAAGGCCCAAAGAAAAATGTTGCACAGAGCGTTTTTCTTTTCTCTTTGCCATGAAAAAATAGATATGTTAGCCTTGATTAAAAGTCTAACCTATACAGTTCAAACTTATCAACAAGGCGAGTGAGTGATTTCGGCTATTTTTCAGCACTTTTGTAAAATGCATATTCTTCTGATTCTTAAAGCTTTTCACACATCCTCTTACTGATCTCGAATCTATACAACTCATCATGATCTACATCACTTTTGTTTATTGAACAAACAGATATGATCTTGATCTATTCCTTATTGATGATTTATTGCAGAAATAACGCATGACTGGCGGATATAGCTGACATGAATAATAATCTTATTGAGTTTGAAAATCAAGATTCTTCTTCAATGATATTCCGAAGACAACATTTTCAATAGTATTTTTTGATAATGATATCAAATTTATGATTACTACACTGATTAGACTCACTGATAAGATTTTTTATTGGTATATCAGGACCATCTTTAATTGCTGGCAGTCAAATATTTTCATGCTTCATAATCTGAATTTTATGGAAATAGTTCGTTACATACAATCCTTATGCTATCTACTGCATTAAATAGATTTTCTTCAGTAGTACTTATTTCAATGCTTAAATAATATGACATGCTTTCATTAACTGTGAAAAATATCCGCGTAAAAATGTGAGAAGAATAGATGGAAATCAATCACTGGAAAATTGTAAGTGTTATAGACTGCGAATTTTCAATAATTAAACGCGTAAAATCGTATGCTATTCTTTTGTCTAATACTATTGAAGATTAAATGATTGCCAAATTCATCACCTTCGAGAAATAATCAGAAGGCGGCAATAAAATGGCATGTATGTCTTGGCAGATTGAATTTTGATGTGTACTTCAGATCAAGGTAATTTCAGTCACGACTCAAATTATTACCTTCTAATATTTCAATGTGGAAGAAATAAAAAAATAATGTACTTGAAAAAGAATACGACGTTTATGCATCTTTTATAAGATTTATCTTTTGCAAAAATAATGAATTTCAACATAATTCGGTTTCTTATAATAACAGACAAACAGATGTCTAAAATTCTTCTTTTTGACTTGCTGCCAGTACCGAGCTGCTGAGTCTGCATGAAGTTCTCTCTGATGTTGCCAGTGAGATTAATTGGAGCTATCTATTTATATTTCTTTTTAATGCGTTCTTTGCCCCCACATACGACGGAAGTTACTGTAACCGTTAGTGAACATTGATTGCTTGTATTCGCCTGAACATTATAATTTGACTCTCTATGTAAACATGCCACTCGTAATTGGTCTTATTCGTAAGAGTCATTCGCTATGAAAGCTAAAATCTACTAACAAATTCGCAATCATCCCCATCATTCAATCAGTAACTATTTCAGTTTTCTTCATTTTCTTTTCAACCAAAAGAGAAAAAAAAATACTACTAAAAAGTTTTAGTCACTATATGTGCTTATTAGCATTTCATTTCCTCAATTCAATGACGTTCTTCTTCAAAGAATGCAATCGTACGACCGAAACAAAAGTAAGAAATTCAATAAAAGCAAACTATACTAATTATAGAAATTAGTTGGTATTGAAAATTATTCGCGAGGGAACGCTTTGAACTGATCAATTCTTTTTTCACTAGAAAACTACTGCCTTCTAGATCATACTGATGCCAACTACGAGCATGAGCTGTTTCCTCAAGTCGTCTAAATACTCATTCTCCAAACTACTTCATATCCATCATCTTCACAAATTATAGAGTACGTCGATTTGTAGACAAGCCCGTAATTTTGTTTCTCTCTAGTTTTCTCTTATAGTTTTATGCATATTTTAAAAAGAAAATACTGTAACTAATGTTCTCGAAATTCCATTGGTTGCTGTTAGTCCACCATAAAAAGAAACAAAGTGCAAAAACAAACATATATAGAGGTAAATATACACAGGCACGATGATACATACATACATAAACATGAAAGAGGTGGTTCAGCGTTTTAGTCGATTAATTCAATAACAAATAGAAAAACAAGCAAACAAAAAAATGATCATGTTAAACTATACGTATAAAGATATGCATAGTAACGCATAAGAAATGACAAGAAATAGTTTTGGAAAACACGATTGTGATCCTGAGTTCACGTTAAAGACATTTAACTCTTCTCACCACGCATCAAGTTCGTCATTTGTCCGAAGAATTATTTTTATTATAAACTTAATCATCAGTAATAATTGTATTTAAACAATGGAAACATAAAATATAGTTAAGAACAGTATAGTATAGATTAATTTCCTAAATTGGATTTTGTTTTCTTCATTTTTGTTGTTGTATGGATTCCATTGATCACAGATACGCACCGCCAGGAACAAAAAATGAATATTGTTTAAGTATACGAATAAATGAATAGAATAAAACAAAATCTTAAGCTAAAGGTTTTCACTCATACTGGTCCAATCTTGTCGCTATGCATATATATATATATACACAATAAGATTGTCTAACTATGCCATTTAATATGTCCATAAGCTTGAAGTCCAGATAATGTAAGATATCCAATCCAAAGACAAATAAAAAATATTGAACATACATATTTTGGTATTACTGGTCCGCCTAAAGAAATATTTCTTCAGTAGAAACTAAACCGTAAAGAAGTATTTTTCTTACCAAGCTCTGCGTTACCAAATACGGAGGCATATCGACGAATAATGAGTACACTCATAGAAAGTATACAGCAAACAGAAAAAACTAATACACTAAATGATAGATCGCCAGCTTTGACAGTAAATGGAAGATTCTAAATTATCAGAATATAAATAGATCAGGAAATTCATTGAAATATATTTCTCTAGAGACTCGTGCGTGTTCACTTCCTTAATTAGTCTATATTGAAATGTACCCAGTATATACCTTTGACTCCCAATAGGAAGCTGCAATAAGCCATGGGAGTCCCAGACCAAGAAATACATTGACACTATTTGATCCAGTTACGTTGCCAATAGCATCATCAGCTGTTTTAGAATTTTTTGCCGCGATCATCGATGCAAACGTATCGGGTAACGATGTTCCCAAGGCAACAAATGATATAGCTGTTATACTATCTTTCAATCCAACTAGACAACCAAATATAGCAGCTACGTCACCAACAATAGCTGTTAGAATAGCAATGAATATAAGTGAAACAAAAAATGTTAGCCAACCACCGGCGATAGCTGTAGGTGGAACCAAAGCAAAAAGCACCTATATTGAAAACAGATGAAATACTAAATTAATTTCTACTGAAAAATTACCTTCCAGAAAAATGCGAGTGCATGACCAATATAATGTCCAAATTTAGCTGTTTCTAAATCGCCTCCATTGACATTCATTGCGTCACGAAATTGTTGACCCCAAGATGTTTTTGTTACACTTAATTTATCCATATCGACTTGGACAAGTGATGCCATTCGATTTGCCATTGTTTTATAATCTAAATGCAAAAAGATACCAATTTATTTAAACAAATCTTTCTTTTTTCTTAAAAAAAAACAAAGATACCATCATCATTAATAATTGTAACAACCGTTTTTATATGCTTGCCCAATTGCGCACCGCCCGTTGGATCATATAATTCAACAGCAAAGCTTTCATCTTTTTCTGCTTCAAGATCATTCATAATTGGTATAGCAATTATTTTTGATATTTCACCGTGTTCAAATATAATTTCACTTTGAGCAGCTAGATAGAAAAGGAAACATCGTTCGTCTATTCTTTAACGTTATTGATATGAAATTGAACTAATCGCTTTGTTTAATGTTTTAATCTAAAATAATGTCTTTTCTGATAGGAACGAAGAAGACAATTTTGAATCGACCTGAGTTCAGTCAAGTACAAACTTGCTACATAAGAACACAAATAGTATAACTTTATATAAGTTTTCATAAAAACCACAACAGCAGAAAACAACCTTGTAAAACGATCACGCAAGGTTTGCCGTTCACTAAAGATAGGCCGTGAAGCTCTCGGGGACATCTTATTCTATTCAAAATGATTTTCTCTATTAAATGTACTTGTTCAGAAAACATTTTTCAATGCCTCGATTTTCCAGAAGGCGTTCACAAAAATCTATTTGTTATTATTAGACGACTATGTCTCCTGACAGGAAGTCGTTTCAAGTAATTCACGCCTATCTCCGATTTATTCTAGTTATTGTTAAAATAGCGAAAATGAAGACTTACGTTCATAATCTTTAGTTGCAACAGCATCAATATCTTTCGTTCGATAATGTACACTAACACGTCCATCGGCACCATTGGAACGAACAAGTTTGATTTCTGCTTTACCAATACTTTCCTTAACTAATGTAATTGATTCTTCGAATTCAATAAAACCCGGTTCTATACAAAAATTAAAATAACTACAATTCGTTCTTTACTCGTTGTTATATCATTTCTTTTTACCATCATCATTGATTATTGTTACTAGTGCAATTGTTTTTGACCCTAATTTTGCATGAGTTTCTTCACCTTCAGGTAATGATAACTTAACAAAAAATGTTTCATCCGGCTCCCATTGATTATCATCAATAACATGTATAGTAATTCGTTTTTCCTGTTGGCCACGTTCCATTTTAAATTCTTCAGATAATTTAACATAATCTTCACCAGCTGTTGCTGTACCATCAATTGTATCAAGTCTAGAAAGGAATTGTTTTATGAAAATTTTAAAATAATAAAAAGAATGAAACAGATCGAGTTTCTAATAGAAAAAAAAATGTGCAAGAAGGAAGCAAAAAGCAGGAAGTGATAGAGCAATGAGCGCATATCATGCAAATTATTATTGAATAATATTAGACTTCATATTAATATTCAATAAAAGGAAAAGGTCAAACATTTCAATCTACAGTCACATTCATTCATTCAATCAATCAATTAGAGAAACTAGGGAGACAAGGACTGTATTCAGTGAGAAAATCAATCACACAACAACAAAATTTTTGCAATGTGATGGGGGACCTACCGAAAATGAATGACGGAATTAGTACAGCCGTATCTAACAACTTCGACAGTGACACGCTGTTCACGTTCAAGTACCCCATAACTGGATGAAGCAAACTCAAGAATAGCCACTCTTGCATCGTCAATCATGTCTATCTTTGATAATGTAGACTTACGACTAGCAAGCTCATGATCAGTCGGAAAACATCCGTCAAATGGCTGTGGTTTGATAGCTCGTGCGTAAATCTAAACGAACCAGGGCAGTATTCTAGTTTTATTCTCAAACAAAAATGTATATATTAAATGAAAATTTCATTAACGATTAACCTATGTTAGATACTAAAGATCAGTTTTAGTTTTAGAAGAATTAATATTTTTTGCATAATTGATTTTTTTTTGTTATATAGAACGTCGTGTTATCTGTCACAGCAAACGCATGCACGAATGATTAAACAAACGATGAAAAGTTAAAAACCTGAATCGAATGTCGGCATCAATCGCGCCCCATCGTTTGATTTTAAGAACAACTCGTTGTTCACATTCAAGTACAGCATATGTTGTTGTAGAAAATTCAATAGTTGGATATTGTTCATTCAGATCGCTATGATGATCTTCATCGATTGATTTGAGTGTCCATGATGCTTTACGATCAGTCAACATCTCACGGTGAGAGACTTCGGAATAGATCTGTTTGAATATTTATGTACAGAATACAAAAACAAAGATGTCATCTCATTCGATTCATTAAAAGGTAAAATAGAAAAATATCGCTATCGGGATTAAAATTTTACAAACCTCTTGAAGTTTATCTGGTAAATTAAGAAATAAAGATTTTCCACCAGTCAACATTCGAGAACCTTGAATACGATATTGCATACGTGATCGATGCATACTTTCACTTAATTTGGCTGCAAATAATTGTGCTTTATCTTCTAATGATAAATTTGTTGTTTGCCCAAGATCCTAAATTGAATATATAATTAAATTATCTTCTCGGATAAATAAAAACAACAAAGCATACACGTAAAAATTGAAGAAGTTCATTTTTCCGAAAACTACGTGGGCTACCATTTTCATCATGCTCTGGTGGTGCTGAAATCAAATAAAAATAAATAAACGAACATAATCACACAGAATACTGATCATTCATCGAATCAGTGGTTCCAAAATATTGACACACAGAGAAAGCCTGCACTTACTTAATATGAGTGTTTGTTCCTCTTCTTCCATGTCAATCTTCTTCGAAACATAGAAGTTTTTCTCTGCCTAATATGATATACAAACTAGTGAGTTTTGCTTCTTTTCAAATAAAAGGTTCACTTACCAGAAAAGCAATAATGACAACCAATGGAAACAGGAGGAATGTGATGACAGCTTCCCATAGATCGACAACATCTTTTGATATAATTGATAGAACAATGAACATCCATATGTAAGCAAAAAATCCAAAGAAAGATGTGACCTAGTTAAATATTCAATTCCATGTAAGATTATTCTTTGAAATTTATAGTTTACCATAAAAACGCTATACAATTTGATTCTTCTGGTTTCAGGAGCTTTAATTGCCGAAATACATATTGCACAAATCATTAATAAATTATAAGCAGCTGAGCCAACAACTAAAATCGTAAATAATATTGTTAAGTTTTAGATTCAGATTTTTTTAAAGCATTAAAATAGTTCCCCTAGGAAAAAAATATATTTCTTGAAAATAATACTCCCAGAGTAAATCGGAATATCATGATTTTATCAAATTGTTGTAATTCAGAGGAAACAAAAAAAACAGATAGCATGTTATGATCTTAGTCTATTGTTTACAATAGGGATTCGATTCTTACTAGTTCCAGGACCAAGCTCTCCAGCTTCAAAACGATTGCCAATGATTTCAATAATTGATAAGAGAATCTCAGGTGAACTTGAACCCAATGCCATTAATGTTAAATTGGCAACGGTATCATTCCATATTCGGACTTCAACAGTTAGATATTTATCATTTTCTGTTGGATCGGGATAGCGTATTTTTCGTCTTCTTGATGTTATAGTTTCAATTGAAGACATAAATATATCGGCAACAATAGCAATACCAAGAAAAAGATACAATAAAAAAATAAAATACAGCACTGCTCGTAATTGTATTGACATGCATGCTTCAAGACCTAGTTATTAGTAATAAGAGAAAGAAAACGATGAGGTTCACTGAGTCACAATCAATTCTTACCGAATGGTAATAGAATACCGCGAGCTGAACATTTAAATTTTTGACAGCTGAAGCTCGCCGTACTGTTAAAGTCGTCGGTCATATTGCTTGAATGTGTAGATATATGCGTAAATCCACTTGTATGTAATATTCACATGCCAGTTATGCAGAGAGTATACACTAAAACTACACCAAGGTTGTTAAGAAGTTTTTTCTTTCTCTCTCTCTCTCTCGTCTTCGTCTTTTTCCTTCTTCCTCTATTCTGTCATAATTCACGTATTCACTCTAGAAAAGAATACGAATAGTAATACCAACTACTCTTTTTTCTGCTTTCTCGCGTTCTCTTTTTTTCTCCAGATCGGAGGTGACTACTACATAAAAAAAAAAAATATATATATATATATATATACTTTGTTGGAAACCAGATTTCTTCTACTTGGAATAGCTTTCGTGTTTAGATATGATTAACCATTAGCAATCTTCTTTCTCGTTCTACCTGTATTCTCTTTCATGTAATATAAATAGATCAATTTTGAATAGAGTAAAATTATATAGAATAGTTCAGCGAGATAAGTTGACAGACAACGAGAAAAGAATAAAAGATTGTTACACGTTTACCGTCTTATCGTTGTCAGCAATGAAAACTAAGAATTCACTTCTTCTTCTGTTTATACCTACATGTTTACACATAAGATCTTTCCTTTTAACTAATCTCTCTCTCTCTCTCTCTCTCTCTGTGTCGTTATTTTAAAAGATTTACCGGAAAATGAGATTCACCGGCGTACAGAAGAATCATTATACAAGATTTATTGTATCAATTACACTAATTGAAAATGAACGATATTCGAAAGTATTTTAGTCTAAACAATCCCGTTTTCGATATTAAAAAGGAATTATTTATTTCTGACAACTTTTGCGTCTCTATATAACAATCGTGACATTCTATAAACTACGTGTCAATAATTAACTATTTCTTCGTTTTTCTGTATTAATAGACTTGCAGATTTTCTCGCTTAAACTATTTGAAACAACTTCTTTTTTTCTAGCACCTGGTTTTATTATTTCCTCATATCCATGAATATTCTAAACGTCATGTAAACTATAAAATATGTAGTATATGCAAACATGCCGAATATCGCTATTTCACAAACTATGATAAACATATAAATCAATATTAGTGATTAGAGTTTGATTGATTACAATGTTCCTATTCCTACTACGACTACTACTATTCTGAATAGGGTTCTACAGGAAGAAAAAGCACAGGATGCAGAGAGATTTTTCTTATCATATTGAAAATTCATTACAAGCCTGTAAATAGAAACGAGAATCAAATATTTATTGAATAACTTGACATGCTCTAATACATAAGGAGTGATCAAAGTAAGGCTAGTCATCCTCTGAACAGTAGTAGTAGTTAGTAGTCTTCGAGACTGTGTGTGTGTGTGTGTGTGCGCGAGAAGTGAATAATTAAACATGAATTATAGATGAAACGAGCATACATGCCAAACTAGTCTTTTCTCTTTTCTCTTCTTCTTCTCTTTCTCGCAAGCAAACACATCCTGCCAATAACGAGTCGTGCATGTGGTATGGGTTTCTCTTATTCCCATCGTTTTGCTCTCGACCATTTGCTCGCTATACGCATGGAGACATCTAGTAACGCTAACGCATGATAAAAATAATGTAGAGAAGAAGAAAAAGTGTATTCTTCTGGCTGTCATTAGACAGTAACAGCAAGAGAAATGGGAGCTGTAGTAACAACAACACTAGTAATTTGCTATCGGTGTGTGCAAAAAAAGAAAGTTTGGAAACGCTATACTTCATGCATTAGGAAAAGAAAGGAAAAAAAACAATGATAGAAATGAAAAGTGATTTTTTTTCTCGGTAAAATTGAACTTTTGGATCAAGTATTCAGTGCTGACCAATGGGAGTCGACTTTACGGATTGCAATAAAACATTGAAATGCAAATAATAGTCATCAACTTTTGTTTTGTTTCTGCGCTTATAATTAAATATTGATCCAAGTTATCTAGAAGTCGTCGACAATCTAATTACAGAACAGTTGACAAAATAAAATATTCAAAAGAAAAGCAAGCACAACAACGCATATGCATTTACAAATCGGCTCGTTGTCGAACGATATTTGGCTTTGCTGATGAGAAAAGAGTAGAAAAAAAAGAAGAAGAATGCTATTGTTATTTATTGTTCGAACTATATTCTAAAGATTCCATGAAGTCATACAATAGAATTGTCTTCTTTTCAGTATTTTCTTGACTTCCAAGACATTTTTTTTCTTCTTTTTTTTCATCATTCGTTGGCGTGAAAGAAACAATCAAGAGATATGTGAGTAACGACGTACTTCGACTCAGCAATAGGTCAAGCATCATAGTAGCGGTGGTGCAGAACGAGTGCTCTAAAAAGAAAAGAGAATAAATGAATAAAGTTTCTAGTTGCTTCTTCTTTCACTTTCTCTCTCCTTCCTTCCTTATTTCTCTCTTTCTGGCATAGGAAGATGCTGGTGTGAAGGTTGTCTTTTGTGTTGTATTATTTGAAATAAAGGCACCGTTGGTGACAACAAGAGACAAAACGGACGCATCACGTATAACTCGATGTATGTGAGAACTTTTTCTTTTGCCTCTGATCTAAAAACTTTAAAAAGCAACAATGTCTAATACGTTTTTAATTGTTTGCATGAATTATGAAACTTATCCGCATTACTGGATTTAGCTTCTTTGCATCAAAATCAAAGGATAACTACACTCATGCTATATAACACGATGCTTAAACATGAACGTTAATGTTGACATTGCGATAATAGAATTTACTTGTAACAAAAGACAAATGGTATCATACGAATCGAAAAGAAAAGGTATGATAGGATGTGTATGGCGAATAAAGTTTAGTAATTAAAAGTAAAGGATGCATACTACTTCATCGTTTATAAGTACTTAATAACTCGAGTGATTCTTCGTCCAAACTGCATTTCCTGAAACAGACGATTTCCGTTTATGTGATCCAGTAACTGAATGATTACGCATTCTATTCCTCGGAGGTTATTAATCTTTATCAACAACAAATATAATTGCAAATTTTTGTGATTCAAATTGAGTAAGGGAAAAGATATCTTTCTTTTTCTCTTCGTTTGACTTGTGGATAAAACTCTATAAAAAAAATTTCGTTGATGACAACAAGATAGCTTACAATTACTGCCATTAATAGGCTACCATGAAGTTAGATATGTAGATTTTTCTCGATAATTATCTTAGTCACTGAATTTACATGATAATATATGAGACATATGCGTAGGTAATATGATCAAATCTATTAATGATAGTCAATATTTGTTGCACACACACACACTTAGACGTTATTCATTCTATCGATGATGACGGTGATAATAATAATGACTTATCAAAGATTAAGGGATATTCTTTTATGATAATATGAGTGCATTCTTCCATAGAAGACTGCAGTTCATTTTATATTTATTATCAATCATGAGAGACATACTTCGTGTTCTGCTTAGTTTTCTTGCGATTGCAAATACAATTAATGGATTTTTTTTCAAACGTAAAGGGCTACTTCTTGTACCATCGGTAGCATTTCGAGATCTTTCATCAACATCGAATTGGATTTTGTATAATCAAGGTTGGCTCTATGAAGAAAATCCTATACAAGCCGTATTCATGGAAAAAACATTAGAACTTATTGTTCGAAAAGATCTAGATCGAAATCGTGTTAAAATGTTTACTGCCGAAGGTGAAAAACGAAAAGATATATGTATTGACGGACTCAATCGAGAAGTGTGTACGCGAACAGACGATGACGGTTGTATAGCAAATACATTTACAATAACAAATCAAGAAATGGAATTATTTCGTCAGCCAGGTGATAACGTACTTTTTCAAGTAACAGCACCATATCAAAATATTCAAACTATTGGTGAAATTTATTTATGCGATGATGACGGAATAACATTTATTAGTGATATTGATGATACCATTAAAATAACACAAGTCACATCATCTATAGAGACATTAGTGAATACATTTAGTGGGCAATTTAAAGCTGTGCCGGGTATGGCAGATACTTATCGACATTGGCAACGAACATATAATGCAACATTTGCCTATTTAACAGCATCGCCCGATCAACTTTACCCATTTTTACGAGAATTTTTCGATCGTGAGCAATTTCCATCTGGTTCTGCGCATATGCGACATTTCACATGGCTCGATGCAAATTTTATAGCTTTTTTTATGTCCTCAAATTATATCAAGAAAAAAACTGAAACTTTACAGATGTTCTTACAAAACACACGCCGCCGTTCATTTGTCTTAATTGGAGATATATTTCAAAAAGATCCAGATATTTATGCAAGTATCTATGCTCAATATCCTGATCGAATTCCACGAGTTTTTATTCGAAAATACAAAGATGACGATCAAGGACAACGGAAGTTAGAAAAAATATTCAAAGATATACCTCGAAAGAAATGGACAACATTTGAAACTGGCGATGATTTACCTAAAGATATACAATTTAAACTAAAATAATGATCTGATGTAGCGAACGAAAAATATTATATAAAAGTTTCATGTTAAGATCATAAGAAGGCATCTATCAGTTTCACCTCGTAGCATACAATCTCCAATCCCTCTGCGGAAATTCTTGTTTTTCTCGGGACAATTTGTAAGTCAGTATTATTTAACCAAGATTTAATCATAGCTTTTTACACTGATTATTACCATGCACATCGTGCAGATACTTTTAAAGTATAATCACTATTCACCATAAAAATCTTCTACTGAATCTTAACTTCGGTGTCGATAAACAAAAATCTCCTTCAAATATCTCAGAAGTTCTAAGAGGCACGAGAAATTCATCGAAAGTGTTTTTTTTGCTCAAGGTGTGAAAATTCCATTGACAAGTTAAGAAATAAAAACAATAAAGTGATGAATGTGTCAAGCTGTCCAAGGAAGCATTCGTTATAATGCTCATTCAAATTGCCATTCCTTTTAATTAAAGGAAATGGATAAAGATTGAAAAACACGTTTTTACTTTAGTTGGGTCAAATGCAAATTTATCGAGTGCTTTTGTAGGAGCGAAAAGGAAAAAAGACAGTTGGAATAGTTATTCACTTATTCATTACAATCAAGCTATGTCGTGCGATATATTTTTTATGTGACACCTTCTTTTTATATCTAAAGGGTTTACTGATTTATTTTATTTTCGTATATAGTGTATCAAATATTTAGGTCAAAATTCCGCCGAATCATTCGTTTACACAGCAATACTCTAGTTACTGTGCATTAAATGCTTCGTCTACGTGGTTAATTTGTATTGTTTTCCTATTGTCGTCGATGAATTTTCTGCAAATCACATCGACACACACACATTAATAGAACATTTGATTGCATAACAATCCATTTTATAACATTTACTATCAATAAGATAAAATCCCATTGAAAATAGGGAAGTGAAATAAATTCAGACGAAAAATCGAAACAGCTTAAAGTGTTGTATATATTTTTAAAATCTGATTCGGCCTATAATTCTTATATTTGGTTATACGTAGAAAAATGTCTAAAAACATGCCTTTTCCGTCATACATTATCTTCGATCATCATCATCGTCATCAGACAAAATATTTCCAACGAAAATCATATAGTTTCGATTTTGTTTCATGTATTACTGTAGGTTGTTGAGTTAATTGAGATTTTTAGATAATAAAAGATGTACGTTTCTATAGATCTACTGCTATTGTATTGTCTCGTTTAGTATCTTTCTGTGATGTGAATTTAAGTTAGTGACTTTATGTTATTGACTTTTAGTTCTGACTATCTCCCTATTTTGATTGCTTGGTATCATATTCGTTAGTTTTTCCGCTTTAGATGCTTCTCATTCGGTTGAATCTTTTAGTCACTTAATTTATCTTTCATATGTATTTTCGTGTTAATTTCATTTTTTTTGGTTTAGTTGCCGAATTTATTAAGTATTTGTTAGTGTCTTCTCCGATTTTCATCTTTGTGCTTAAACAAATTCCTCGCCATTTTTCTTGAATGGAATACATTGTTTCTACGATTTGTTGTTTTGATTAATATTCATGTTTTTTATTTTTTGTTAGTTGAAAATCTCAGCTCATTTAGTTTTAGCTGCTTGTGTTTACTCACCTAATTATTTGATCTCGTTTGTTGTTTTGGTGATGAGACAGTTACATTTGATTTATTGTTTTTTCGATCTCAGCTGTATTCTTTTGTTTCATTTTTCAATGTCTCTCATGGTTTTCCCGTTACTATCATTTACTTAGATTTGATCATTTCGATGTAGTAATTTAAGGATCTTGTCTTTCGTTCATGTATCATCTGTCTCGTTTTATCCTTTAGTGTAACGTCCATGAAGATAGTTAAATATGTTGAGTTACTTAGAAATGACGCGATGGTCCTTCTCTTCGTGCTGAATTCTGTTTAGAGTTTCGCTGTTCTGACCTTCTATTCAGTTGAGATCACGTACGTATTGTTTATTTTACTGCCGTAGTTAGCTTATTGCATTGAATAATAATTTTCAGTGTGATATCTTTAATTTCACATAGCTAGTGTACTGCAGTTTGTTCTTCAATTATGGCTGCAACTATTTTCATTTATACTCTATTTTGTTTAGCAATTCATCATTGGTTGATTCGGATGTAGGATAAATCTTAAGTATTTTATTTGAGCTGCATCTCTCATGGATTCAAATCTTTAAATTCTCTTATCGTTTCCCAGCTTAATTCACATATGATTTGCCAAATTTATACTTTTTGAAATAATAGATACATGTTTTCGTTATGTTCTTGTTTCGTTAATCGTTTTCCGTTGCTGCTGATTTAGTTAAGGTATATCTCTGTGATTTTTTAAACTTTAGATGCACACTTTCATGTGTTCATTCTCTAAACTCTTTGTGTTTCACTGTTGTGCTCATAAATTTATATAGAGTGTTTTAGCTCTCTCTCGTTTTTGCTGCATGCTGTAATTACATTTCTCCTTGCTGACGCTGAAATCAATCGTTCAGGCAATTGAGATCTGAGACTTGTTTCTTTTAACTACTTGGGACTTTTAGAATTCATTTTTTATCCTCCTTAGCTTGTTCTTATAAGGCTCATTTCCACTAGAGTCATTTTATTAGTTAGTATCTGTTAGTTGTCGAGCTTTAACTTTATCCGTTGTTGTTTTGATTCTTTCTTACTTTGGTCGAAAGTATAAATATCATAAAATGAAATTGATGCAAATAATAGTGGATGGTAAAAAATTTGTTTGAACTCACCTTCTCTCATTAATACAATTTTCTACTCCTCGTTTTGCTTTCGACACTTATCTGTCCACCAAGGTTGGACTAACTGTTGTTATTTTTGTACCATATTCCGGGCACCCAGTATATTTAAAGTCTCACATTGAAGTCTTAGTTATCAGTCAATTATATATATGTATGAAAAAATTGTGAATAATTTTACTGAATTTGTTTTCATTTTTATCTCATATTTTTTCTTTAGTAATCGTGTCATTTTCTCTCCCTCTCTTATTATTTTGTATACATACACTTTTCATGCCGTTTGTTTTTCTCTTTCAAGTTACAATTACTTCAATCGTGAACATTTCTTATACTTTTTAATCTATATATTTGGCTTTCTCAATTCACATGTTTCTGCTCGATTCAAAACATGAATCTTTACCTTGCGTTCTCAGCTTCAATTACTGTATTTTCCACTCTTTTTACTTGTATTATTCTTGCAATGCTAAGTTCGGTGTGGTTTTAATTGGTTTTGCTACACGTCTACTTTTTCGTCGTTCAAAACTCGAAAATCATATCAGCTTGCATCGTACTTTACTTTCTATGATTGCCGTTGACTGAGTTTTGAGTCTACGTATCTATTTCTGAAATTTGAAACTCCCTGTTGCCGAAAAACATAAGAAGTTGCAAAATTGAAGAGAAATAAATATAAAGTAAATGGATAACAAAAACAGCGGTGAAAGAGATCATTTAACTTTGAAATATTTGCAATGCGTGCGTGGGTTTTAACCACGATTTTTGAGCATTTTAAGAGTCGAATAACATTACATTGTTTCATCGTGGGTACGGATTGATATTTCTTGAGTGTAAAATAGTTGAACACATGGATAAAAAAAACCTTCAAGTATTTGTGGCACTTAAACATTACAAAATTCCTCACAATTCGCGTTTCAACGCTGAAAGAAACAGCCGCTGTTGGCTGTCAATTGAGGATCCTGATTGTGAGTCGAAAACATCTATAGATAATAAATCTAAACTAGGTTTAAAAGACGGAACGTTTGAACGTAAAAAATATTTCAGTATGATGAAATATGTCTTTCAAACGTCTAAATCAAGTAGATGTGAAAACGACTAAAATTCGACAAATAATACATGGCTAAAATTCCAGCTAGCATTAAAAAGTAAGCGTTTTCACATCGTATTCTTTTTGCCGTTACTGACTCACAATCGGGGAAATCGATTGCCATCGGAATACGTCCGAAATGTTATGCGCGTTTGCACGCGTTATCATCAGCAGTTCGTTGCAAGGTATGCATTGATCAAGGAACGCGAGGATGGTTATCAAGAAAAATCGTCTTCTGTGAGGTTAACTGTTTTTCACAAAATATTAATGCCGCTGTCTTTCCATTCTTTTTCTTCTACGTCTTAGCCGGTCGATCCTTGAAAAGAAAGTTGAATACCAACGAAAATTCCATTAATCAGAAAACAAATACAAGTTTTCCCCGTCTGACTATCGATCCATTGATACTGTATGCGTAGATTTATGTAAAAAATCTGAAACAAAAAATGTAAAAAAAATCCAGTGGATATAACTCTACCACAATTTTTTTCATTAAAGCCCTTTAGTTTTGGTAAAGCAGCAATTAAAACAATACAATGAAGTATTGATTTAACATAGATATTCCATTGACGCGAACAAAAATCGCGAATGCTTGTTGGTAAAAATGGATAACCTGAGTAGACCGTACATATATGAACATTTCAAGTAAAACCCATGAAACCAAATACCGTATTTAGCACCATACCAAAAGCAAAATAAAATATAAATGCATAAAGAGTGTATCTGAAGAACTCAACTAAAGAAAAATAAGTTGCATTTTTATTATGCAGACGAAGTATTGGATAAGGTGTAAAATGAAGAATAATATGCAAACATAAAAATTGAAATAAACCACGAAATATAATTAAGATATGTGGTCGAGGAACTGAATGTTTCTCATCGTCAGTACCAATGATACGAACATTGATATAATTTTAAAACGATGGACATGTAAATCTTAAATATATCATATAGATAGAATTTCGTTGAATTTAGAGCATTTTAATAAGACACCACACGTTCGTATTTGTATTTTGGATATGTTGGAAAATCCATTCGAATCTGTGTTATTGTCATCTGTTTCTGTTTTTGATTATTCATAAGTAAAAGGAAGTTCAACTATTCATAAAGCAAATAAAAATTCCGTTACTACTGAAAATATACTAACTAATCCATCATTAAATTTAGTTCACGGTGAATGATATTCCCGGAGAAAAGGCACATAATAGATGAAATTGAGAGTAATTGAAAATCTAAGGATCTCTCTCACAACTTAGAAGTAGTTTTCAATATACTTGAAGATAGAGCATCGCTTGGTTATTGGATATTATGTCAATGAAAGAATCTCAGCACAGTCGTCAAAGGTATTAGAGTCGGCTTCGTCAAAGTCCCAATAGTTTTTTTGTTCAACATTTAATCTAATTATTCAGTCAATAAAAGATAATGTTATTTGGTCTACTATTCGAATCTAATTTTTCAAAAAAATGATCAGTCAAACTTGTTTTACTTTTAATGAAATGAAACTGAAGATGGTGCTCTACGTGAATGTTGGGACATAGAATTTTATAGGAGAGTCTAAAAGACAGTATCTCATTAGTTATCAAGAATAGATATTTATTCCGATCGTTTTTTTTTCATTTTGAATAGAATTCGAGCTAAGGAAAACAAGTCTAATTTTCTATAATCGATCAGACAATTCCAAAGCTCTTTTACACATCAGAAACAATTATTTGGCTTTGTTAATTATTGACTCTAGATAAAAGATCTGCTTAAAATATTCATATATGTCCTTGTTTACTTTCCTGACAGGAAAGTAAAATGAGTTATATTAGAGTGTATGATAATGACAATACTGATCAATTCATCAAAGTTAAATTGTATTATCAATTTAATTTTTATTATTATTCACCATATATTTTAATCGAGGAACTTCGAGTTCTGCATCCAAATGCCATTGGAGTATTGGCTCTTGATGAACGAAATGAAAAAGTTGCGTAAGTCTTTTGAATAAATTTAAAATAAATTGAACTTGTTGAATAAATCAATTTTATGAATTGATTTTTAATATTTTCTATAGTCCATCGAAACGTGGTGAAAGGATCTATTTAGACAGAATAAATAACATTCCAGTCGAACATGGATGTTATATATTAAGTTGTTCAAAAGGTAATTTCTTGTTACTGTTTTGTTTTCAAATATAGTTTGGGAAAATAAGCAAAGAATGTTTTGATCATGAATTTTATTAAATCTAGTTGAGTTTAAACAAGTGATTAGTACCTAGAAAATCTAATTTTAAAGTATTAAATCACTTCGATTAAGTAATATCTTATGACAAACATTTAATCGTTTGTGTTTCTACACATTTCAACTTTTTTTTCACTCATTCATGTGTATTAAATATTTGTTTTTTCTCTCAACAGAGTCAAACACAAACACTGACAACACCTGTTTGGACGCGTTCGGTCACTCTCAGGATGATATGTACAATATTAGACGTTCTCTTCCTCATATGGGCTGTAATAGTGACATTTTGGTCGTAGATGATAAAGAAAAATGTTTGAATCAACTGCACCAACGACGAGTAAAAAATAAATAAAAGACGATTCCTTTTATAAACATTTATATTTGAAACAGAAGAAAAATGTATGATTGCATAGATCACAACAGGTTTCGATCTTTTGTAAGGGTTTTCATCAGGTAGTTTAAACTACCCATGAAAAAAAATTTTGCAAGAAATCGCGACAAACCGCGTTCATAAAAACCTCGGTTTTAGGCGTTTTTTTTTCGATTGCAGGAGTCAGACCAACAATCCACCTTTGAATAACCGGAAAAAACGCGGTTTCTAAGAATGAGTTTTTTCGCGGTATTCGAGAGGTGCATTGATGGTCTGATTCCTGTGATCGAAAATAACCGACTAAAACCGCGGTTTTATAGAGCGAGGTTTGTCGCGATTTTTTCGGAAATTTGTTTCCCTGGGAGATCCCAATTCTTTTCCTTTTCATGGCATTCTCACGATAAATCAAAGAAATATGATTGTTTTACAAGTTAGAGTACCAATACTCTAACTTGTAAAGCAATCGTATGTCTTTGCGGGTGTGGGTGTGAACGAAACAATCTGTATTAATAATAGTCCTTTCTACACTGAAAAAAAAGCACTCTACGAAGCTTAAAAGGGTTCCGAGATTTGCAACGAATTCGAAACCATTTTTCTTTATCATACGGAACCTTCGAGGTTCTTCAAGGGTTTCGTAAAGTCTCACAAAACCCTTAAAGATATCGGAGACTCCGACACAGGTTTCGTGAGACTATACGGAACTTTGAAGGTTCCGTACGACATCGCAAAAGGGTTTTGAATTCGCTGCAAATCTCGGAACCTTTTTAAGTTTCGTAGAGTACTTATTTTTTTTTCAGTGTATGAGACTTTGTAAACGAACAACATTTTCTTTTGCAATTTCACTTCGCTTACTTTTCAACAAAACGATATTTTCAACGAAAATATAACCAAGAGCATTTCATATCAGCCGATTTGTTTAATTTTCACCACGATTTGAAAGAAATGAATTACGTAATCTCGTTATTTGACTAGATCAAACTCCATCTGTTATATCGACTTAAATAATGAAGAAGTGCTCATATGTGTATTCTAAATCATTAGACAGTTTGCCACACATAAAGCAAAGGCCACAGCTATATAAATCGCTAGCATCACTAAGCAGAAAACTGCGGTTGTCACTAAGTACACCGCGATATAGTAATCCGATGATAACCGCTATATTTAATACCGCGGTTACAAGTAATTGAGCCGCGGTTTTTTTAACGCGGTGCACAAGACTGCGGTTAACCGCAGTTTTCTCGAAAAATGTTTTTCGTGGGTACACATATAGAATTTGAACATTTAGAGACGAAAGTCATGTTTTACTGATCATTTGAAAACATGACTCCGAATTCGCGCATAGCCACGATAACTGTGACATAAAATTGGGTTCAAAACTATCAAGTTACATTAATGTCATCGAAGCCACGTGCCGTCAAATTATGAGTCAACAATATGAGAAATCTAATGTGAGTGGTTATCTTATCGAAGCATATAGAATATATTAGAAGAGAGAAGTCATTCAAAAATTTTTAAATATCTCTAAATTATATAACTTAAGGCTCATATTGACATCTTAAATTCTTTTCGTTAAGCTCGTCTTAACAGTGTCTAGCTTATTTTATCGACGAGTGAAATGGTGATGATGTCGACCTTTTCGTTCAATGCTATAGATCTTCAGTTTTGCAAGAGTACTCTCATATCGTCGGCTATTACTTCATAAATCTAAGTTGAATATCATAATATGTTCTACATCTTTACATAGTATAGACAAATAGCTTTACCTTAAGTAAATTTTACTACTGATAATAATTTGCCTGATACCAGAAAGATAATTAAATACCACCTTCTACATTTTTTATTTGCACAATGACTCATAAAAAGAGATAATAAAATATCCCCGAAATTTCGCTTTTTTTTCAACATATGTAATGCTATGAATGTGGATACAGACCCATAATTAGAAAGAATACATTGTGTATGCTGTCATTTAATAGTTGTCTCTTATTAATTTTCTTATTTTCATCTTGCTGAAACCAACAGTTGCCATCGAATTTGCGACGGCACCCGATGAGCAGACGATATGTACGTGCATGAGAGTATCACCACATGACATTTTCTGCATGGTGTATATATGCTTAACAGGGCTGCCACCTGATGAAGTCTAGAAGGCGGAAAACTGATCTAAAAAGTGGAAAATAGCGAAAGCTTACATTGTTACAGATTTGTAATGCTTCTGAGAATATCAGGCAGTTTTTCATATTTATTGGATTTCTTTTTATTGTGTACTCAAAAAGTGAGTACACTCTAGAATCGGTCAGTGTGTCCGGCCGGCAGGCCGTTTACACGATAAATTTCGGAAGGAGAGTCAGATCGTGATGAAATTTTCTAGACAGTTCAGTCTCATCAATGTCTCAGCCGAGATCGAAGATGAGAAGGATGTGGGTGTGGGTGCGGGTGTGGGTGTTTAGAGGATGAAGTGTTCTACACACTCAGACACCTACACTCTCATGAACAACAGTGGAGAATGGTGCATTTAGAGCGAGAGGATTTTTATCTATTGGGAAATAAAAGACAAAGAAAAGTAAAGATTTGCATTAAATATGGAATACCTAAATGAAATCTATTCACACTAGCTAATATTCTTCTATCGCATAGTGGAAGGAGTTCTTTTTGGAGATCTCATTAGAGAAATATTTTATCAAAGTATTGTTTGACTATTGTTCCAAGGCAGAAATGTCTAGTTACCAGTGAATATGTCTGAGTAATTACCTGTAATTTCCAGTGAACGTAAGGTAAGAGGCATCGATGTGCGCACAACATCGGCATCGCTTGTTTTCAGCGTCTTCAAGTGCCGAAACATTGCAAGAGATGGTAATTTTGTTTTTGCGATGACTTCAGTGACATTGAGCCAAGGTTGGAGTTGTATCACCATCGCTTCATCAGTGATGTTTAAGGGTCTAATGGTAATGCTCTTGACCGTACGTTGATAGATCTGTTAATAGTCAGTTGGAGGGTGTGGGTGTGGGTGTGGGTGTGTGCGAGTGTGGATATCTTGATCTATTTACCCACCCCACCCTACACCCACACACACACCCTCAAGAAGTGATTATATTTTTCACTTTGAAGTGATTTCTACGTGGTTGTGCGCTTTTCTTTATTCTGGCGGCATCTTTTTGTTATATTAGTTATTTTTGTTTTCTCCTCCTGATAACATTTTTTATTATATATATTATTTTTAATTTCACCTTTAACTTAGCGTTTCGGATGAAAATATCATCCTTCATCAGAAGAAGTTATGTAAAGTTTAATACAAAAAGTTTTCTTTTTATATGTGTATGCGTGGTTAGTTTGTTTATATATTTGTTTTTGTTCTGTTTTTATTTAATACTGATACGGATAAGACGGTAATAGTGTGGTACGATAAATGCGAATTTTTCATCGTCCGTATCACTATTGAATAAAAATAAATATATAAACAAACTAACCACGCGTACACATATAAAAAGTTTTTGTATTATACTTTAAATAACTTCTTCTGATGAAGGATGATATTTTCATCCGAAACGCTAAGTTAAAGGTGAAATTAAAAATAATATATATAATAAAAATGTTATCAGGAGCAGGAAACATAAATAACGTTAATATATCAAAAACTTTCCTTAATCAGACACAGTATCTTGTTGTTGTTTCGAAAGGGATGTATGTTGGTGACTGGTCACAAACAGGACTCGGAAACGACATCAAATTTTGAGATATCATATTCTCAATCGATAAAAAAAAAATCTTCTGAAGGTCTAATGTTCTAGAAGTAAATTTTCTATATAGCATTTTTGCCTAGAATGAATCAAGGGATGAAGGAAACTTTGAAGATACAAGCTTGTATAAAGTATGGCATCGTCATTATGATTAACGATACTTTATTTTGAAATGAATTTTAAAATACAAGCGAGATCGTGATAGAATTGAGGTTAACATATGATTTTTATAGCGTCAAGCGTCATCTCTTGATGTTGAAATTGAATATTACGCTTGCAAATAGATTCTTAGTGATGTACGTACAGTTTTGTATCTAACATCATTATAAACGGTAATTTTGACTATATTTATCTAAACCAATTATAATACAAGGGAAACCTTTCACACTTGTTTGTTACTTGAATCTTCACAAGTATATAAAAGCATCTCTTTTTGAAAAGAGAGTGAACATTTGTCTTTTAGTTAATATAGAGTTCAACGAAGAATAATTTATCAATTTGAAGAAGCATGCCCGTAGATAGTAATCCAATTAAAAAGAATCCGATAATTCGATGTTAACGTGCTGGATTCTTTTTCCCGTATTCTATTGTACAGATATATATAATTCTTTAAAATAGTATAAATAAACAAAGATAAAAGAATGATTGTTGTCCGTACTGAAATAAGTCATCGTCGTACTTAAAACATCTGCCACTTCAAGAACTACATATAAGCCCATATACTCTGATCTTTATATTAATCATCTTATCTTTTCTATATTAAGAGAGTATCTCAGTATATTAAGTATTGCAAGCAAAACCGACAAGCCTTTGAATGCAGTTTTGAAACGAACTATGATAAAATTTACTTCAAATTCCAATTGAGTATGTTAAGCCTTGCCTACCATCAAACTTTTTATCTTTCCACTCTCTCTTTGTTTGTCACCAAAGCCAGGCTTACAGGATAAGCGCTGAACCCGATCTGGACCGAAGTTGACCGAACTTGAACCCGAACCGAGCCCGAACCGAACTCACATTTATCGAACCAAGCCCGAGCCGAACTCATACTCCCCGAGCCCGAAGCCGAACTTGAACAATGAAATCGAACTCGAACTCGAACTCGCCGAACCCGAAGGTTCGGGTTCAATGCATGCCTACATGCGACTGAATAGAAGACCCTTACCAGAAGTGAACCCAACCACACACACACACCCTGTATATCTTTTTGCTTAATTAAACTAGAAACTTCATTCTACTAGAGCACTAGATCCAAAATATTTGATTTAACACGAGCTAAAACTTCCAATGAAATAGGCATTAAACAAAAGACATAACATCCGTTATCTTCGGAGTGCTTATCGAATTTCAATTCCAGTGTTTTTGTAAACATTATCAAACGGCGACTCGACCAGGTCCGAGTAGAAAAATCTTGGGCCCGGTAAATCTATGCAATTCGCCGAAATACTTGTATTAAATGGATGATTACTGATAAAGACTGAAAGGTTCAACAAAAATGGTTCGATTTTATGTATACATGTTTCGCTTATCGGATGAAGCATTTCTCCTTTTCCACCTCTCCTGATTTTTTGATCACGCACAAAATTACCACGTCTTTCAGTTAATATAGATTGGTAAAAAAAGGATATCAGACACGTTTGGATGAAACACTTTTATTGGAGAACATTTTAAGTAAATCCACTTCGATAGTTTTTACTGTTGGTAAAATTATCAGAATAGGTAGTTTCATTCATTTAGAAGCAAAATGAAACAACATTAAAAGTAAACTGTATACTACGCGTTTCGCTTGCTTAAGTAAAAAATTTCTGCATCAGTACTCTCGTAGATATGAGACTACTCATGCATTCTCAACAATATTTTTGCTGCGAGAAATAAGCGAGTCTCAAGAAATATAATGGACGAAAAATAACAATAATTCCTGCGGCAAGGTTAGCAACAGAAATCATCTCCAAAAAGAAAAAAATAATTTACGACAGTGATCAGTTCTGTTTTATATTTTGTTATTACAAAAATCATCATAACAAGTTGGGCGTCATTATAATATTTTTGATCTGATAAGTTTAGGTAGTACATAGATGTGCTCCACCACACGTTTTGAAGGGCCAAATGTTGACTTTATTTTTGTAGAAAATCTGCAGTTTCTAGATTCGCTCAGTGACACATTCAATCAAGTATCTTATATATGAAGCAGTGGATATTGAGATAAATTTAAGAGTTATAATTCAAAAAATTGAAGCTACATGTTTTAATATTTCAACAAGAGATTCCAATAAGGTCAACTAGATCAATTAGAGACACAAGCTGTGAGATTTCTAACTTTTGTTTACAACATAATGGTAAGATAAAATTTGAAATTCTCATAGTTTCTAATTTAGATTACTTATTCATATACCAGTTGTAACGGCATAGTTATATCTCTTATCTCTCATTATTTTGTGAAACATGATCTGAAAGGAGTGTTGAAGTATATAGGGTAGAAATTTTCCCCCACCCCCCCCCCCCCAGACAGGGATAGAGAAATTAATTAATTAATTTCTCCGCTACGCTCTGTGATGGTTTGTGAACTCTCTGTCACAGTCAGTGGCAGAAAAGCTACCAAGACTCACAGACCGTGGTAGACAGGTTCCAGCAAAGGAGTTCCATCGTGTTTCACATTTTAATCCCACAGGGATTGCGCTAACAGCTTTTCCTTCCTGTATTATATTTGTACTTTTCTCTCGTTGTTTCTTCCTCCTTTTTCTCTGATGATTGTCTATATAAACGTGTGCTTTGAATGTAAATGTCGCAATTCTCGATAAAAAGAAACAAGATAAAGCATATTACCATCAGCGCTGTTTCTCTTCCATCAGAAATCGTCATACCAGTAAATACAATCTTAGCTTTACGAAGTTGCAGAAAAGTCGTAAGCGACACTGTTCAGTTTATATTTATTTATTCTTTGTAGAGACTGAAAAATAGTCGACTTCACATTTTACGGTAATGGCGAACGCACGAATATTGGGAATAGTAGCAGCAGCTCTAATCGGTGCTGCTTGGGTTTTCTATGTTGCAGGTAATGCGGCGCCATCATGGTAAGTGTTTGAATTCAGTTTCATTGTGATGAATGACTCAATCACTGAGATTTGGCACAGGAGTGTAGAGTTTTCACTGCTTCTTAAATTGTGAAAAAATTGTTATTCAAACAATTATATTTCTGGCAGTGTATTTTTTGTGTTGACTTTTGAAATAGTTCAACGGCTAAAATAAACGTTTCATATAATTTTTGCTTCGAGAGAAATAGTGTACTTTGATTAGACAGTCTAAAATTGATTCGAAGCATGGAACAACTAGTAAAATAAAGATTTTATTGATACATAGTAGAGTCGTTTTTTTCAGTTTAGTTAGCATGCTACTGATATGTTTAACAGACGTTCTGTTAGCTTTCTGAAGAGTTAGGAAGGATGAATAGAATAATTCAAAAGTAGAGTCACTTATTTTGGAAGTCAGCTGAATTTTTACATTGATTTAGTCTATTTTGTAGCGGTAGACGATTGATTGATGTCAATAGGGGAAAATTTGGCTAGAAGTCAATCTAGATAAATGAAAATTAAGTTTTGACAAGTCATAATTGACAATTTACGGCTCTAGTTATTTGTAACTTTTCTTAGTTAACCCAGTCGCATAAACGAATCGACGAAGACTTTAAAACGTTAACGAGTACCGTCTCACTTATGTGGTCTTTGTATCGACTCTAGGATTGGCCCGAATGGGTACAGCACGGGGCTCTGGCAAACGTGTTATTCTGGGCAGTGTAGCCAATTGGATAATTCTTCTCCAATAGATTCGAAGTTACAGGCTGCAAGAGCATTCATGACACTAGCCTGTATCGTCACGCCTTTTGCAGCTGGGTGTCTAATGTTTGTTATTGTCATGAATAAATTCGAGTCACTATTTCTCTGGATTGGTAAAGGCTTGTCTAGCGTATCATTTATATTTGGTCTCATTGGTATGGCAACGGGTATTAGTTATTTCAATAGTTCAAGTAGTGTATCACTGGGCGCAGCTGCTGGCGTCAGCATAGTGGGAGTCATTTTAAATTTTATAGGTGCGATTGCTGCTGGCTTCATACAAGCCGCATAACGAAACATCGTTGAAAACTTCTGATATATCTTATTCACGAATAAAATAATACTTCTTTTTCAAATTTTAGCTAGAAAAAATTAAAGATGTTTTCGATTTCGTTCACTTCACCATATTTTTTTTCTCAAATTCAATAATTTCCCAATCGACTAACTTCGTAAATTCTATTATTTCTTTATAAATAAAACCAATAATACAACTCATGATATCCAATGACAGTCATATATGAGAATATGAAAAGAGAAACGGGATATGAGTGTGGGTGTTGAGCTACACTGTAAATAAAAACCGTATATTAATATACCCTTAAGGGGTTTATGATACGTTGCACTTTCATAAACCCTTCAAAGGGTATATTACTTTTGTTCCATACGCAACAAAGGGTTTTTTACAATTCTCATTCAGACAAGCGCCTTAGAAAACGCGTTAACAATCTTTCAGAAAAAAGAATCCAAAAACAAATGAGTACACTATAATTCTTTTTCGTTTGTGTTTACAATGCATATCACAACGTATGTTTTGTAAATTATCTACCAGATTAAAAATAAGGTTTTGGAAATTACTGCGTTGTCCTAGGTTGGATCATGAGATTAATTGGTTGATAGTCCAAGATGTTATCCATTCGGTCAGTCGTATGATAACAATATGAAGTAAGAAATGCTACTTAAATCAAACGAAATTTTATAGGAAACTGAAGATGATATAAAGTTAAGCGGATCAATTCTTATAACATTTTTAATTGTCATAAAAAAATACAAATATTTTGCATTTAAAACATTATTTTTTTAAATATTTAAATAAATTAGGAAAAATTTGTTTTAGAAATATATTTGCTCAAAAAACATTTTTAAAAGATTTAAAAACGTTTTGTTCCATTTTTTCAAAAATTTTCAAACATATTTCTTATTTTTCTAGAAATCTATAACGTATATATTTCTTTTACTTTTATAAAATTGTTGATCAATTTTTTAAATCTTTATAAGTACATGTGTTAAAAATAGCACATATCTGTCTGGAGAGGTGTATAGGGTGTGGGTCGTAAGAAATTCTATTCGGAGATGTAGATGCAAAATGCATGAAATCATAAACACGGCTTTTTTACGAAATTTTAAGATGTTTTAACGTCATACAACATGAAAGCGTCAAAATATGTCTTCATTGTAACGCGTTTTTCTAAGGCGCTCGTCTGACTGGGTTGTCCCATATGTCAGAAATCGATCTTCATAGCTCTTTCCCATGTATAGTTTCGACGAATCTAAATAGAAAAAAAAGAAATAGCTATTTATAAAATATTTTTATACTTGCACTNAACTCAAATTTTTGTATGAAGTTGCTCACGTGAAGCCGTCTGATTTTGATTTTTAAACAATGTGCGGATTGAAGTTTGGCTCGAAATGATTCAAAATTGATTAGCGAAATTAGCGCCTCTATGCCATACCGTTATGTTTTACGAAACAGGTACGAAATGGAAAGTGCATCGATGCATGAATGGCTGCATTGTGAGAAAATGATTGGATTAGCATGTTTATTATATTAAATTGTTTGAAGTGCCATGTGAGAAATTTTCATGATATATATATCAGTTGAAAAAGTGTAATCCTTTCAACGAAGAATAAAAAACCGTCTTGATGATGGAGTAGAACAATAAATCCTTCACTGTAGAATAAAATACCCTTTTAAGGAAGTAATAAACCCTTTTATTGAAACCGTAGAATAAAATACCCTTAGTACGAAAGTAATAAACCCTTTTCTCGAAACCGCATATTAAAATACTCTTGGAGATAAAATCATATACCCTTCTCCCTAAATTTCAGATTAATAAATCCTTTTTTTTTTGTACCATCTTTTTTTCATATACCCTTCGTTTCATAAACCCTTCAAGAGTTTAGCATGATTTGTAGGAAGGACAACGGTTTATTATTCTACTCTTTCTATTTACAGTGATAGCTGAGATTGATAGTTTTAAGGATAAGCGTACATCATGGAGGATTGTGATGGCGAACTTAAAAGAAAAGTACATCAATTTTTCAGTTGGAGGAACCTATTAGAGGTATATTACGAAACTTGCAAGGGTTTCATACGAAACTTGACTCAATTCTGGCTTTCACAAGAGTATAGTACGAAACCTCTGTCACTTCAGAACCTTATAAAACGATCGCACCGAACCTTTTCTAGTACTAAACCTACAAAAAGGTTTCGCAGGTCCATACCATAACTCTAGGGGTTTAATAAGGTACCACCAAACCTTAAAGGTTCCGTACAGCACCTTTATTTTTTTCAGTGTAGTGGAAATTCGTTTAAAAATATAATAAATTTTAATAAATATTTGAGATTTTGAAACTATATGTTAAATTCGCGATGACGAAATCGTAATATCGTTCACGATAACAATCACGAGTTTTTTTCTCAATCACGACTACAAACACGATCACGCAGTACCCTACATAGCACTACAGTCCGAACAATCGAAAGTAGGAGTTGAGGGTATGTTCCCATTAATTTTTATTCTAAAACTATACTAAGGAGATATAGTGTGCTATTACATAGGAGCATAGAACATGGCTAGGAGTATCTGATAATCTGAATCAATACAATCTAGAATAAACACATCAAAAGAAAGAAAGGTAATATATGCCATGCCGGAATGAAATTCGCGTTATATAAAACAGATAGTATAATATACATAAAAGTACTTAACAAAAGCCAATTATATGTCTATAGAGCAGGGTAGACATTGCTGAGGGTGTGGGTTGTGATGAATTTAGAAAATAATCATACCACTTAAAACCACACCCACACCCATATTAGTGCATAGTCTCCTGTATACGTACCATATAAGAAATCTATTAAACAAGCTATAATAAGCCAATGAAAATCAAACTGGTAATAGCCTATGAAAATCACTATACTTGAAATTATACGGCGATAGCGCATCAGTACACAGAGATGAAAATCTGAAATATACACTAGATAGAGGGCTACTAGAGCATTATAATGGTAGAGATATGACCAGTCTATATCAGCCTATAGTATATGAAAATCGAAAGAGCATATCATCATTGAATGAAGATGAATACAAAAAAAATCAAATTTTTATTCCTACTTTTGATTGTTCGGACTATAGTACTACTGTAAAGTAAAAGTGAAAAAATTAATTTAATATATTTATGAAGCACCAAGAAGTACAGAAGTTCGCTTTCTCCCCCTTCATATTGTTTCACCATAACAACACGGAACGCAGAAAAAAGAAAAAAAAAGAGGACGCCTAGTGAAGGTCTCATAGGGTAGTACTCAAAAAATATTCACGCTAGAAAATGTCACGAGTACTCATGAGTACTCATGGGGTTTGAGTATTCTGGTAGTTTTTTCCAAGATTTGCTCATGCATCTTTACTTAGTTCACTATTTTTTATATTATATGGATTCTATTTTGGTTAACCTATCAACAATGGTATATTAGTACAATGAAATGATTTATAATTCTAAGATACTGTGGTATTTTATTGTCTATAAATTACATAAATAAATACTATGTTTCAAAAACAAACGCTTAACACATATAGAAGACAATAAAATATCATTCAAGACAAATGAATGCTCAATGTTTTCGAAAAGGATATTTGATCACTATGAATTCACAGATACAAAAAAACTACAGAAAAAAGAATACTAAAATTTGTTACGATACAGCACTCAATAGCACGAACAACTAATTTTAAAATTATTAAAGAGGCTTTTGATTCGATTCGTGTATGTAAAGAAGTTTAATGCTAAAGCGATCCTTATAAAAAAAAGAAACTTCATGACATGAACCATGGATACTATTTAGTAACCAGAAAAAACTTAACTAGTCTGAAACAAAATTTAATCTGAAATTTAGAAATAAAAAGTTATCAGATTATTGTTTATACACATTGAAAAGACATACTTTGTTTTATTCGAAAATTGAACAGTTGAAAATGAATAGTGTATGTACATATGCATGTGTCTCTATTCACAAAATAATATAATTGATTTGATATATCCAATCGTTATATAAACAAAAATGAATCATCTACTAAACATGAAGGATGAAATCAATATATCCACAAGATATTTCGTTGATCTTTTTCTAATTAATTTCATTACTTTTTGTTTTTATACAATGTTATTTAACTTTTTACATGTTAATGCATTGATGTTTTATCGAAACGCAGAATCGAGTACTACTTTGAGTACTCAGACTATTGTATACGAGTGAATTTCAGAAATTTAACTTATGCGAGTACTCATTTGAGTACACGAACATTACAGATACACAGAGAATTTCACGAGTACTCCAACGAGTCTTTTGTGCACTCATGATGACAGATCGTACTCGCTTGATGAGTATTTTCACTAGGGGAGCCTTGAAGTAACAAAATACACATAATGAAAGCAATATTTATGCAAACAATTACCTATCGAACTAAAAGGTTATGGTCCATCAATTCACGTAAACATGCGCAAATTGAAAAAATATCAAGTCATTCAACGATAAATTGATAGCAACATCGATTGAAACTACACAAAACGTAACATCCTCTCCAATATCACTTACAAACTACGAATACTTGGTTTGTAAAATTATTGTGCTAGTATTTAAATTAAAGTGGAAATCCTCAAGTAACTATAAGCAAGAAAAAAACCGACGACACATGACTCTGAGACTAATAATGATTAATAGATATTATAAATGAGTTATACACGTTTATCTGATATACTTTTTCTTCCTTTTATCTTCCGATGTTTTTAATTTTTCATTCAGAAAAATAAAATGGTATGAGCCATTCGGGAATCGAATCCAAGACATGATAGTTGGTTAACTGGACCAGTGCTTTTACCATTGAGCTAACGAAACGCGACTAGCATATAATTTTTTTGTTTTTCTGAACGAAAATTCAAAACATCGGAAAATAAAAGGAAGAAAAAGTATATCATATAAATGTAACGATCAAAGTAAAGTATGAGTACCATTTTGTCTTCACTTCGTGTTTTGTACTTATTTGGATACCTTTGATGTTTGTCCTTAACTATCATTCCTTTTCTTTCTCTTTTGCGGTTGCTTATTTAAATGCGTTTTTATATCTAATCGGTACAATTGATGATGTGAAGAAACGAATAGAGTATAATATCATCAGCACTAACAGTCCTTCTATCAAAAATCGTCATAATATACAAGTGCGTCGTACACAGCGTGTCGACGTTAAAAATTTCGCTGCTTTGAATTTTCATTCAGAAAAAACGAAAATGATATATTAGTCGTGTTTCGTTAGCTCAATAGTAAGAGCACTGGTCCGGTTAACCAGCTATCATGTCCTGGATTCGATTCTGAATGAAAGATTCGAAACATCGAACGATAAAAGAAAGAGAAAGTATATCATATAAACATGGGTCTGACACGTTTTAAATCATAGAAAGTCATTTCAAAAGCGCTCTCACTCAAAATATTCTGTAAGTCTAATGTAGTTAGGTATACAAAGCTGAAACTTTTATCACAAGCATTTCTCACTAGAACCATTCATTCCTGAAGGTTTCAGTCCAAAGCTATGCTCCAGAGTGTCAAGTCGATTGCGAGGGATGCCGTTAATTCATTCAAAGAATGTTTTCTTAAATTTTGTAAACGAACTCAAAACTACTTTCAATGGAAAAAGTGTCATTTTTAGGGGTGTCTACTTATATTTATATTCGATTTAATTTATGAGTAAATTAAATAGTCGGCAATTTATATTCAAAAATAAATAGAATAATGATACCTCTAGTCATTTTTGAAGATTTTCGAATATCATTTTTGGAATTGATCTGGAATTGCCCAGACAAATTTTTACATGACTATGTAGTAGTTGGTCTCTTCTTGAATTCTACAATATGTCGGCTTCTGTTGGCCACGTTTCTGTGTAGACCAAACCATCGAAGAATCATGATTTTGATGAAAATCATGATGTTCTGAACGATCCACCAAGCTATAGGAACTTTTGTAGGTTTAACTTTTTCTACAAAGCAATTACTCAACAAGCTCTCTCTAAAGTGATAGCAGGAAGTTTGTACGATAATTCTTTCATAAATTACTTGTATGCACAAAACACTAAAATGACCATTTTTTCGTGTGCTGATACTATCATACAACTCCCGAATCATTTACTTGTGCGCAGCTACATTTATCAGATAAACACATACAAACAAGGCACATACTGTGTGAAAAATTCAAGTCAAATGATAACAGCACTGCGGAGATACTAATATCACAGTAAACCACAAAAAATATGCTTTTTTTGATCACAGTGCTCTCAGAACAACTCCAATATCTTGAGAACAGAAAAATATTTTTTGAAGCATCTTGCCCCCAAATTCTTAAAGCCCTTCTCTCTACAAGAATACCAGTAATTGAGCAACTTTGATCCTTGCTTACATGGAGTGACTCATATACATCGGACGTAGTAGTACTTATTTCTAAAGCGGGAGCTCATAGATCGCTCATAAGCGACAGAAATCCTGATCGCAAGGAGATTGGGTCACTTAAGGCCTATAAAATATCTCTACATTACTTAACATCAAAGAAAATGAATTGGAGTGTACCAATAAGCAGGGCACCTTTAGTAGTATATATCCACAAAGTTTCAAGACTAGAAACATTACTGTTGAAAAATGGTGATATCTGCAATCCATTGGAATGAGTATTTTAAAGATTATTTTTTGCCCTATAGACCCTAAATTCTAAATTCAATATTTCAACAAAGAAAAAGTTTTAGAAGCTGAAATTTTATGAGTTTTTCTATCATACTTTGCGTTACATATAGACACAGTTCCATTGAAATCTGAGATGTTCATTGAGCATGGTTGCCCGTGGCTCTCGTGCAACAACTCGTAGAGATAGTTTCTTGCAGAAATACAAAAATATCACATCACCCGATGTGTGAGTGCTAATAAAGGGGAAAACTCTTGTCTACATACATGCACAACACTAATAAGTGTGAGTGCGTGGAGGAATTCTTGAGCACACGAATACTAGCAGACTGAAAAAGTTAAATACTCTAATAATTGAACCGTTAAATTAAAGTTTTAAAGTTAACGCTACTGGAACATAGGTGGATTCGACTTTATAAATTTGTCATTTATACAAAAGATTAATCTCTGTTGTTTTGCTATTCTGACATTTGAGCACCATGTTTTCCCATTTATATTCGAACTCGAATTAGGGATCTCCTCGTGAGGTATAGAAAAACTAGCGGTAATTATTTTTATCGCAGTAACACTCTCATAAGACTTTGAAGTTGATGCAAGTTAGGCTCTTCAAAAATAGGAGTTATTTATGTGGTGATATTGGGTACATCCTATTCTGAATTCAATGCTGAAGTTAATCTAGCAGAATAAGAATTAGCTTGATGAAAATGTCATTGATCTACGAATTTCCAGCTCAAATTGAACTAAATGTAGAGAAATCATCAATATGAATCTAGAATTAATAATGAGATATGGTCTAATGCGCATTTGTGCAGATGATGGTTTCCGCCTTTATTACCACCTACCCATCGGAGGATGTGATATTTTGGTATTTCTACAAGAAGCTGTCTCTAAGGACTATCGTTGTTATTTAGAAGTAGTTAGTTTTAATTCCAACGCGAAAATTTCAGTTCAATCCTTTCTACAAATATAATCTACATGATTAGATGTTTCGTTTAATGAAAACTGGGGATGAAATGCAGGTGTCCCGAATCTAGAATATCAACTCCCATAAGCGAGGTTTTCACAAAAAAACTTCACTTTTGCCTAAAGTGCCCCAACGGCAAATTTTGATAAAATAAGGTGAAACTATCAACATGCCAGTAATTCCTCAAGATCTGTTTCGAAACAAAAGTTCAGACCTGCATTCCTATGGAGCCAGAAGATATGAACTCCCAAATACGTATTAGAAAAAAGCGACTTTTAGCTCCATTGATGTGATTCACCGAGTCAAAAAGAATTCAATCGTCTGGGCTGAAGTTAGATGAGGGTGTAGATCTTGCTGGCTTATAGATCCAAAGGAAATTTCAGCTCAATTGGATGAATGGCTCTTGAAACATAGCGTACCCAAAATCACGTTTGACGAAACTTGAAGCTGGAAGTTTCAGTTGAATTTAAGTGTCAAGTATGACACTACTGTCAAGGGCCTAGGATACCAATCGAAATCTTTACTTAATCTGTTGTTCTACACTGTTTTGTTACAATATAGATTGCGACTCTTACTTTTCTCTGTGAAGACCACAATCATCAAGATGTTCATGGGCTTTCTGCTGCATCTGCTGATTCTTGTCGATCCGTCGATATGTTCCGGATATTTTAATCCAGATACCACCGACTACCATGCTTATGGATTGAAAATGGCTGCTAACAATCTTATCTTAGTTGAGTCACAGCCTGATAACACTGCATTTTTCATCCCATTCCCACCCTACAACAATGTATCTAGCGGCCAGCAATGTTCCCTTGACTATGACGATGGCAATGATTATGTTTATTCGGTAGGAGTCGGGTTTCAAGCAAGTGACAGCAACTTTTACGCGATCGGTCAAGTCGTCACTGGAAACGGGCAGAACGCTGATCTGAGTGGAGGCAATGCAACATTCATTGCTTATTATAATGCTACAAACTACCTACAGTGTGATCAAATTGCTCGTGCTATAATTAGTGAGATTCCTTTCCTACCAGATGATTTTCTCGTTATTGTGGTTCATCCAACTGGACAGTTTGCACTAGGACTGGCTCCAAATTTTGCCATCATATTTAATCCATCAGGTTCGCCCACACTGATTACGAAAACTTCAATTTGGTCGAATAGCTCCTTTACCCCAAGAGCAGCAGACATAGATACCAATTTTACTATTGTAGCTGGTATACGTGCTAATTCAGCCTCTTCCAATGTGCTTGCTAGCGTTGTTGTCTATCTAATCGATAACACATTGAGTCATATCTATTCTACGTGGACCTACGTGCCAGCAAACAACAGCTGGCAAAGTCAATTAAAGTTTTCGTGCTACGACAGCTGGTCTGTCAAATATACCATGCCCGTTGATATCAATAATTATAATCCAACCCGTGTACTTGTCGGTGTTCCTTGTGTCAATACTGTCTTTCATTTTATCGTAGGTGGCGGTGGAACAACATTGAACTGGACAGACCAAATAAGTAATGCCAATAGTGTCGGCTTCGGCAAGGGCGTTGCTTCGATAGCATCTGATCAAGTTGCCATTCTTGCAAACATATATACATCAACATTCTCCTCTTGGCTGTCTTCCCAAATTTGGGTTTACACACAGTTGCCCTCAACTAGCCTTGCCTCAACGCCAACAGCCATCATACCCAATAGCCAACAACCTATACCTTCTACTATCAGTAGTGAACTTATCAATCTAGTATCCACTCCAAGTGGATTGGTTGTCTTAGACGTATCTGGTGGAATTCTCTTTATTTTATCGACTCCACCTAGCTATTATGCTTCGGCGGATCCGAATCTAGCACCGGACTCTATTGCAATACCATCCATTAGTACAACACAAAGTTGTCTTGCTGGCATGATGAAGACTGACACAGGACTTCATCCCTGCTCTCTTTGCCCTAGGGGTTGGAGAAGCTCAGTAGGTAGTATCAACTGCACAGTCTGTAATGCATCGGCATTTTGTCCGCCTGGTGCTGTTGCTGAATTGTCACAAACCGAATTACAAACGATTTTGCAAGCATATCCCTATTACGAAAATCCAGACACAACACTATTTGATGATGTTCTTTTAAACAATGTATTTCACATAGGTTCGACGAGGCATTGTGTTGTTGTATCACCTATATTCTGGACTCTGATTGTTCTAAGCCCACTATTGGCTCTTATTGTCATTCTATTAGTGTGTCAACAGTGCAGCCGAAGTTCACATGATTCAGCGCGCATGAAAACTATAAAAAAGTGGTTCAAACGCACCGATCTTGTAGTAAGTCAGTCTACTTTTTCGAAAGTTCAGCAATGGTAAACGTTTCTTGGCGATAGCTAATTATAATACTCTTGCTTCTTAAGAAAATATTTGACTCTTAAAAGTCACAGAAAATCGGGTCTGTCAAACAAAACTTCTTGGTAAGCAGAGCAAAGAAGAAAGGCATAGTTTCGGTTCAGAAAATATTCATTTAACTGGCATTGATCTCCTATAAAATCTCCAAGCATCCATCGCTTATAATAAGGACATACTACTCTTTAGCTTTGGGCTTGAAATTTTCGTATAGTTGGTTTCCAAAGACCGCCATGAAAGAATTAAAACTTTTTCAGGTTAATATCTGATTTCGGCATAGCACACTTTCCTACTGCTGATTTTGATTGTGAAAGAATCTGGATGAAATATAATCAATGCCGATAGGCGCCCCATAAACAATATTATTAAAAGGAATAATGTTATCTTTCCGAAAATGGCGGTCATTGTATTGTCAAAAGTAATTGTCACTAAACATTTGAATAATAAAAAACATTTACAGATTTTTCGTTCATTATCACTCCATCCATATTACACTAGAATTAGAAAGGAAAGCAATTTACTACTAGCATAATATTTCAGCAACCGATTTCATAATACGAGAAAATAGTTCCAGTATTAAAAGCTGTAAGAGAATCCGTCAGTTTAAGCCCATCAAATTATTGAAAAATTTGAGTTGCAAATGATCAATACATCTCTCTAAATCGAAATTAGACGATCTTCTTTCAGAATAGTAGGCTTTTAGAATCATTGAACGAAAAATGATTCGCACTCAGTAGTACACTCATCGTTGTGGCTTCGATTTTTTTCAATTTTGCCATTTCGTATTCTGATCGGTCCCAGCACCAAAAATTGCTAGTTCGGTCGTTTACATAGTGGTAATATCAGTAATCAGCGATGACAGATAGTACGCTTCATAATTGACTAGTGATAATACTATTATGTGAATGAATAAAGAGGACTAGCTCGAGCTCGCTGATAAACCAGGCTCAAATAATCCAAAAATGTGTCTGCAATTGAAAATTTAATTTTTTCTGTATTATTTTCATATAGGCTGAAGGTGAGCACTGGATTGGCGGATTGTTCACACTCGCGCTTATTGTGCTATTGATCCAAATCTATGTGTTCGCCAACAATTTTGTGTTTCAGTATCCGGCAGCAAGTGTTGGCAACAGCAACTTCGCTTGCGACGTTACATTGCGAAACGCTTTGTACGATTTGCTTAACAATCAACAGTGGACTTTGAATGTTAATTTGATCAATACGGTAATTGATTGTTCATCAATATCTCTCTGCGAAATTATCGGTACCTCATCGATTGCACTCAGTGTAGCAACATGTAAGAACGTAAATTCTGTAGTGAAAACGACTATTGTCTTATCGAATGATGCAGAACAGTTACAAATAGTAATCAACGATATCAACGTAATTGGAGGCGTATCAGTGGGTTTGACTGGTCCAGGAAGCACTGCGGGAAGTAAATCGGCTTAACAAATGAATTTTATTCAGGCATTTTACGATACTAATGAAACATTAGCTCAATCAATTCCCATTACTCTACAGCTCACCATGGTAAGTTAAGAATGATTTCTATTGATGAATTCATAGAATTATGTTTTATATTCAGATCCCTTTTTGAAAAAGATTTTGATATTATTCTTCATGAGTCTGTACCTCGGAAATCATGATATCAATATCAAAGATAACAACGTGTACTCAACGAGAAAATAGTGTCACACAGAAGCTTAGAGATATTCAGTAAGAATATATGAAATTGTTGTCGATTTTATTGAGAACAACACATATTTTAAAACACAAAATGAAACCTTGAGAGAATTAAACACAGCCTAGAAAGAGCAGGAGATTTACTTTGAGAATCTCGTATGATGTCAATTATTGAGCTTACAAACAGAAGTTTCAACGTCTGACACCATCACAGCATCTCTCCTCAAGGCCGATACGAAATCGTCTTTTGACCGAAAATAGGGCAAATGAGCTCTTAATACAATAATTTTTCACATTAAAATCAGAATAAATGACGGTCTTAATATTTCTTCAATATTCCTTTCAGCTTTCATAGTTTCTGGCTGACTTTTATACCAAAAGATTCAGTCTTGAATGCTCTACAAAACCAAAAAAAATGAATCACATGGAGATAGAAACAAAGCAATTATTGTAGTAATACTTCTAACAAACATCGATATCAACTTTAAAGAACTTGTATTCAAATTAATTTGCGTTTTTTCTTGCTAGTGAAACACTTTTAGAAAGCTTCAAAGTAATATTTCTGATGCGATGATGAGCGCACTATATAATGAAACATACGAAAGAATATTTCAACGAAAAAATATTGACAAAGCATTCAGTTTTTGGTCATCTAGTCACCCTCTGGCATATTTCGGCATTTTATTTGAATCTAGTCGATAGGAAGTGATACTTCTGCAGAATTAAGGTATAACTCCATGATATTCCATAGTGCCAGTCTGTACCTTTAAAAAAGACAGAAAGTTTTCACCAAAAAATAGTACTTGGTCGACTAATATGATTTTTTCAAGAAAACGGAAAATTATTGGTAAAAACGCGTTTTTTAGAAAATTTAAAGAAAAAGTAATACTTATTTTATCCAGCATGTTTTGATTATGGAATTATTTCAGTATACTAATAAGATAGACCTTTTGAAGCTCTACACAATCGGCAGTTCAATTTGCCTCTATAGCTCGATATGAGAACACATAAATACAAGAAGTTGTAGTTCGTGCTCTAAAGTTGTTGATGTTACTTGTTTTGAGTATTACTGTCATAATATTTTTGTTTCTATCTCCATACGATTCATTTTTTTATGGTTTTGCAGAGCATTCAAGGCTGAATCTTTGGGTAAAAAAGTCAGTCCGAAACTATGAAAGCTGAAAGGAATATTGAAGAAAAAGTGAGACCGCCATTTTTGCCGATGCATCCGTTACCTATGATATTTTTTGTTATCATATGAATTATGTGATCTTATGAAATTTATTAAGAAATCACAGTCATACTGTGTACGCGTAGATAACTTGTTCTAAATACTGCATTAAGTTTCAATCGTATTAATCTCAAATATGATTAAAAGATAGTTCATCGGATTATATCGGTCCGGTCCGGTCCGGTCCGGTCGGTCCAGACAAATCAACGGGTCGGACCGGACCGGACAGTTGTGATTAATGTGTCGGTCCGGGCGGGCCCACCTAGCTGGCGGGTCGCAACGGGTCGGGTCGGTCCATGAAAAGTTGGACCTGGCGACCCCTGGTAACTATATAATAATATAGCCTCTTTAGCAGCTCTAAGAATCCTCTGAATCAAGTTGTTTTTGCTTTACATGCTAATATAGAGAGCATGATTGGACGGAAAATGCTACCTTCAGATTCGACTCAGCCCGATGTATGATTTCTAAGGCTGGTATTTCAAATGATTTCTTTTCTTTACTGTTAAGTTTTATTTAGGAAAAAATCGTGGATAGCAATTGTTATGTCCCAGACGAAAACTCGCTTTATTCAGACTGACATGAGATGAAAAGAATAAGAACCTTACCTGCAAAGTCTGCTGCTGTGCTCACCAGCTCATGAGTCAACGAAGATTTGTGATGATCCTGTTGTTGGTCGTTCCGGTGGCGTTCATTACTGTAGACCTGTTCATGGGCCTTCTTGCTATCGCTCATACCAAAAAGTTTGTGCAAAAATGCCATCGTAACTATCAACGTTTATATCTCGTACTTAGTACCCGTCTAATAAACGAAGACTACTTATATATTTTATTTTGATGACGCGCGAATAGAGAGAAAAAAGGAACAGCGTATTTAATGCATGAATAAAAACGCTGTCACTCGCTCACTCGCTCATTCACTCACTGGCTCGTTGTGAATCACTTTTGTCGTTCTGTTTCCCCCGCACACGACCGACACCGAAGAAAAATCTGTCGTTTACTTTTCTCAGGGTGCAAGTAAACAAGAGGGTGTGGGTGTGGGTGGATGTATGGCTAGCAGTTGATGAAAGATCTAATCCCACACCCACTAAAATTAGAGAAACAATATTTATAAAATTTTGCCATTAGTTGCGTCTTCATTTGATGTTTTTATCTTTTTTTACTTGGTGTTGTTGATGATAGAAGACTGTTTGAAAAATCACTGTTTTTTCTTTGTCTATCGTTTTCATCTACTGAAGGATGAATTTCTTTTAATATCCTCACATTGAATTGAATAAATAAAAAGTTATTAACTTTACCTGCATATAAATGTCGGAGTTGACTTTAAACGCAACTAGTTCACTCCCCAATTGAGAAAAAAAATAGTTGACTTTAAAATCGAAGAGATAATTAAGATGTAGCTGGTTGGCTTTTCAATTCTAAAGGCAACTAGGTGACTTCTAAACATAGCAGATAACTAGACTGGAGTTAGTTGAATTTACCATTTTAAAGTCAAACAGTTATTTTAATTTAATAACATGTAGAAACATAAAATTCCTATGCACTATTTATGAATGATTATTTTATGACTGGTTAAAAGTCTCCTCTTTGACTTTAAAATGGTAAATTCAATTAACTCCAATCTAGTTATATGTTATGTTTAGAAGTCACCTAGTTGCCTTTCAAAGTGAACTGAATTTTAGAGTCAACTCCGACATAAACGTTTCCTATTGGTGATAGAGAAAAGATATTTTCTCTTTTTCGATCACCGGGACAAACGGAACTTTTCGGAACCTTTTAGAAAAAATTTTTGTCCGGCACACTCGGGATCGGGACAAGAAAAGGTTTGTCCCAAAGGACTCTAGTGTAGTCTCCTAATGTAGGTATTGTTCGCAAACAAAACGGATGAATTTAGAATAGCTAAATTGTGTTGGCACTGAACGATATATTCGACTAAATAAGTGACACAATACGAGAACAATACAACAATCTACATTTTTAAACAGCTAATGTTTCTATAGGGTGTAAATGAACACATACAGGATTTTGCTGACACTTATTAAAATGAGAGTGTCGCTTGACCATTTTTTGCTGTGTTCAACGTAGTTGGTTGCACTTGAGCTCGTTGATTGAACATTTTCGCAATGATTAGATTTTTTAACGATGGTGTCATCAATATTAAAGCGATACTCAGTACTAGAAATGCCAATATAGGACCAGTCCATTGAATACGATACATTTCATAGGAACCTTCCATATTCAGATGTATATTTGACAGAAAAATAAAACCAATATTTGGTAAGCCAGGCAAAGTCATGGCGATAATCGTGAAAATAATACGTCGTGTAACTGCAAGATCACGTTGAGCACGTATTCTACGTTGTACTTGTGAGAACTGTGGTATTTGATTACGCATAAAAAATATAAGACGAAAATAAATTAGAATCACTAGAACGATGGGAAGTGAATAAATAGTTATCACGAGGAAAATAATTCCACGTATGTCGATATATCTAATGCCACAATAATAAGCAAGTACATGAAGAGAAAATAGTGGAGTTGGCCAAATGAAGCAGAAGAAAAAACCAGTGAAATAAATAATCCATTGTATGAAGATTAGAACCAAATTGAACGAAAATGCCTAGAAGTAGAAGACGTTTAGAGTGTTATCTCATTAGAACAAGCAACGCTAAAATGTATTTTGAGCTATAAAATTGTACGAACCTGAAAGATGCGATGCTGGTTAAACACCACACGGCTCAATCGGTAGAGGGCCTGAAGAACAAATGTCATATAACAACAACCAAATGCTCCATACATTAGATATCCTTCCAACATGCAAAGGGTAGATTGGGGAAAATCTGAATTTGAGAAACCATTTATGTCTGCCAAGAGAATATAAAAGTATGCAATGAGAAGAACAATAGATAAAACAAATATAGCTGCGTAGCTATTAGCTACTAGAAGAAGTGTTACATCTCGATGCTTTCGTAAATGACTGATCACGATGATTAGTACAAGACTTGTAATTAAGATACTGAAACTAATATTAATAAGATTAATGATCGTAAAAGATGCATTTGGTAGCATATTGCATTGAAGTTCAGTAAGAAATGTTGTGTTTATAATACTGATGGTCTATGGTAGTATGTAAAGAAATAGAATAACTAGAACTCATTAAAATATATGAATATATATATATATATTAATTACATTTCAATATGATACCATGAGAATTTGCCGTTCTTTACTTATTCTCAGATAATGTGTTCAATTAGTGAATACGATCTTTAGCTTGAGAAAAAAATACTTCGACGCAAAAGTTTTAATACAAAAATAATCCAATACATACATTTGACACCTTGCGCGAGACGAATTCATTATTGAAATTATTATTGTCTAAAACCACCCATCATATCTATTTGTATAGTTGAGCTTATTCTAGAAACTTATAGCAGCAGTCGATTCATAATTGCAATTGTTAATTTCATTGAAGAGTTGTTCATATTCCCATCCTATTCTGCCTCTTGGATTCAAACCAATAACCGATTGAAAAACATCGAAATGTCACGTCTCATATTGTTCGACGTGTTTGTGACCGTTTCCGTCTAAAGAAGTTTAGTGAGGTTAGCATGGACTAAGAAAGAATGCTGTTCAACGTTTTTATTGAGTAACAAACAAAAGTGTGAAGAAGTATCATCATTTACTCTACTTTGCATGTTATTCATATGCAGTTAGTTTATTTTTATCAGTTTCATTTATTCAGCATTGAAAGACGTGACAAGAAAAAAAGCATCCACTACTTTAGCACGTTATATATCAATTTGATGAAAGAAATATAAGAAGGCATCATAAGAGAAAAGCATTCATTAGAAATGTATCGATGAGAATGATAAAAGAAAAGAACAACAAGTTTTGCAATTTGAGCATGGGTGTATCGACTCAAAAGTACTTTTTGAATGTAGAAGGGAAAAATTTACTGAAATGTATCGATGATAAATTCGTTCACTATATATTTTTTTATTATGCGTTTATTGGAATGTGTGACGCTCTGAAGCGTTTACACTAGCATATCAATTATTAGTTTTTAAGCACTAAGAGAGAGTAGAGAAGAAAGTGGGAATTTAATATTATTATACACTGGGAAAAAAATAGCACCATACGGAACCATTTTTGAAACGAATTCTAAACCCTCAAAAAGGTTTCGTAAAAGCCCAAGATAGTCTCAAAATTATTATCAAGAGTCCAGGAAACTTTTTCGAAGGTTTGTGGAAAACCTACGAAACCTAAAAAAGGTTCAGAATTCGTTTCAAACCTCGAAACCCTTTTTAAATTTTGTAGTGTCTGCGGAACCATTTTAAAGTTCAGTGAGAAAATTCGAAACTTTCTTGGTTCCGTGTGGTGCTATTTTGTTTTTCAGTGTATGGCAGATTAAAAAAAAACACACTATGCGAGTATCATCGGGTGTGGATGTGTCTCATAAGGTCAAGTCCACGCCAACTCCGATGTGTTGTCATCGTTGAGTTTCAAGAATATCTCTTTCAGTAATTGACAATGCATGAATGAAAATTACTTGTTTATTAGGATTTCCAGTAAAACTAGCAGCTAAATATGATGCTGACAGAGTTTTGAAGTCAATTAAATCGTATTCGCACCGTCGCACATCGAACCGAATCTGTTCAATCAGTTGGCCAATGTCTGAAGTAGAACCTTTCAGTTTTCTTATTTTTTTACGTTGACCACCAATCATGGCTATATCGGGCAAGCATAATATATAAATAGCTGATACAGTGTCTCATCATCTAGTGGTGTAGAGAGAATAAGAATCACACGTTCATCTTTTAAGTGGGTGATATAATCAAAACAAAGTTCAGCCTCGGAAAAAGTTCGAACATGTATTGAAATTGATTGTAATTCGTCTAAGATCTTCTGAACATTTTGATTCAACTTGAGTGCATTGTCAAGCCAAACGATTATAAAATCGTCTACATATTGCCATAGATGGTCCGAATTTTTTTTCAGTAAAATGATAATCCATTGTTTTCACAACATTACACACAGAACAATTAGAATGAACGATAATTTTCTTCGATGATCTTAAATTGATGGTGAGAATGCGGATAATTATCAAGTCAACTAAGCAAAATGTACGTGCCCACGCGTCAGATATGGCGATTTTATTTTCTACCGTTCTTCTTTGTTGATCATTTCTGTCAATGCTTTTACTGTTGCTTTATGCACGGCCTCTCAAAAGAACACTTATTTGGAAAAAAACGCCACTAAAAGTAACGAAAAGGCAACAATACAGAGAGATACGATAAGCCAAATTAATCATATGTCTTAAATTAAATCATTCAATTTATAAGTATTATTGATGTAAGTAATTATAAATTAGAGAAAATCATACTCTATAAGCCAAATGCTAGATTACAATTATTGACAATGTTCTATAAGATCTCTTGAGGATATATATCATGTGTGAAGACAGTAAAATAAAAGAAGTTAGATGAGAAGACCAAGCAAAAAAGTTGCAAATTATTGATCAGATAGAAGAAATCACACAAGACACTTTTTGTGCACATTTTATTTTAAAACTAGACACGAAACAAGCGAAACGTTACACATAAACGTTAATGATTTTACGGGCAGAAGACTCAATATAACATTTTGATTACATTCTAGTATTGCTATTGTCTTCTTCGAGTTGCTCATGAATACCTGTGATAAACGACGTGTAGTGCAACATTTTTTTCTCATCTGGCTTGATGCCGAGATCGATAAATGCGTTAATCATTCTGATTTAATTGCTCATCTACGAGACATCGTCAATACTGTGAATACATTTACCGATCCCGATGAATGCGTTGACTTTCTCACAGATATCACAAATGAAAAGGTATTCATTATCGTTTCCAACCATTACAGACAAAGTTTAGTACCTTTGATTCATAGCATACCACAACTAGATTCCATTTATGGATTTTGTAAGAGAAAAATCTCGCGATGAACAGCGGACAAATGAGCATCCAAAAGTGAAAGGTATTTTCACTGACATTGCGTTCATGTATGACTCACTTAAGGGTGGTGCATTGCAGTGTAATCGAAATTCAATATCACTTAGTTTCATTTCACCGAGCGAATCACCCATAGATGTAAATCTGAATGAACTCGATCAATTGTTTATGTACACTCATCTGTTAAAAGAGATTGTACTGGAAATAGATACATACGATACAAAACATATGGAAGAGTTCGTCGTCTATTGTCGCGATATGTATACTACAAATCTAAGTCAGTTAAAAAAGCTCGATGATTTTCAACACAACTATTATTCTCATGCTCCTATATGGTGGTATACGTGCGAATTTTTCTTTATCCAATGCTTAACCGAGCCCTACGCATGTTAGAAGTGGATACTATTCTTAAAACGAGCTTCTTCATTCGGGATCTTCATCTTTATATTGAGCAACTTCATTTGAAACAGTTGGCTGAACATAAGGAACACTTTTTAATAGTTTATCGTGATCAATGATTGTCAAATGAAGATTTTGAGAAACTGATTCAAACACGCGGAAGACTCTTATCGTTCAATAATTTTTTGTCTACAAGTCAAGATCGTGACATTTCATTCATTTTTGCTGATAGTAATCGAATGAATCTCGATCAAATCGGAATTCTATTTGAAATAACGATTGATCGATCGATTAAATCAGTTCCATTCGCTGTTCTTGGAGGTGAAAGCAGCTTCACGTCAGAAAAAGAAATTCTTTTCTCAATGCATTCGGTTTTTCATGTCGACGATATTGAACGACCTGACGGCACTAATAGGTTATGGCAGGTAAAACTTAAGCAAACAGCTGATAGCAATCCACAACTGAGTCTACTTACAAAACGATCGCGAGAAGAAACTAAAGAAGGTTCGATAGCATGGGATCGGATGGGAAAACTAATTATTAAAATGAGCAAATTTTCCAAAACTGAAGAAATATACAGAACACTGGAAGAAAATGTATCTAACGAAAATATGAAAGCGTATATTTATAAGCAATTGGGATATGCAAAGATTGGCCTAAATCAGTATGAGGAGGCGCTTGCATTATATGATAAAGCGATAGCAATCCGACTAGAAACTCTTCCTTCGAATAATGTAGAGCTCGCTAATTGTTACAACAACATTGGTACGATACATAATTGCATGGCTGACTATTCAAAAGGGTTGCCATATTTTGACAAAGTACTTGAAATTCAGAAACGCACTCCTATAGATGATATGAGCATCGGAAGATGTTACGATAATATTGCTTACACCTATGATCGTATGGGTGATTATGCGAAAGCACTTATCTTCAACGAAAAATCGCTGATGATCAAATAAAACATTCTTCCTTGGAATCATCCATCGCTCTCACTCTCCTATAACAATATTGGTTTGATGTACCATACTATGGGAGAACATCCTCAAGCCTTATCATTCTACGAGAAAGCACTGAAAATAAACGAAAAAGTTCTCCCTGAAGATCATTTTGAGTTGCTAAGCAAGTATAACAACATCGGTTTAGTTTATGAAGCGTTGGGCGAGTATTCCAAAGCAAACTTTTATTGTGAAAAAGCATTGAAAGTGAAACCGAAACACGTCCCTCTCAATCATGCATCATTGGCTTGTTTCTACAACCACCTTGCTCTTATTTATGGAGAAATGGGTGAATATTCAAGAGCTCTGTCGTTCTACGAAACAGCAATATACATTGCAAGAAAATCTCTCGGCCTTGATCATCCTAATTTGGCTGCTTCATATCACAATATCGCAGGAATATATTACCTAATTGTGGAATACTCTAAAGCGCTATCTTTTTGTAAGAAAGCTATTGAAACCCATCAAAAAAGTCTACCGTTAAATCATCTCTCATTGGCTCTCTTCTACAATAGCATTGGTTTAATTAATGCTAACCTTGGAGAATACTCAGAAGCACTTTCTTTCTATGAAAAGTCATTGAAAACTACACTGGAATCCTTTCCAGAAGATCACTCGAGTTTGGCTGCGCTTTACAACAACATGGATACGATCTATGACAAACTACAAGAATATTCAAAAGCACTTTCCTTCCATGAGAGAGCACTGGAAATTCACAAAAAGAATTTACCTCTCAACCATCTTTCTTTGGCTTTTTCCTACAATAATATTGATTTGACTTACAATAATATGTGTACGTATTTAGAGGCCATATAGGTCCTTGAGAAAGCACTAGAAATCATGCAACAGTCGCAGTTGTCTCATCATCCAACAATAGCTACTATCTACAACAACATGGGCTCAGCGTACACTAGTATTGGGGAGTATTCGAAGGCAATTTCACTTTATGAAAAGCAGCTGGAAATCGATCAGAAATACCTTCTTCATAATCATCTAGATTTAGCTATCTCGTACAATAATATTGCATCAGTATATGTCAAAACAGGAGACTATTTGAAAGCACTTTGCTATTGTCAACAAGCCGTCGATATTGGCCAGATTACGTTGTCGTCAAATTACCCTGATTTGCAACTTTTTCGACGCAATCTGGAATGTATTAGAAAGAAGTGTAAAACATTTACATAACATAAGCCTTTGCTGTTGTTATTCAAGGGCATTGACCGTCACAAATAAAGATGCTGAGTTTATTTATATTCGATAAAAGAAGAGGACGAGGATGTGGTGTGTTGGTGTATTTTCTGTAACTACATCGACACCCATTTCATATTTCTAGGCACAATATAGAAAAGCAAGAAAAAAATCTTAAGAAATGAATTCAAAATAACTAATATCGAATTTGAAACATTGATAAAATTGATGAATATAAAGGTCTTCAAAATTTTACTCTTCATGTTGGTGATCATTTTGAAGCGCATCATTTAGTTTTTCTTCGTGCACGGTAGATGATGGATGTGGTTTGGATTAAGATACAACAACTACACCCACGAATCCAGAGATGGGCAAGTCAGCCTTTTTTCCGACTCAAGTCAAGTCAAGTCATTTTTTGAAAATTTCAAGTCAAGTCAAGTCAAGTCATGATTTGCTTACAATAATTTCAAGTCAAGTCAAGTCAAGTCATGACTTGTTCAACATACTTTCAAGTCAAGTCAAGTCATTTTTTGAGAATTTCAAGTCAAGTCAAGTCAAGTCATAGTTCAGTCCAAGAAAATTCCAAGTCAAGTCAAGTCAAGTCATTTTTGACTTGACTTGACTGGTTTTAAGTCAAAAATGACTTGACTTGCCCATCTCTGCACGAATCAAATTGTTGTTTTCTTTTGCATACCAAATTTTAAGAATAAACAAGATGGAATTTATATAACATAATATATTTATTTATCTTCCAATTATTATTTTCTCGATTTCAGTTACTTCCAATAGCAAACACTAATACTTATAAAAATAACACAATAGTGTAAACGCTGAGGTTTTTACAAAAAAAAAGTACGAGAGGGTGTGGGTTGACATGAACGGGAATTTACCCACACCCAAAACAGCATTAAATAATCGCAGTCAGAATAAATAATAATAATAAATCACACAATTCGAACAAGTACAAAAAAGAAAAGAGTTGGCAAATAAGTTTTCAGAAAAAAAGCACATACACTGTACATACAAAGTTAACTCAAGAAAATGTGGAAACTTCAGATTTCATCCGAGAGTTATGTGTACTGCAAAAAGTGCATGGGACATATGAGTCATTCTAGAATGTCTGAACACGAAAATTATCATGAGAAACTAGCCAATTTGATTTCTGGATGCAGTTTTTGTGCATTTTGAGACGTTTTTCAGGCAATATTTCGTTATAAAGCTACGATATCGTTCAAAGCTAATATCAGATTTAGAATCAGCGTTAAAAACTGAGTCGATGTATATATGTTGTGGGTAATTCTGAGAAAAAAAGTTTTTTTTGAAAAATCCCTGTAGTCCCGCTCAGGGATGGTCTGATCAAAAATGACAATTTTTTCGATATCTCAGCCATTTCTTGACGGATCCTTTTCATCTTCGAACTCGACCTAGATATTGATGAGACAATTCTGTGCACAAAATTTCAGCTCAATCGAATATAATTGTGAGGAGCTATCGAATAAACGGCCGGACACACTGACCGATTCTATAGTGTACTCTTTTTTTTTTGAGTACACAAAAATGACCACCACAAACGTTTTCGTCAATTTTTCATTAAAACATTTTTTTTGTTACAAAATATAATAAAGAATTTCCTCTAAAATAAAAATAAAATCTATTGATAACATGACTGTTTCCTTTTTATGACATGAAATCCCAACTATCTTATTCAAAATGCTGAGGATATTCGTAAATGCAACAAATTTGTATTCTTATTAATGATTTCGGAAATGTTAATAGCTTTTTTTTTGTTATTAAACATTGTTACCGTCATATTTTTCTTTGAAAGATATTCAATTAATTCAACTCATCTATGTGTGCTTGAAATACTGTTTTTAATTCTTCTGGTAAAAAGAGAAATGCAACTTTGATTGAGCGTACTTTAGTAGAGCGATCGTTCGAAGAAATTTCACGTACTTTATCTATAGCTAGACTAAAATTTAATCGAAGTTTTTCCATTAAAGTATTAGAAATTGATGTATATTTAGCATAGCCACCTGAAACAGCCTTTTTTAATTGAGAAAAAAGATCTTTAGGTGGATTAATACAATAATTGTCAATATCTGTAAAGTCACAACGTTGCAAAATTTCAATATGTAGTGTATTAAATCTTGCTTGTAATTCTTCCAGTTTTTTATCTACCGATTTCAATTCACAATGACTGATTAATCCATGCTGTGCACATAAGATTTTTCATACATTGCTCAGCCGGAAGAAAATGATTATTACTAATAAATAGTTCAATATTCTTAATTCCGTTTAAAATGGCTGTTGCTAAAATTTGATCGGTTTTACTTTCAAAGTTTAGAAGAACAATTTTCGTTTGATCATCTAGTTAGTCCTTAATATAATGTCGATTCAGCACTATTCTGATTTTTTCCATATTTTCATTAATTTCTCTGATTTTATCTCAATTGTCTTCGTCTCGTTCGATTTTCCCATCCAACCAGTGTGCAGAAGTTTCGGTAAATCCAATTAATTTTTCAAGAGACAACTGTAATTCATATTTGATCTGTTTTAAAAATGTCGAATCGGGCAATTTTTCAACAATATCAGATAGTGCTAGATCTGCACTTGTATAGTCTCCCTTGAATAGATAATCCATCGCCTGTTTATAAGCTTCTCGAGAGCTTTTAGCAATGCCAAGTCGATACTGCCAGTATAAAACTCGAAATCCATTATCTTTGAATATAACTTTACAGACACGAGCTAAACAGCTCAAAGCTTGAGCAATAATCAAGAGATTTTTTAACTCTTCATTTTTACCAGAAATTTTACATACCTCAATATGATTCTCAAGAAAATGATAATAATTAAAAAATTCTCGATGCCAATGCTCTATTTTGTTGCCTCCTTGTCGACTTTCGAAAACGAGTTCATATCTATCAAGAGAAGATAATGCTTGAAAATAACTATTTAAATCTTCTGAATACTGACTAAGGTCACTCTGCTCAAGCTTAGTTATATGCTTGAAATTTCTCTTGATTTCTTTGTCGAGGAAATCACCATACTCTCCTATATAATTTCCCTGATACTCATTCATATCTGCTGCCATCTTTTTGACACGATGATGCTCTGCGTTCTCGCAATTACATAAGTATAGTAAGGCATTATTTGCTTCAAGACCATCGAATTTGTCCTCAAAAATAATATATTTGCTTATGGTTCTCATAGTCAATAAGAATTCTCTTTCTGTTTTCAATAGTTTTCTCTAACAATTCATAACTTTTATGTCCTTTCTCTTGTAGGAAATCAGTTTCTTTAGGGCAAATCAAATCGCTTGAACCTAATAAAGAAGCATAATGTTTCTTGATTGATTCAAGACGATTCAAATCATTTCTAAACTTTGTGCGCATGTCTTCAATTTGTTTTAACAGCGTGTCATAATTTTCCTGAGTTTTTGCCATAGTTTCTTTGAGCATTTCAATGTCCGAGTTTATATTCTGTTGTAAATATTTATTCAACTGCGTCTCAGATAGCTGCAATCGTATTCTTAAATTTTCAATTTCCTGATTTAATAGATTTATATCTGAATATCCTAATTTTTGTAAATAAATGTGAGCTGGATACAACTGAATATATTCGTTTTTTATTTGTTCTAACTCGATCAATTGTTGTTTTAGATAATCCACAGTTTTGACGGCTAAATTGAAAGTTCTCCGTATATGATCGAAAACTGCGCTCGTATTCTTAATATAGCATTCATTGATTCGATCTCGATATGCCTTCAACTCTGGAGTAATTTTTTCTTAAACCTTCATCGATTCGATTTTGTCAAGAGTTTCCTGTGCTAAAAGAACATTTAGAGGATATTTTAAACTAAAATCTAAATTACTCAGCGAATGTTCTAACCGATTGGCACGTTCTTCTAATTCTTCTCGAATATACTGTATCATCGAATGATAAGTACCTGGAAGGATTCGATCAATCCATTCGGTCTTTTTCAAACGTAATAGCGATCGAGAAAGTGGCCGCAAATCGATCACTCCGGATTGATGAGAAAGAGAAAAAAATAATTCCTCAGAATCTTTTTGCAATTGCTCCATATATCCACGTATATTCTCTATAATACGATAAATGTTCGGCTAGTTTTTCCTGCTATATCGGGCAATTCATGAATCATTTTCAATTGAATAACTAATTGTTCGACATGTTCGAGCGCGTAGTGTCCATGTTTTTCAACAAGCTCCTTAATTCTTAGATTAATCTCGTCAAAATATTTCATAATTTTTCCAATAAATTCATCATAGATTACATTTAAATATTTTATCGTTTCAATAGAAACATTATTTTTTATTTTCATAACTTCTATATATCTACAAATTTCATCTTGAAGCATTGTTGTTTCTTTAGCAGTTCTCAATAGAATCATATAATTTTCAAGAACTTCTCTGTCTGCATCAGAGACGTGCACAGGACAAAAATCGAAATCTTATCCTGTCCTGGCTTGTCCTGTTGGCTTTTTGTGTCCTGGCGGGCGACAGGACAATACGTTAAAGACGTATCCCGGTTAGTGTTACTCATTTCTTCCGGTTTTGCTAGTGACTAAAGACTAATTATGAGTTCGAACGCTAGCTATTGTTGATCAAAATAAACATTACTATTAGTAATTTTAGAAATAATCTATTTGATATAATTTTCAAATTCAGAGACGTGCACAGGACAAGCTTTTTTGTCCTGTCCTTACCTGTTCTGCTGGCTACTTTGGCCTTGGCGGGCGTCAGGGCAGGACAAAAATCGAAATCTCATCCTGCCCTCCAGGACAGGGCAGGACAGGACACCAGGACCGCC